AAAGTACTTTTTCAACATTCATTTTCATTATCATGGCATTACAGATACTGTACTGTACAGTATTAGGTAGCTGTGTTATACATCTTAGTTGGTATTAGCAATGAACAATGTCATTGTAAGAAAAGCCATCCTTTTCAGATTTTGATGCAAGTGAATTGAGGAAAGCAAAGGAACAGAACGGAAGTGATATGTCAGACTTAAATGAGATGCGGATTAAATCAAGTGGTCAGTATGGGAGAACGTGGCGCAAAAGGCGGAGGAAACACAGAATCAGACAACTTGGAGTTTACTCCTATGCTGTTGATGACAATCCAGTCTTGGTCAAGCTAAATCAGTGGATGTGCAATAAAGGCTCCAACAAATTGTCTTACTCAAAACTGAAATCTGTGTTTTTTGCTGACACAGGCCGAGGACTCATGACCGTGGATGGTGTTCATGTTGGAGATGTTGTGGTCAGCATTCCTAAGCAAGCACTTGTGACTTGTAATAATGTTCTACAGGATGCTGAGTTACAGAAGTCTTTCCAAATTTCACAAAATAAGTTTAGAGCCATGGAAATCTTGACCTTTTTTCTCTTGTACCACAGATATTTAGGGGATAACTCTGAATGGAAGCCATACTTGGACAGTCTTCCTAAAGACTATACAGTTCCAGCACATTGCTCAGTGGAAGAAACTAATGTTTTCCCAGAGTTTTTAAAATCTCTTATTAGTAAGCAACTAGAGGATGTTGAACAGTGTTATAACAATATGCAGAAGATTGTTTCACAGAATCCCAAGCTCAACCAAATGTCTTCCAGACTGTGTGTTGAGGATGTTAAATGGGGATGGTTTACTGTGAACACTCGTGCTGTCTACCTGAAAGAGGACAATCCAGCTTCTTGTATAACAGATGAGGATGTGTATGCTTTGGCACCATTCTTGGACCTCTTGAATCATTCTTATACTGCGCAAGTAACTACTGGTATCAATGAAAAGAATGGCTGCTATGAGATTGTTTCCAAGGTGGCTTATGGACCATACGAACAAGTGTTTATTAATTATGGCCCTCATGATAATGTCAAACTCTATGTGGAATATGGATTTACTCTCCAAGATAATCCTCACAATTATGTTCCTGTAGATCTGGATGATGTTTTAGCTGCAGTGATGAATATCACCAATGATCCCTTGCGAAAAGCTTTATTGCATGAAAAGACAAAAGTCATATGTGCCCATCGCATTGACAAGAATCTGGGTGTAAGCATAGATGGTCCCTCATGGAATGTAGAAGTTGCCACCACCATCTGTTTGATGACTCCTGAAGAGATAAGCTGGTGGCAGGTGGTATATGAGGACCTTGTTGGTGTTTGTCATAGAAATCTGGTGATGGAGTGCATAGCCCTTGTTATTCATAGGAAGGTTCATCAATTGCAAATGTGTATGTTCGAAATGAAAAGCATACAAGAATGTTCAAATGCCTTTGCTGTTGGTAGGAATTTGGTGAGGGAATGCTGTTCTCTTTTAGAAAATGTAAAGGTGATGAAGAATATTCAATAACATGTTACGTCACAAATCAAAAGGTGGCATCTTACTCAGCAAAAGGGATGAGTGTAGTAAACATGGTAACATGGGGTCTCATGCCATGAGAGGTAAGAGTCTGTAGAGACCCAGAAATAGGTAAATCATGAACATTCTAAATGTGTAGCTAATTAAAAAGTACCGGTAATTTCATGTAGGCACACTTAGCAAGTACTGTACAGCACTGTAGTACAGGAAAGATCATGAAAATTAATATTCTTTACATATCTTACAATCTTAAGATTAAAATGATGTAATATAAATAATAACTTGAAAATTGTAAATACAGGGTAATTAAATTGACAACAACCTATCACACTCAGACTATACAGTACTTCAGCACTCCTACCAATCAGTTCATCATACTTCACAACTTACACTTGGTGGGTTTTTTTCAACAAGAAAAAGCTTAGCCATTGACTCTCAGTTGTCACATGTAGATTTCCACTACATTCCCAAACCTAGTCCTACTTGGTCCTATTAAACATATTTTATTGATATTTGGACTACTTGAGCCAGTAGCTGTTTAGGAGCAAACATAAGTTTTGGAGAGCTGTCACTGTCAGTCAATCAAGAACTTGATACTGTTCACAGTAGTACAGGACTTTTAAAGGTGATGTTACCACATGATGAGGTTTATATTACAGTATTTTGACTTAGTACACATACAAAACTTGTACTGTGTTTACTGCACATGCTTAACAGCTACCAACTTTGTGGTTATTGATGAATATTTAATTGAAAGTCCTACATTTGGTGTCAGCAAACCATAATTTCTCCTTTGCTCTCCCACAGAACTGGTGTATGGCCCACAAAAATATGTATACAGTTCTGTAAAGGAAATACTGATTGAAAATATATTGAAATACTGTATGTACTGTATGAGATTTAGGAAGTGATAATGATTACCGGTAGGTATGAAAATGTCTCCTTTCAAGGTCTAGGATACTGTACCTAATAACTTAATCCTAAATACTGTTTCTAGTTTATACAGTATATCATGTGCATTTTGGACAAATAGACAGTTTCAAAATGTTTTTTGTTTTTCTTCTCCAAAAAGTGCCGGGAGTGACAAAAGATTTATTCCCAGGAGTCAAAAGGGAGCAGATGAACAGATCAAGAAGGTTAAAATGATGTGTATTTTTATCATCTTTCAATAAACAGTTATGTATAACTTCATGCTAGGTTTATGTGCCTGCAGTGTGTGTGTCAGAATCTTTTTCTTTTTTTTTCTCCTCAAATTGTTCCCCAGAAAAGTTTTTGTGCAAGAAATGTTAATTGAAATTAATATACCGTACAGTACATTGAAAGTTCACTGGTTCAACACACTGGGACCAAACAGTTGCTGAAGTAAGGAATTTTACAAATTAAAGAACAAAAATTTACAAGTGTAGATTCATTAACCTGAAGTGTACAGTACCTGTACAAGGAAAAATTTAATTAAAAGTTCTGTTTAGTACACAATATGTGGTTTAAATGTACAGTACTCTAATTAGCTGAGAAGTCATCTGACAAAAAAAAAAAAATTGACAGTACAGGCAGTCCCCAATTTGCAAAGGTGTCTGTTCCTGTTAAAAAACATTTGTAAATCGGATTCCATATTCCTGTGGACTTTCATTACAGAAGCCGAGATATACTGCATTCCTACGAGAAAATAAATTCTCAGAGTGTCTTAAAATGATACAAAACGCCTTTTTAATGACATTAGTTTTGGTGTACGTACAAAATAATTATAGGCCAAAAATAAACGTAAGTGAAATGTGTGCAGTACAGTAATAATTTTATTTATTTCAAGAAATCATACCGTAGTTCTTGGAACTTACTAAAAATATGCCACTAATTGTGATGCAGTGCTAGACTGTTAGGCCCAGCAAGACATATTGCTTTAGTTTCTTAGTAACTCACCAACATTAAGTCTACTGCACTGTGTGTACTACCTGTATACTGTAAATACATTTTGAGATGTTTTGCTTTCACTGGATATGATTTTTGGTGAAGTTTTATGGAATACATCAGCAGTCCTAGTCAAAATACCTTGAGTCAGTATCTTGTCACTGCTTCACAGAAAGTTCCTGTGATCCATAATAACTAAAACATTACATATAATTTATTTTTAGCATAGTTAACCACTCAATACACAAAAATATTGTGTTTTCTTTTCCATGACATTTTTATTGTTTTCTCTTAAATGTATTTACTTTGTTGTTCTAGATTATAGGTTTCAGGATCTTACACTTATCTATTCAAAAACATCCTCCAATCTATATTTGGGCTGTCCAACACACACAGCTTGGAAAACTGTTAGGAGGGAATAAGGGGAATACATATGGTAAAGGGGGTACAGTATGTAATAATAGTGTAGCCTAGAGGCTCATTTATCATTTGGCAATGATTCATGGCAAAAATGGTGAGTTTGGGTTCCTAGGAAACCTCAGAAGTAAATTGGCCAGGTTAATCCAAAGATTAACTTACTCTACCCAAAATCAATCAGAGCCTTCAAAATTTGGGGAACTGTATTATAAGCCATAATTGTCACTGAAGGCTGGAAGTCTGATGAGTTGTACAGTACATCATACAGACCACATGTGTCCCTCACTTTTGTAGGTTATTCAAACATCATAGAAGCAACATGTCTCTTGTCTTCCTCTTTGTACAGTCTCGTTCAAGATTCTTTGAAAACCGCTGGAGACAGCTGGCAACTCAAGGCCGTTTGTTTACTATAGTACGTAGTACAGTATAATATAATACATAACAACAAAGCCCAACCATTAATTAAGCATGGGAACTAAGTAACCAATCACCGATCAAATTTTACATTAATTCATACTTTTTATTTCGTATTATAGTAAACAAACGGCCTTGAGTTGCCAGCTGTCTCCAGTAGTGTTCAAAGAATCTTGAACGAGACTGTACCTCTATTGAGAGAAGCTAAGTACTTTGTCTCTTAATATATTACTGGTAAGCACATGGTTTGTGGGCCACTCCTACATTGTACAGTCTTCTCAATAGCTTTTAATAAATTTTAGGTAATGTACTCAGATTTTTTATCTTTAATCTACCGATACCGTTATACTGTACAGTATACAGTATGTAATTCGGATGTTATAAAGTACAGTACTGTACCTATTTTTAGGTTGTGGACTAGAATAAGTTTTTAGAAATATATACAGGTACTGTACTGTACTGAACTGAACTGAACTGAACTGTATTGCTAAAACACTGTGATACATGGTCAGGGATTTTTTGGACTTTTAAAAAGACTAGTTGTCTTTAAATGGAGTTTAATGAAGGCTTTTTTAGGTTTCTGTATTTTACTTGTAGAAAATTTCTAAGGAAATATTTCTTCAAATGTCAAGAGCTGTTATGCCCTCATTGATGTAGTTTTGAGATCATACAAAGTTAAGATTACCATGTTATAAAGATGGTGTTCTTTTCATACAGGTGGAACTAAGCACTTCAAGATGGCCAGGTGCATCAGGACCTCTGACAAGAAGGTTCCAGGCATGGCGAATGCACCAGAAATTTGGTGTACGCAACTGTTTTCACCCAGGAGCAAGTGCCATGTCACGGGATTATGTTGGAATTGCTTCTAAGGAAGTAACTGGGCGAGAGATGCTGGTTGCACTTGCGTCATATGTTTGGCCCAAAGTAAGTGTACTTTTGGCATGCCTATGTGTTGTCACTTTTGTATACCTGTACTGTAATTACTGTAGTGCTGTATTTGATTATTAAAAGTTTTAAGTCCATCAAAATATGATATAAATAGTTAAGATTTAATTGCAGTGTAGTTTTAATATTACATGGTATTCTTGGTTGTTGTCTTTAGTCACAAGGAACAATCATTTTATGAACTTTTGAGAATCTGGTTTAAGGCCAGCCAATTATTACCTGGTCCCCGGGTTTGTCATCGTGTTTGTTGCTCAGCTTGGTGTTTCTACTGTTAATGTAATGTTTTAGAACATTGTACTGTACTTAGTAATTATTTTGTTGATTAAGTTAACCCAAAAATTGAATAAAAACTATATTTTGTGGGCTGGCATCATGTAGATTTGAGAAAGACTTAATTTATTTAATGGGAATCTATTTATGATAAGAATTCATTTTAAATGCCTACAGAGTTTAGGATGGAGAAACATGAAAGGTTTCACCCAAATAGGAGTACTGTACAGTATTCTGCATTATTTTTTCTTTTTTGGGGGGGTCACTGGAAAAAGATAACAGACAGAAATCACAAAAACATAGTGGTGAAGTGATCTAATTGCAACCTTAATTTGCAAACCCTCATGACTGTACCACAAGAATAAAGAATACATTGCTTATATGTTTACCATTTTTTCTCAAAACATAATTTGATTTTACTCTGCAGGATGCCCCTAAAGTTAAAGCCCGTGTGGTGACAGCACTTGGACTTCTAGTTGCAGCTAAGCTGGTCAATGTGCAGGTACCATTCATTTTTAAGGATGCAATAAACTACTTGAATGAGAACACAGGAGATGCGCTGGCCATGACAGATCCTTCTTCTGCTGTGGCCACAACTGCTATATCTCTCATGATTGGATGTGAGTGTCTTGCTAACCATAATTTTATTTTTCATGGTAGATATAAAACAACTCAACTTTATTCTGTTATTGAGGGTAGGGTAATGATTTATGTGAATATAGTTTATAACATGGCCATATAAGACCAAGGGACCATGAACCCAAAACATCGGGTATGTAAAATCTGTCAAGAATTTTTGCTTAGGCAGCTTTAATTAAAAAAAGATCAAAGCAAACTGAAACAATATGATGTAGGCATAATGGCATTCTTGACACCTGTCAATAACATAATAACTGATGTGTTGTATTATTTAATTTGATTGAAGTAAGCTTAATCTAGTGACTACTAGTATTAATAACAGCAGGGATGATAAGCTGGTAAACCCTGTCTTTGCAAAAAAAGTAATATGTACAGTAACTTAAAAAAATATTATATGAGTGAATAGTCCATAGTAACTGCTTGCTGTCTATACATGTCGTTCACAAAATTCTTTCAAAGTGAAAAAGTACTGCAATGTACTTTACTGTATGTTGAATGAACATCATGCAGACTTGGGTATTAGTTATTTCTAAATTGTGGTGGGTGTTTCGTAGTTATGGTAAATGGTGAGACATGAACCTTTATGGTGGTGGGGGTAGTGTTAGACAGTTGTTGTGTTGGTGATAGGCAGTGGTTGGTAGTGTTAGATAATGATTGTTGGTAGGTAGTGTGAGGCGGGGGTCATGGTTGTTATATTGTTGTGGATAGTGATAGATAGTATTGGTGCTAGGTAGTGGTAGGTGATATTACCCTGTGGTAGATATATAACCACCCACCATTTTCCTTCACTGGGATCATCAGCTTGGTAGAGTTGCATCATTTTATGCCATTTGTTTGTTTGGTTCTGTGGTGTACATTGTTCATGCTGTGTAGTAATGAAATTTTGTATTGTAGTAACAATCCTGATTCTGTTTATTCTTTTAAAAGTACAGTGGTCTCTCAGTTAACGAACGGTTAAATTAACGAAATTTCGGTTAACGAATTACCTCCCATAAGGATCTTCAATTCAATTAACGAACAAAACTTCGATTAACGAAATCCTTACGAACAACGCGTTTTGTTGTGAGCATCAGCTGATCAGCTGATAGGCTAGTCTGCCAATTCAGTAATCTGTTCTATGTTTACATTCGTTTCCAGTGGAGTAAATATTAAGAAAGTTGTGCTCTTGAATATTTTTGCATTTTTTTTGTATTAAAATTATTAGTCATTTTAAAATTTAGTTAACATATTGATAATATATGCAGTACAGGGAACTAGTTTTTTGTGCGCCCATCAGCCGCTTGACTCAGCCACCAGGCGTCAGTTTGTCTTTGTTGACAGTGGAGTGAACATCTATTTTGTTGGTGTCTTGAATATTTTTGCATTTTTACATTGAAATTATTGGTCATTCTGAAATTTAGTTAACATATTGATAATATATAGTGCAGTGCAGTGTTGATTTAAATAAAATAATCTTGAATTACACCGAGTGAACTTAAAATTTTATTGGTGACATGACGGCATCAAGCATGGGTCCCCTGAAAGGTGATTTCTCCTCCATCCCCACTTCCTTCTCTTCTCCCTTCTCCTCCACCCCCACTTCTAATTCCCATCATCATCATCAACCAGGAACCTTCTACATACACACCTCAAAGTAAGTGTGCTTTACTGCATTTTTTTTTTTTACTTTGTATGTACTTTTCTGTGAGCTGGAACCAATTACCCAATATCCCATTGAAATAATGGATTCGGTTAACGAATGACTGAGGAACGAATTGTGTTCGTTAACCGAGGGACCACTGTATTGTACTGCACTGTTATTACTACATTTCAATACCATATGTACCCTATTAAAATTGACTAAATGGCTGACACCCTACACTGCTGCCCACCACTTGTTTGTGAATGAGTTGCACTTGAATTACTGTACAGTTCAAGTGTTTAGTCATGTTGCATTAAACTTATTGCTACCATACAATGCAGTGTGTATATTGTATAGTATAATTATTTTTTATTGCATTATTAATTATTACAATATGTTTTCATTCTTTTTTTTACAGTACAGTACGGTATTGTACAATTACTATATATATATATATATATATATATATATATATATATATATATATATATATATATATATATATATATATATATATATATATATATATATATATATATATATATATATATATATATATATATATATATATATATATATATATATATATATATATATATATATATATATATATATATATATATATATATATATATATATATATATATATATATATATTATACATATATATATATATACATACTCCTCGACTTACAACATACTCGACCTACAACCACCCTGATATACGACCGCCTCATTCGTACCAAAATTTTGTCAAATTACGTATTTTCGAGTCCCAACGTTAGTGATTCCGCTGTGTACTGACAAAATTTTTGCTTGTAATTCACTTTAAAATGGCTGGCAAGCTTAAAAGTGAGAGTTTTGTGGTGCTGAGAAGAAAAAGAGACACCCATCTTAGATTTTCTATGTATTATTTAAGCATTTTCAACTTACGACCTGGATTTGGGTCCCTAACCCCATCGTAAGTCGAGGAGCAGCTGTGTATATATATAAATAAGATTTTTGAATAAACAAGGCACTACTGTATTAACACTAGTAGCTTTATATATAAAGTAAAACTGCCTGATTGACTACATAGTATATCAACAGATGGAATTGCCCGTACAGGAGCTGCTGGTTTCAATGAACTTCGGAATGCAGTGTTTGCTAAAGTTGCACAGAATTCCATCCGCAAGATTGCAAAGAATGTATTTCTGCATCTTCATAGCCTAGATCTGAACTTCCACTTGAGCAAACAAACTGGGGCACTGTCTAAAGCTATTGACCGAGGCAGTCGTGGAATTAACTTTGTAATGTCAGCACTTGTGTTCAACGTTGTGCCTACAATATTTGAAGTGTCTCTAGTATCAGGGATATTGGTAAGTGAAGTTTTCACAACCCAGTAATTTATATGCATGCATTAGGAAGCTTATTTACAAATGTGTAGGTAAATTAAAATGGGAAAATTACTCAAACATTATTTTAAATTTTGGTTGGGATTACCCTATATAATACATGAGGGTGTAGAGATTGTGGATCCCTGTGTGCTTTTATTTCGCATTTAAGTGAATTTTATGAAAGGAAATTAATTTATTAGGGCATTTAGTTCAACTAAAATAGTGCATTTTGTTGTGTGTTACGTCTGGTGATGCTAAACTCCATCACTATGGGGACACCACTTCTAATGTTTTAATTGGTTAACGTCAGACGTTTTATTCAATACACTACAAAGAGACCCCGAACACAAGGGGTTAATAGTTTTAACAATTCTTGAAAATAAATTGCATATTGACAATTTCTTAAGTACAGTACAATATAGCACTGGATTTTCATAAAAATTTCAGCACCAAACAAATATAGCTTGGTGTTCACCTAAACTCTGGTATATGAGGTCTGATCAAAAAGTATTCAACCTTTAGCAAGTGAAAAAAAAACAAGCTTACTTACTGAGTTCAGACTTTAATCCCCTTCAAAGTAGGCCCCTTGGGGCTCAACACACTTAGTCCAGCGGTCCTTCCATTGCTGGAAACATTTTGTAAAGTCAGTTTTTGGAATTGCCAACATGATCGTCGTTGCATTTTTCTTTATCTCATTTGTGTCCTCAAATCTCGAACCCTTCAGCGGCATCTTAATTTTAGAAAACAACCAAAAGTCGCAGGGAGCCATGTCAGGAGAGTAGGGAGCCTGCCAGACCTGTGTGATCCTGTGTTTGGCCAAAAAATCCTGGACAAGATGGGATGAGTGGGCTGGAGCATTGTTGTGGTGGAGCTGCCAGTCCTACGCCTCCCACAACTCTTGTCTCCACCTCAACAATGCTCCAGCCCACTTGAGGGTAGACTGTCGCATTTTTTATAAATTTGTTTCTGATAATTATTTATGAGAGTATTTTCCCATTATTATTTATTTGTATGTGTTTTGTGTGTGTGTGTCTACACACACACACACACATACATATATATACAATACAGTACAGGTATTAGAAATAATTGCCCTAAGGGCAAAGACATAAAGGGAATACAGTACGTAGATGCATTTCTTAGTACACAAGTAAAATTTAACCCCCACCCCCCCCCTGTAAATTAGAGTTTGCCTGTACCACAAGTCTCTTTTTATCTGTAACCTGCCTTCAGTTTTCAGCTAAATTACTTGGAATGTAAACACTAAAAATGCACATGAAGTCAGGAAATTACATGAGGATAAGAGGGTTTATTTTGGTTTAATTCGGCTGAAAATTTGTGGTATACTTTCCAGGCTTACAAATGTGGTTGGCAGTTTGCAACAGTGACAGTGGCATCCATTGTAACATATGCTGCATTTACCCTGGGCATAACACAGTGGCGTACTAGGTTCCGAGTTCAGATGAATAAAGCGGAGAATGAAGCTGGAAACAAAGCCATTGACTCTCTTATCAACTATGAGACTGTAAAGGTATGTACATCTTAAGCAGTACATAGTTATCAAAGATAGGTAGAGGTTGGTATATAAATAGATTTCAGACTTGTTAGTAATGACAAATTGGACATTTGATGTGCAATTTTTGTATGAGTAAATATAATATATTCCGTTAGTCTTTTACTTTGTGTTTGTACAGGATGTTATGACTAAATGCTGTATGCTGGTCCTGAGTACTGTTGTTCAGTCTACTGTTATTTTAGAATCTTTGTATGTACATATACAGTACCTGTTCTTGTACTGTTGTGTTTGACTGGCTGGTGAAGTGAATAAAATTGCTTACTGGGTACTGTACTTGTTTATACAATATTACTGTACTGTGTAATTTAGTATCAAACACAACACAAGTTTGTGTGTTTTCTTTTAATTTATGGTTGGCTGAGGAATATAATTGCTTTAGAAGCATTAAATTTTTGTTAGGACAATCACACACTGCAGTGACAGTGTCATGGCACTGACACATGTGCTGTTGTTGTAATATATTGTGTAGGGTTTGTTAGTAAATTTGATTGTGAACTTGTGTTTTTCAGTATTTCAACAATGAGAAGTATGAGGCAGACCGATATGACATGTACCTTCAGAAGTATGAGCAAGCCTCTTTGAAAACTGCAACATCCTTGGCTCTGTTAAACTGGGGTCAGAATGTAATATTCAGTGTTGCATTGTCAGCCATGATGGTCCTAGCAACCAAGGAAATAATTGCAGGTAAGGAAGAAAGATTATCGAATTAAGCAAATAGGAGAAGGTGATAGTTTACATAGATGAATATAAAATATAAAATTTAGTTATATTTTTATCATCTACTTTCTTGTCTGGGATGTTTAACATTTTACCATGGTACTCTTCCCTCTATTTTGCATGTCCTATACACTGTAGTCATCCATTTCCTTTTCTTTTATAATCTTTGTGTTTCTTATTTCTTTCCATCTGATCACTCTGTACTCTTCCCCCTCTTAATAGAGTTTGAATCACATTTATTTATGGACTACAATTACTAAGATACGTGAACATAATAATTACAATGTCCTAACAACAACTGTATCTTCACTTTTTCTCATTGTTGCAAACTGTGCATTCTTACCTTTAGCATTAGACTCATTTAGAACTAACCTTCAATAATATATTAAGCATGTGATACCATTTTTCATCTGATAAATGCAAAACCTTAATATTATGTATAATTATTACATTAGTTTATGATTGCTGATGTCATTGTTGCATTGACAGTTAGTCATGTGTTGTAATATATTGCAGGCAATTTGACTGTTGGTGATCTGGTGTTGGTTAATGGGCTGTTATTCCAGTTGTCACTACCACTTAACTTTTTGGGATCAGTTTATCGTGAAGTTCGTCAGGCTCTCATTGACATGCAGACCATGTTCACACTTATGAAACAACCTGCATCTATTGCGGTGAGTGCACCTTCAGTAATTGTCTTCTTCTTTTTTAAATAAAGTTTAATATCTGAGCACACTTAAAATCTTCAAAAACCTTGTCAAGGCTTCCTCCTTCATCACCTAAAGTATGCATAATCCTAAACATACTGTAACATATTTTATGCTCCTAATACAGTGGAAGTCTCCACTCCATGATTATGTTGCTCTTAAGTTGATCAACATGATATAAATTAGAAATAGGATTTTTCATTTTTTTAGATCATAATCATACTTATTGTCCCATACCTTAACCTAACAGGTCTCTAAACAAATGGGCATACAGTACAATACAGTCTTAGTGTATCTCTTTCTGGGCACAATGATGATATGTGATAACCTTTTGTCTTGTTTGTTCATTATGTACTGTTTATAACATCCTGCCAGTCTTTGGAGACTCAAGTACTTTACCCCTCAAATCTATGGGATGCAACCAAGGTTAACCCCAATATTGACAGCACTCAGCAAGCATTCAGTGCATCTCTCCCTTTGCAACCTTGGCCCTCAGTAGTGAGGAGTCGGGGGCGGGGAGTCATTACTCAAGGTTGAGAGTTAAGTGAGTTTTGGTGTTACAGCAATTTGAGCACCCACACATTCTCATGTCCACCATCTGCTGACTACTACAATGAATTTCCAGTAGCAAGCCTCATTCTAGCTATTTTCTCACTTGGGGCATATTATTCCTTCATTAAGGAGCTGGGTCTTGTTTTCACCTAATTTTTTAGTGCAAAATATTTGTTGCTCATGTGGTATTTAGTGCTTTTGTAAGCTTCACAGTGAAGAGTAGGAAAAATTCCCTTGGGTTAGTTATTTGGATGGAAGGGGCTGGCTTTTTATTGACAATAAGATTTTTCTAGACATACAAATAAATTTGATGAATTTGGATTTGGCATAGCTAATTGGCATGACAATCTGTGAATTTGTGTAACAACATCAAGTTATGTTCTTGGGTAAAAGTGACTTAAGTAGCAGGTCCAGAATATTTAGGGTTCACTCCAAGGCCCTCACATCAGGGGACGATCTCAGTGGGAGAACTTATGAGTTAGACGAGTTCAAGGATGGTCTTCCTCTAGGTATTATTATTTTGTGCTCATTAATATATTGTCTCATACAAGCTATTTGCTTGTCCTTTTTGCAACCTTTAATCTTACCTTTGAGTAATTGGATATGCACATACTATTTCCTCTCTACTGACTAGTCTGTGTTCCCTTATGCCTTGATCGTAGGGCATATAAGGATTTTACAGAAGATGTTACATGTGTTAAACTACAGCTTGGTTGTTCATTGGGGGCATTTATATTTCTTATTGTAATTTGTGAGTCAATCTTTCCCATTGTCTTTGTTATCCCTCAACCAGAAAATATTTCCAGTATTGGTCAGTTCCAAGTCATTTTCCCAGGTATCTCACCTGTCTCTTTATTGCTCTCGTTGTATCACTTGTTATATGATTTTTTCTCTTGCAGTGTGCAATGATTTAGGGATTTTCCCATTATAATGTGGGGGTCTTGCAAAATTGCATATTGCCCCCTGAGATGACTTCAAGATAAGAATTAGGGGACTCTCGGCTTTTGAATTGGGGTTCCACTCGGGCCAAGGGACAGGATTTACTTTTCTAGGTATGAGGTTGCTTAAGCTTTTGTCATTTGGTGACCAGTATAGTATAGGTTGGGTTCCTAGTTAATTTTTTTTTAGTCTTGAGATTGTCCCTAACTGATCATAACTCTGAAATAAAGGATGGATACTTTCAAATGATGTAAATCATCAGGATTTTTTAAGACAGACAGGTATCCTTGAATTGATGGCAGGCTCTAAACTCTAAGCCAATGATTTTGTTGAGTTCAGCTGGACTAGGGATGGCACAGCTGATGGTGGGCAAAGGAAGATCTACTTACACAAGCTATTGTTGCAACAAGACTCCCTTAGCTCAGCTTATAGTGGTGACTTTGCTTCCCAGGCCTCTCTTCAGGGGCAAGTGTTCGAATGAGAGAGGCATACCATCCATCAGTTTTAGAGGTTAATACTGGTTCCAACTCCATGTCCCAGTTATGCTATAAAATTTGATTTTCAAGATTAATTCCTGATTACCATATTACTTTAGGCACTTTTTCAAACTTTATATGAATGTTTTCAGTGATTAATTTCAGTGACAGTGTATTATTGAAACCTGTCCTCAAATTCCAGACTCGTGACATGGCCTCAAGTCACATATAGAATTTGGGCGGAGATGTAAAAGCTAGTTCACAATTTCTTCTCCAGAACCACCAAGTGACTTGAAGTAAAAGCTAGTACAGTATTACCCCGCTTTACACGGTTTCACTTTCTGCAATTTCTCATTTACGCGATTTCTCGTACCTTGCCAGAACCGGACTTTCACTTTCCACGGTGCATCTACTCATATACGCGGTGAAGTATAATTTTTTTTTTTTTTTTTTTTTTTTAGCTCATAAAATTCATACAAATTACCCGGCCAGAATATAATTTACATTGCTGGAATTCTTACAATATGATGATCATTTTGAATATAAACATCATGGATTTTGCATTAGACATACAAAATTTAGATCTACTGTAATAATTTGGTTTACACAAAGCAAATATTTTACCCTTTGTGCAGAATATATGAAGTTTACATTCAAAATATTCCCTGACCTGCAAGGAATCCAGAAATGTCAATTATATTATCCTAACTTTAGTCTTGAGTTATTATTTATTACTAAAAATGTAAATATACTATTTTCTCCCAAAGCTTCTCTGGTAGGGAGGGAAGGTGGGGGGTGGGAGTTAGGGATGGAGGGAGGGAGGGACCAACCAACCCAGCTACGGCGGAATATTTTGATTGACAGATAGTGTCCTTGAAGAATATTTCTTTGTTTATTTACTGAAGATATATGTTTTAGCTCATAAAATTCATACAAATTACCCGGCCAGAATATAATTTACATTGCTGGAATTCTTACAATATGATGATCATTTTGAATATAAACATCATGGATTTTGCATTAGACATACAAATTTTAGATCTAATGTAATAACTTGGTTTACACAAAGCAAATATTTTATCTTTTGTGTAAAATATATGAAGTTTACATTCAAAATATTCCCTTACCTGCAAGGAATCCAGAAATGTCAATTATATTATCCTAACTTTAGTCTGAGGTATTATTTATTACTAAAAATTAAAATCTAGTGTTTTCACCCAACATTTCTCAGAGAGGTAGGAGCTAGTGAGCTGAGAAGAGGGGGGGGGGGGATTTGAGTCCATTATTTGAATGGACATTAAGCTGGCGACTGTATTTCTCTTAAATATTAATTGTGTGAACATACCATCATAAAATTTAGATGTTATTTTTACTACAACATAGGTATTGTGTCGGAAAAAGTGGAGTTTGGGGGTCGGGCCAGTCTCTATTGGAATTAATCCCATATGTTCTGTTGTTCACTTTACGCGGTTTTCACTTTCCGCGGTACCCTGTGGGTTCAATTGACCACGTAAATCGGGGTATTACTGTACACATATGCTGTATATTGGGGAGGGGGGCAAAGAAAAAAATGCAAAAACAACAATTGCCATCCTTTTGGATTCCTTAACATACAAATGTAAGGTTCTCTACTTGATGTCCCAGAACCATTGTCTGCTTCCATTGCAGAATATATACTGGTAATACTGTAGTATAAACTAGGTTGAAACAACCTCCCGTACCACATTCTGTAGCTCCTTTACAAATATTTTATATAAAGGGGCACTTCTTTCATTTTTTGGGCCTCATTATGTTTTATATACTAAAAGGCAGTTCTTTAAAGTTACTGTGTCTAACACATGACCACAACTTTTTTTACACTAACACAGCAACTGTCAGCAGAAGGGATAGCTTAGTCAACAAATATTATCATGTACTATATATTTTTTTAGTGTTTTATATCTTTGCCAATTTATTTTATTTCATTGTTATAATGTATATTCATTTCACATTCTTACAGAATGCTCAAAATGCAGTATCATTGAGAATTCCTCAGGGAGAGGCTTCAATTACCTTCAACAATATCTGCTTTGGATACAACAAAGAAAATCCAATATTGAATAATTTAAGCTTTACTGTTCCGGCTGGCAAGAAGATAGCCATTGTAGGAGGTTCTGGATCAGGGTGAGAAATACTATTTTGACAGTAGCATAAGAAAATATACAATAATGCACTTTTACTCATTCTTTGTTACTATTTTAATGTACAGATCAGAATTTCACTCTGAGAGTGTTAATCCAAACATGTAGACAGAAAAAGGTACAGAATGCCCTTAAAATTCATGGGGGTTTGGGTCTCAAAATGGCCACGAATTGCCAAGTCCGTGAATATCATTTGCTAACCGGGGGAGGGGAGGGGAGGGTTTTAATTTTTTTTTTTTTTTTTTTTTTGGTACAGTGAACCCTCGGAGATCCAGACTAAAAGGGGAGACCATCTATTGTCTTTATTTTCCGGTGAATGTATTAAATATATAAAAATTATAAATAATGGTATAAGATGCATCCCCCATTTTAGCAGTGGGTATTTAGGATTTTTTTTGTGTGTTTTCCTCCTGTAGCTATAGTTTTCTTAAAATAATATATATAGTACCAGTAAATGTGAGGAATCAATAAAAATAATACCAATAAATAAGTTACAACAAAAGATACTGTATTGCCAAAACAGTAAATAAAAGCCAAATTAAAGTTTAACACAGTTGCCATTTGCATACACTCCCTGTTTCCCCATAGTAACGAAGACCAGCTGGGACGCCGATTCCCTAGCCCCCCACCACCGAGCCAGCTAACTCGTATGCAAAGAAATGTATATTCCCGATTACGTGTTTGCCCTTAGAACAATTATTTCTTTTACTTTTTCACAATATGTATGTAGGATGGTGTGTGCATGTAACTGAGTAAAAATAAATGAAAGTTACGTATATCTATCTGTAAATACGAATTGAAAACAACCATAACACTTCACAGCTTAGCCCAGTAGCCTGGTGGTTACAGTGACGAGTCTAACCTAGGTACAAGGCCATGATTAATCACTATTCTATCAGAAAACACTAATAATAATAGTAAATCCAGTGAAATATGGCAGGGAGGGAGGAGAGTTACAAGAACAGACAAAGAGCTAACTAGCAAACCTAGTCGCTCACTCCTCTTACTGCTCCCGATGGCCACTCTTAAGTTTGTCCAGCAGTTGTATCCTCTCCATGAGGGTCTTGACCTTCTTTTCTCTCTTCACTTGTTTGGGTGCTTTCCCATGGCTGGATGAAGGTGGTTGAGGGCATTTGGGAGCCATCACAAGCATGAGGAACACAGTTATTAAGAGAGCAGAGTAGAACACGCGCGAGACAAACAAATGTTTATCCTGGACTGAGGCGGAGCAAACATGAGTGGGCCAGCCTCCCGGGACAAGAGAGACACCTTGCGGGACACCACAAAACTCACACACTCCCGGCCGTAAACATGCCGCCAACTTTAACCCTTAAGCCCCGGGTTAGGGTGCTGCTGGCAGTACCCCCTTGCGGGGATAAATCGAGAAAAAAAAAATTACCGGAAAATAGTCGGATGTTCTGGAACGTCAACCGGGGCCTAAGGGTTAAAACTACCCTCAGATATTCTTGGGCACATCCCAGGTGTCATCTGCAAATAATTGAAGGCTGTGAATTAAAATCAGCGAATTGTAAGGGCATGCTGTACTATAATTTCTATGTTTTGTTATTTGGAAAATGCTTATAATAAAGTAAGAGGGAAGTCATGTACAATACAGTAATAACCCTATGAACACTACAGTGCAATTTTCATGTACGTCTCCTACATGCTAAAGCCTTAATTTGAATCTTAATTAGCATCTTTATTTTAATGATACCGAGTAGTTATTTGACATGTTCGGAAATCTATTTTGGCTTGTATCAGCCATTATTATGAAATGATACATAATATTGAGATTGAGTAGATACCTTAGAATAGTTCACCATAATTTTCATATTACAGTACATTAACTCTTAAAATTTACCTTCATGATTGTGTACCATTTATTGTGAAATATAATAAATTATCTGATATCTAGTAATTTTGTTCCCACTAACAGCAGAGGGCATTAAGTGTTTGCCTTTTCTGTGTATTCATTTATTTATTTTTTGCATGGGAAAAGTGTTTCACCAAGGTTGGGCCAAATGTTTTACAAAATATTTCTTCATAACCATTTGTCTTATTTTGTATCCCCTTTAAGAAAGTCCACACTCGTGCGCCTCCTGTATCGTTTCTATGACCCCTGCAGTGGCAGCATCACCATTAATGGACAAGATATTAATGGTGTAGCCCTGGATAGTCTCAGACGTGCCATCGCTGTTGTGCCACAGGTAGGTGACAACAAAGTTTTATGTCTACATTCTTCGTCTTCAAAATCCTTCAGCAAATTTATTTTATACAGTACATGTTTGAAAAGTATATGCCCCGTTGTGTGCCTCTTGACATAAGGTATTGTACCAGTGAAATTTCCCATTGACTTTCAAATTGCATTCACAAAATACTTGATATCTGACTTCATCTTGTAGTGGCAGTTTCTTTCTGTAATTTGGGCGTGTATAAATCTGTTTTGGTCCGTTTAAAACCAATCATGCTTTTAACTGTGGGTGTGAAAGCACGACAAATACGAGAGACTCATACATATGAGGTGTTCCGAGCAACAATCCCAAACTCACCATGGTCCTGAAATTCCATTTTCTATGGTGCTAGAATGGCCTCCCTTCCTGAGAAGATGGGACTGACGGCTAGTGGCATGCTAGGAGTTGTCATCCTGTAAATGGCATTGTTTTATAAGGGTAGCAGTCTACCTGGTTTCAGCTAAGTTGCGAATCAGACTTTCGAGCAGCAACCCCAAACTCACCACAACCATTTTTCATCATTAATTCCATACCTTACAATCAATTGGGCAGTTTATGTTTTGGGTTTAAATAATAATGTCTTTTTTAAATCTGATGGTGCAGTACTCGAGGGTCATAGTTTCCTTATTTTATTTTATTTTATCTTTAGAGTAATTGTAGCCACTTTGATATTTCCCCTAATCTAATACCCTATACCTTTAAAATGAGACCCAAACCATAATTTTCTAACTATTATTGGAGACGTTAGGGTGAAAAACAGGTTTCAAAAGTTTATCGCTTATTTCTTTTTGGTGATTTTGGGGTTGTTTCATGGAGTGCCTCATAATATGTCCTCATGTACAGTAGGATCTCAAGTGTATGTGTTACTTAATAAGTTGGTACTGTATAGTCCTGTACTGCACCTAAATTTGTAACCCCTGATATAAGCAAAAAGTCTATGTGGTTTTATTTGATGACATTTTAAGTTTTGGACAAACTCCTCTGTATTTTGTAAGGAAAAAATATTGATTGTAGAATAGTGTGCTGTATATATAATATTTATTATAACTGTATGTAGAAAAAAAATAGTAAATGAATGTTAACTACAGGATTGTGTGCTGTTCCATGACACAATATCATACAACTTGAAATATGGAGACCTCACTAAGGACAATAGCTGTGTGCAAGAAGTTTCTCAGTTGGCTGAACTCCATGACTCTATCCTCACCTGGAGCAATGGTTATGACACTCAGGTAAGACCATCTCCAACTTTTAATTTTGAAATAAATTTTTTCCAAATCTGAGCACCATCATGAAGCTGTTGTTTTACTACAGTATCATGTTTAATAATAGTAAGGTACAGGTATTCAAAAATTGTATGTACAATACTATTCATTAAAGCATTTCATAATGAAACTTGAGCTTGAACTGAGGCTTGTCACTTAGTACAGTAGGTCATCACTTGAAAGTAATTAAAGTTAATATTCCCTCCCCCTCCCCTAGCAGGTACTGAAATATTTATTTATGTAATTTAATGCCCACGAATTTTGGCAGGTGGGAGAGCGGGGACTGAAGTTATCTGGGGGAGAAAAGCAGCGTGTGGCAATTGCACGAGCCATTTTGAAAGATGCCCCCATCCTTATCTTTGATGAAGCAACATCATCCTTAGATTCTATTACTGAACAGGTAAGATAATTATGAGTGCAGTCAGAATTAGAATATGTACAGTAGAATTCTAACTGCATGATGCTTTATAACAGTGATCAGGCTTACTTGGTAAAAAAAAAAAAATTGGACTATTTTTCAACACATGTACATACAGTATATCACAAAAGTATCTGCCAGGATGAGTCTGATGACTTCTAAAATGCTATATGCAACTAGTGATGTCCCGGGAGGGTTGGTATGCATGGTTCTATGCCGTACTGATCTTACTACATTTGGGAACTGAACATATTACTTATGCTGAAATAAATACACATAGCATTGCCAATGATAAACTATACAGGGTAGGAATATGCATATCCCAATACAGTATCTATCATCCATAGTTTCATAATGTTTCACACAATGTGGACGAATACTTTTTTTTTAGATACAGTAAACCCTTGCTTTACGCGGTCCCACTTTACGCGTTTCCACTTTTACGCGGTACCCTGCCGAACACGGAATGCTCACTTTCCGCAGTGTGTGCACCCTTTTACGCGGAGAGCGGCGCGAGCAGGGTGCACACAAGGTCGCCCAGTCATCAAAACATAACCGAGTTCTTCACCACAGCCGGCCCAAGTCAGTGATAGTGATAATGATCGTGAGGATATGGAATTTGAGGGGTTTGACAAAGAGGCCCTGCAAGCCTCTGTGGTGGATAGTGATACAATTGATACAAGTGATACAGGTGAGGGCCAATAATCTGCCCTCTGCCTCGGAACCAACCTCCCATCCCCGTGTGCCCAGCCATCTTTTCTACTAATGTAAGTGTTAAAAAACCTAATATTATTGATATTTCTCTTAATTATTAATTGTGTGTGCATACCATCATAAAATTAAGAAGTTATTTTTACTACAACGTAGGTATTGTGTCTGAAAAAGTGGAGTTTGGGGGTCAGCCCGGTCTCTATTTCAATTAATCCCATATGTTATGTTGTTCACTTTACGCGGGCCGCTGTGGGTTCAATTAACCGCGTAAAGTGAGGGTTCGCTGTACTGTATAATTGGTCCGAAAAGTATCTCGATGGAGGGGTCCAATGAATTTGAAAATGAACACTAGTTGTCATAAGGGTTTTCAAAATCCTTCATCCATTGTGTTATATTGTCTCACAAAATCGTAAAGATACATTTTGGAGCAAGAAAAGTCAGTAGTACTGTACAATGTACATATAATATTGATACTTATTAATCTAAGATGCTCTGCAGTGGAACTCTCTTAAGAGTATGATTTTGTCACAGTAAGCTATATCATGATTATTTTATAGGGAACATAATTTGTTAGTCATGGCATACCATATTTTACAGCATATAAGACACACTTTTTTGTCTGAAAAATGGCTAAAAAACCAGCCTGCGTCCTTTATGTGAAGTTGAGGTCTCCTGTAAGCTAATGAATCCCCCAGTTGTTGTCTCCATTAGGCTAAATTCTATCTAACCTAACTCCAGAATTAAAAATATGTTATTGCTAATGAAACACATTATTATTTTTTATTAATTAAAAAATTAATTATTATAAATATAAAAGCTTGATTTATAACTTTTGTACTGATGATGATAATCTGAGACAATTAACGTCCATACGGCAGACACCCAACCTTTCAGAGGTATCTAAGCAGTAACCATTTCTGAACTCTTACAGGCATTACAATCTATTAATGCCATAACTGCAACATTTATTTTTATATCTACAAATGTGTACCTGATACAAATGAAGATTTACATATAACTTTCTTTTTACAATTGCATCTGTTAACATTGTTGACAGCATTATAGCCAGGTTAAATTTGTCACTATAACAACCAGGCTACTGGTGTTATGATTTCTTCATCTCGTATTTTCAGATAGATATACGTAACTTTCTTCATTTATTTTTACTCGGTTACTTGCACACACCATCCTACATAACATATTTTGAAAAATAAAAGAAATAGTTGTCCGAAGGGGAAACATGTAAAGAGAATATGCTTTTCTTTACACACAAGTTAGTGGGCTAGTTCAGTGAGGGAGCGGGTGGAGGTGGGCTGTAGGTGGGGGTAAGCCTTGCGAGGGAACCGGTGGAGGTACAGTAGCTTCTGTGTTGCTATGGTGATCCAGGGACTATATGCAAGTGGTGACTGTTAAACTCCCATTTGGCTTTTATTTATTGGTTTGGCAATACAGTATTTTTTGGGGTACCTTATTTATTAGTATTATTTTTATTTATTCCTCACATTTACTGGTACTGAATATATTATTTTAAGAAAAATGTGGCTACAGGAGGAAAATACTCACAAAAGTTTTTTCCTAAATACTCCCTGCTAAAATGCCATAAAATACGGTAACTGAAGGGACAGCGGAGGGCCCCAAGCTCTTGAGTAGTATTGAGAATGCCATTCAGGGGTAGATTTTGTATGACTAAAAGAATGTAAATTTTTTTTATAATATTTCTTATAGACTATTCTTAGTCAAGTTGCCTTACTGTTTACCCTTGTTGTTTACCTGCACTGTTTCGGCACACAGAAAGTTGTATACTCCTACGGCCTACATGCACCATATACCTACGTTGTCTGTATTCATGCTAAAGTGTAAAACTGCATAGTTTATAAACAAGCTTATCCAGTTGTAAACCTCCAGGTGCCCTTTTCATGTCTGATTTTGTTACCATGGGCATCCACTCCATAATAGTGATAATACATTTGTCACTCATAGTAGGCACTGCTGACATATGTCAAGTTTTGGAATGTAATAATTTTATTACAACTGTACTGTACAGTATATGATGCCAAAGTAAAGCTTATGTAACAAAATAAAAGTTTGTAATATTTCTGCAGAGCATAATGGATGCCCTGAGATGTGCAACGGCAGGAAGGACATCCATCTGTATTGCTCATCGTTTGTCAACTGTCATTGATGCTGATGAGATCCTTGTTCTGCATGAAGGTCAGATCACAGAGAGTGGTACTCATGAAGAGCTACTTGCCCTAAATGGCTATTATACCAGACTGTGGGCTTCACAGCATCATGTGTAAAGAAAGTAGGTACTGTACTCCTGCATAAATTTTGACACAGAACACTTGCATCTTTGTCTTTCAGGAAAAGACAAAGAAATTCATAGAAAAGTTTTTTGTAATATTCCTATAAAATGTTTAGTTTAATTCAGAATTCCTACACAAACATAATGTGTTCTCTCTGATTACCCCCTCCCCCCCCCCCCTTATAATGAAAATATCAAAGGTAAATTCTCCATGAGTTTTATCTGCAATATTACTGATCACTGTTCTTTCCAACTATTGTGGTGAACTCATAATTAATAAAAAAATTCTTTATCCAATCCTTCAGTGAGCATAATACCTTGTTTAGTTTAACAAAATTAAGTGCTAAGGATAACCTGGTAATGTAGTAACTCTTAAATTGTAGCCATTTTTTTAGGCCAGTCACCACTGGTGAACACTCAGTTTCCCTCCAGAATCCATGATAGTTGTTTATAAGTTAGCCGGGAAAGTAGAAAATTATTACAAATACAATATCTGTAAAGGTAAAGTAAAGTAATTGAATAAGAAATAACTCACTGACTACTTCGTGGTAACACTACCACCAACCAACACCCAAATATCAGCAACTGATATACCAAAGTTAGATGTAGACACACTGAAACCTATTGAATTCTCAGCCTTAAGATTAGCCTATAAAATTTTTGGTGTGCAAGCTTAAGCTTTTCATTATAAGCAGATGTGTCAAGTCAAAAACCAAGACACCTTTTTTTTTCTGAAAGAGGATGGCAAATGTAGGGTCTTCATGAAGTTCCTTGGTTTGGAAGAGAGGATGCTACACACAGCACCACCTGTTTTTTAATATTTGGCTATGATTCCATAAAGGTGGAAACAAGGTTTGAGGTTCAGATATGTCTTTCTTACAGCAAATTTACATGCCCTTGTACCTACTAGAGCCAGGAGCAATCAGTGATACTGATGAGGCATGTATCCTACTGGACTCATTACTCTCCCCACCTCCTGAGATATGTAGGGAACGTAAAGGTTATCGGAGGAGGGAAAATGGAAAGTTCCAGAAAATACATTACATCAAAATGAATATAATGAAGGCAACATTGGTTAATAACTAGGAATTGACAGCATAATGGTGAAATAATGTACCATGGGGTATCAATCAGTCAACAACTGGAATGACTTGGCAGATACAAACAAAATATGTAGGAGTGAAGGAAGTAATGCCAAGACAGTCAATCACAAATCATACTGAATTACAGGGTGCTGGATTATGGGGCTTTGACCTGTACTACCATGCTGCCCTTACCATATCCATTCTGTTGTTATTGGATACTCTGCAGTATGTTTTAAAACCATCAGGTGAAATGTATGTAACTTAGTTAATTTTCATCTTTAGGTTAAAAAAAATTGCAAAATAATGGAATAAGGAGAAGGATGCCAGCAGAGCCATAGATCATGTTTTATGATCCAATTTGCTCTGATCTTTGTAAATGTTGTTACTATATACCAGTACAGTATATATATATATATATATATCCTGTAGATCCACAATGAAAACATGGATAAGATAAATCTTGATAAAATCACACGGAAAAAGGGAAACAACGGAGCACCTTAGCTTTCGTCTTGAATAAAGACGAAAGCTAAGGTGCTCCGTTGTTTCCCTTTTCCCCGTGTGATTTTATCAAGATAGATAGATATAGATATAGATATATATATATATATATATATATATATATATATATATATATATATATATATATATATATATATATATATATATATATATATATATATATATATATATATATATATATATATATATATATATATATATATATATATTAGTCCCTCGGTTAACGAGCACAATCCGTTCTAGAAGGTTGCTCGTTAACCAAAACCATTGTTTCAATGGGTTTTTGGGTAATTGGTTCCAGCTCACCGAAAATTGCCTAAATTCAACAAAAAAAGGTAGAAAAGTACACTTACTTTGAGGTGTGTATGTAGAAGGCTCCTGGATGATAATGATGATGATGATGATGATGGGAATTAGAATGGGGGTGGAGGAGAAGGGAAGGAGAAAGCATTGGGGTGGAAGAGAAGTCACCCCATGGCGCCATTTCACCCATAAAATTTTAGTTCTCTTGGTGTAATTCAAGATTATTTTCTTTAAATCAACACTGCACTGCATTATATATTGTCAATTTGTAAAATAAATTTCAAAATGACCAATAATTTGCTTGCAAACACAGAAAAAAAAGTGTTTAGTTGAAGAGATTCTTAAGCAAGATGTTACCTCCACTGAAAAGACACAAAGACTGACGCCTGCATGGTGTGTTGAGAGGCTGGATGGCGCGCATTAAACTAGTTTCATTACCTTCAATTATGTTCAATAATTGTTAAAATGACCAAAAAAATTAATATTAAACTTTTAAAATAATTGAATAGTATAAACTTCTTGATATTTACTAAAATGGTAAGGAATTTAAGCCCTAGAACCGATTACTGTATTGGCGGACTAATACTACAGCTGGTGGACCGCCAAATGCAAGCGAAAACATGTTCAGGTCGGCTCGTAAGAAACTCGTTAATCGAGGGATTGCTCGTTAACCGAAGTTAAGAATCATATGGAAGGTAACTCGTTAACCGAGGGACCACTTTATATATATATATATATATATATAATTTTTTTTTTTTTTTTTTGTGCATGTGAAGTTGGGGGTTGACCACAAGTACAATCCTCCTCCAAGTATTTGTCACTCACCTTCTCTCCACATATTTTAGTGTGAAAAACTCTGAAGGAACATATGAAACATGTTCCTTACGCATTGGTACTGCTGGCACCTTTTACAACAATGATTACTGAAAGTTCAGTGAGAAAGCAGTAATTATGTACTGTACTGTAGTGTTGAATTTTAGGTATAAGCAGTCATGTTTATATAGAGTTGATTTTTAAATTTTAGTAATGTTAAAGTTGTGTAGAGATTTAACAATAATATTTATATACAGTAGTTTTAACAGTAATGTACAGTATTTATATATAATAATTATTAGTACCAGCAGTAATATTTTCACTTTTTTTTTTAAATCCATTAAGCTGCATCATGAAAGAAGACATCAATAAACAGTCTGCATTTTTAAAAATGTATAAAAGACCTTTAACCCATACTTGGTCTGGTTATGGAATGTTAAATGTTACCCCCTGGTTGGCTAAATTTTATTTTATTTTTTATTTGTTTTTCCCTAAAAGGTGGCTAAATTTTATTTTATTTTTTATTTGTTTTTCCCTAAAAGGTGCAGTTTGATGTATAAAACCCAAGAATAACATTAATTTTGACTGTACAGTACTCACCATTCACCATTTTAAAGCTCCCATGCTCGAAGGTTGGGGTGGGAGGCATGACGAGCCCAGCTGGTTGTGTAATGCGTATACTGTGTTGCCACGTCAAGTACTTTTAGCATTTATTGTATATACAGTATGTCTAATTTATTCATAACAGTGGTAAATGTACAGTAGCAGTTGCAAGTTTATTGCATGTCACTATCAATGTTTACATTATGAACTGACAACAGCACATCTTATGATTGCTGTACTATTTACACATGCACGACTCCATAAAAGTAATTATCTTCATTTTTCACCCAAGTTGTTTTACCTTTACAGTAATTATATAAGTATTTAGATATTTACAATGTTTGTTTTTTCTGTTTAGTAGTTTATGATGGTATGACATTGCTCAAAGCAGGACATCAAACACAGTGGAACAATCACACTTGCTGCAGCAATACCTAGTGTCTTTGTACACTTTTTCACATAACATTGTGTTCGTACACAAGTGACAAGGTCTCTTGGTTTATTTTTTAGCCTGTGTTGAGGGCAGCAAAGTTGGGAACTGGTGAGGAGGAAGGGGCTGGTTGTGTTGAGGGTGTAGTGGTGGCAGGGTCACTAAACAAAGCCCTGCAGTTCCCCTCACAACCGCCTCGGTTCACTATCCATCACGCTTTTCCTAACAGCAACGTCTGACTTAGAAAGAGGGGTTTCAAGGGACAGGAGTTGGTAAAAGAGACTGATGTGTCTTGAGAGGTTGCCATTTGTCATTTTAAATACTGTATATTAATCCTTCCGGGCCATTTCAGAAGCCACGGACTTTTAAGAAGTAAAATTCATTGATCTACATAATTGACTGCTCAGAGAAGGTCACTCATGTACGTAGATCTACAAATTTGATCAGTATTGGGTTAAATACTAGAAATACTGCACTGAAGAAGTGTTAGAAAAAAAATTTTCTTTAAAAAAAGGGGGACTAAGAATGTTTCCCTCTGAGAGACTTTCATTGGTCATGTTAAAATTTATGCAGGGCAACTGGTCAACAGTAAGTTTCATTATGAATAAATAGATTATGAATTTTGGAAGTTGTGAATGAAATATTGGATCATCTTTCATCTTACTGTTCTCCTCATGATTGTGTAGTGTGGATCAATGGATACAGAAACTCAAAGGATGGAGGGAAATGGTGAAGGAGAGTAGTGTAAGCCAATTGTAGCAAGTGGCATAAAATGGATTATATGATCTGAAAATTGTATGCTTGCACATATTTTCTAAAGAGTTTGTAGGTTCAAAGAAATTTTATAATCAAGTACTGGGTAATAAAATTATTTCAAATAGCCAGTAATTGGTTTAACAGAATGGTATATTTTCTTAGCCTAATTAAAAAACTGCTTAAAATCTTAATTAAATGATAAGCTTAAAACATTTGGGGTCCTCTTCATAAGTTTGTCTCTCATACAGGTATCTGGGTTGTAATTTAATTTGTTAAGTTCAGTGTCAAAACCTCAATACTGTACAGTAAGTCCTCTGTCAATGTTGTGGTTATGTTCTTGTAAACCGTGATGTTATGTGAAAAAACTTAAGTGGATAAATTTTTTCCATTAGAAACTTAAGAAATAAGTAGGTTATGTTTCCAGCCTCCCTTCATCCCTATAACATTTATCACACTTAAGACAGTGTAAATAGATTGTAAATACCTGTATATTTTGCACTGTAAATACCTGTGCTTATAAATATAAACTTCAATAATTTTCAATTAACTTTTAGTAGGATATATTGTACTCACTGATGGCCAAAGGTGAAGTGGGGGAAGGTGATGGGAATCACCGAGACCAAATTACAAGCATCTTTTCAATCACTCCACTACAAGTGCGACTTGTCTTAGTAGCACTCAGAGACGAAGCACTTCTAACCCTGGCCTTAATTTTGTCAGCATTAACACGAATAGTACTCACTATCCAATTGCTACCCCTATATCAGCAGCACACACGCCGGTTTCAAAGCAAGGTAAAACATCCATCTTCATTGGCAGACTGCTGCTCCTATGTTGCTTCATGCAACTAGCACTATCAAAATCACTTGCTGGTAGTTTTGAAGCCATTTCAATAGGCAATGTAAAAATGGTTAACAGAAGGTACACAAAGACACGACGCATCCGTACTTGGCAGAGGCGTAAGCGAAATTGATGCTCTGCAGGGATGTTGTACAGCATCATAAGGCGGGTGAGGGAAAGTGTTGCGCGGAGGCTTAGTATAGAAATACAGTACATACTTCACTTTAATGAGTTTCATATTAGCGATACATTTCAACACAATAACGATCAGTTGCGCAAGGTGATAGTCACTCTGGGCGGCCATCTTGATGACATCAGCGAGCGGTGTGGTTTGTTTTGATCAGAGTGAGAGTGTCGGGGCAAGGAGGCACAAACACCACTCCCCTGCCTCGGATGACAGCAAACAGTCTCATTAAGCAGTGCAATAAGTGTCTAATGGTTAGTTATTAACTCTACATGCAGTATTAATATGTGAATAAACGGTTGTAATTTTTTGTGGGGTTTATAGGGGGTGAAAGTGTCTGAGGGCTGGTACCAATTGACCCATTTAGCATATAAACTATACTCACCACTTTAACGACTGTTTTTGTGGTACCACTTGGTCGTTAAAGTGAAGTATGGACTGAAGTATCAACGTAATTAAACAACTTAAACTGGGACAATATTAGGAAAGGACTTACTGTATGTATACAGGGGGGGCCCCCCCAAGTTCTCAGTTATTCGCGGATGACACCCTGGATGTACCCAAGAATGTCTGTCAGTAGTTTTAAAGTTGCCGGCATTTTCGCAACTGGGACAGGGAACAATTCGTTCTAGAGACAGTAACTTCCTTTACCCGTAAAGTAAATATATGTGTGTGTGTGTGTGTTTACACACACAAAACACATCCAAGTAAATAATACTGTAATTGGAAAATCCTCTCGCAAATAATCAGAAACAAATTTATTAAAAATGTGACAGTCTACCCTCAAGTCCGTGCTCTATTAATAAAGTACTGTAATAGAGCACGGACTTGAGGGTAGAGTGTCACACACACACATATACAATACTACAGATAAAATAAATGATTATCCTAGGGGCAAACACATAAAGGGAAAATACATTTCTTTGTACACAAGTCAAAATTTAACCCCTCCCATCCTCAAATTTTATTCGTGGATTTGGCGATTCACAGCCATTCTGAGAACCTAACCCCCCACGAATTTGGGGGACCCCCTGTATTATGATATTGTCCTGTTAATACTAGATGTTTTCAACTTAGACTTGGAAAAGTTAAGAGTAACAACTCTGCCTGTATTAAGTATGCAAGCCTGCCATGCAGCAAGGCATTTATTTAGAAATCCCTATAAGAACAATAAATGGTCTGGTACCAGTTTTCCAATTCTGTACAGATATTTTGGATTTAAGGGGATGAAACCTGTAATACTTTGCAAAAGGACTTATTTTAATTATTACAAGTGTGTTTCAGATCCCCCTTTGAAATTACATCTTGCAGAAATTTGGATATAGGTACTGAACTGTTTGTCTGTTGAGATACTGCAGGCCTTTAGTGAGAACAATACAAGCTTTAACCTATAAACTTTCTGCACGAATTAATGAATTAACCCTTTTGCCGGCTATGTATGAACAGTCCCATTGATTTCTTAACAGTTCAGGCCATATGCGCAGGAAAAATCGCTCACATGAAGTGCCTCTTACATCGGAATATGAGAGTTGCAACTAGCCCGGCTGGTTTGAAGTATTACTGTAGGATATAATTTTTTGTTAAAAGATAAATTGCAGATAAGCGGAGTTGCGAATAGGAAGATATTCCTGTAGTATCAATGACCGGCGAAAGGGTTAATATTATTTCATAAGTACTGTAATTTATAGTGATTCCCTGTTATATATCTCCAGTTCACTCACCATGAGATAATTTAGATGGTTTCTTGAAGTACTTTACTGTACATATTGTTAATATTGTAAAATAAAAGTTGTGGTTAAGCATTTTTTTATATATACTGTATTAAATATGTATACTCTATAAATACAAGACATCTAAAAGTAGTTGTACACACTCCTAAAAATATTTGAGCTATGATAATAGATGGTGGTCCAGGTAAAGTCCTGAAACATAGTTTAAAAATAAAGTTGTTTTCTTCTCAACAACATAACAATCAGCTATTTTATTAATACTATCCAGTAGCTTGGGTTACTTCAGATTTTTGTGGCTGGCTAAATTATTACCATTTACCTTTACACTGTACAGTCAGTCCCCGACTTACGACGGGGTTAGGGACCAATGACCAGGTCGTAAGTCGAAAATAATACAGAAAATCTAAAATGGGTGTTTCTTTTTCTTCTCAGCACCACGAAACTCTCACTTTTACGCTTGCCAGCCATTTTAAAGGGAATTACAAACGAAAGTTTTGTCAGTACACAACACGATCACTAACGTCGGGACTCGAAAATACGTAATTTGAAAAAAAATGTACGACCGCGGTGGTCATAAGTCGAGGAGTACCTGTATTGCTTTTATTGATTTGTAATTTTTTTCTCTCAATAAATGCTAGACCTGAGGCATTTTAAATCAGCCCTGTGGTGGTACAATTACCATGCTATGCACTTTCCCAGATTCAGTCACAGTGACATTTGGCCAATGCTCTCTCAAAGTTATGGACACTTACTCCTGTAATACTCCTGAGTTTACTACATGCACCACTTAGATGTCTAAACACTCATCAGTTGCTGCTTCTTCCAGTTAAAGTGAGACAAAGAAGAGAAGACATTCAATTTAGAAGGGAAAGTTAAAATTTTGGATGAACATGACTGTGAAGCGAGTCAATTGTGGCACACTGAAACGGTAAATGAAAAACATGATTCAGAACATCAGATTGAAGGCTGGCAAATTTTGTGTAGCATATGCCCAGCCAGCATTTAAGCAAGTATTGAATGGCATAAAGCTGCACTGAGTGGTCTAATAATTTTGCTTGAGACAATGGAAATTCAACCTCAGTTGCTCAAGAGAGATGGCAAGCCAACTAGTGATAGCAAATTCACAGCAAGTTAAATCTGGCTTCACAGTTTCATTAAACATGCTGATCTACACTACATAACTCTCACTGGGAAGGCTGCATCAGCTGACACAGCTATGGTGAAGTGAAAAGAGGAAAGTTCAAGAAACCCACAAAAATAGTTTTTGGTTTACTCAGGGATACAGTACAGGAAAATAATGTGATATTTGTTTGAGTACTGTATCTAGAAAACCATTGGATAATTTTTGTGTGTGTGTTGACATAGGCAGACTCCGGAATGGAGTTGGTTGTACTGTACGCCAATTCGGCAAAATTTAATGACAGTTGAGCAACTAAGGGAAATTTCCTATAGAAGGTAAATGTTTTCTTACCAAATGAAAAGCCTCAAAAACTGGAAAGGAATAATTTTTTGGTATTATTTATAAAAAAAAAAAAAAAAACTGTCCCTAACACATACACAGCCAACTGTAACGCAATAGTTCTAATGTTTACATCTGGGACAGATTTTCTTTCAATCTGGGAAAAAACCCAGATTGAAATAAAATTGAACCATCATGTATCAGTTAATTTTAAAATAGAAATTATATATTAAAATGCTATAAGATATCGGTATGGTAGTGCTGTTAATGTGTAAGTGCCTTGGCACGCCACCTCACCTGGCAATGTTGCATTTATTTTTACTATACAGTAATTATATTTAGGAAGTATTTTTGTTTGCACTACAGTAATTATAAGTAGATTATTTTATGTTGCACCGAAGGCAAGGTGTGATTACTGAACAGAAAACAAATGAATAATCGAACAAAAAAAATCCGGAAATTGTTGAAGACTACAGTATGTCAATATAATCGGAACTCTGTTAATTCTGATTTTTCAATAATTTGAGTGACCCAGACCCCTTTTTTTGTCAAATTAACATAGGTATAGTGTACTTTTTTTTTTCCACAAAGGTAATATGGTAGTCATTCACTATTCACAATACATAATTAAATTCTTGGAAAACTCGCCAATACAGAAAAATTGGTTCAAAGGGAAGGTGTTAGGTTCTTAGTATGACTTCATAGGGGTAAATGTTTAAGAACAATGATTACAATAATTACTGAATAGTGTCTGTAAATAATAAAAAATTGTGAGTAATGCCTTTTTTAATTACCCTTGATTTGCTGATGGTGGTGGATAGCACAGTGACATAAGCTACGGTCACAATAGAGTTTTCATGCAATAAATCCACGATAGCATTTCATCCATATGCAATAAGTCAACGGTACGATCCGCACACTGGCGAAAGGAACCATTGACCAGGCGCGCAGTTAGTTTGAGCAGAGTTGGTAAGCAGGATGGCTTTATTGTATGTCTATGGCAGATTAACCGCTTTAGTGAGATGTGTGGTGCTGTTAAAGAAAACCAAGATGAAAAGAACAAAATTGAAGTGTCAAGGCGATGTTTGTTTACAAGTGACAAAAGTACTCGAGAGTAAAATGAAATTCCTGTCGTGATGTGTTCTGGTTATTTTTTTTATTTACCATGAAATTTCTGCATGTGTTTTGTTGTTAAAATACTTTAAATATTTTAACAATAAGAAAAAAAAGAACGGTGTAAATTTTATTAATACAATAGACTATAGAAAATGTCAACCCACCGTACCATGGACTTTCAGACGCTCCGTATCGTTTCACTTTCGACAACAAATAATTTGTCGCTGTAGAGACAACTTGAGGTGTTTGTTGAAAAATGAACGCTACGGTGGAATTATTCCGGGTAGAAACTCTAGTGTGACCGCAGCTTTACTGGTACAAATGTTGTCACACCTCAGGCTCTACAACCCTAACATGGTCAGCTCTATCAGGTCTCAATTACGTATTATAAAATATAAATAATGAAACATACTGTACAGCAAACCTTCGATAACTAGGAATTTTATAACTTGGAATTTCATATAACTCGGCATGGATATGGTCTCGGAATGTATTAGTATTACTCCGGAAATGCTGAGATACAGTATGTAAAATTATCTGGGAAAATCTCGGCATATCTGGCCACCTGCATCACCTACCATGCCTCTGTGTCACCTACCATACATCTGTCACCTACCATACCTGTGTCACCTACCATGCCTCTGTATCACCTACCATACCTCTGTATCACCTACTATGATGCTTTATTCTTCACCTGCAGTGCTAGTAAGTTACGCTTTTACATTTAGTAATTACATGTACACATATACAGTATAGTCGATAAATTTTTATTTTATTTTTGTTGGAGGGGGAAGTGCCCTGATAAGTTGGAATTTGGAATAACTCGGCAAGGCCAGAGCCCCATATGTGCCAAGTTATCGAGGGTTTACTGTATACTGATTTTTAGTTTGATACCTTACTTTATTGTAGTTCTCATCAAAATGAATGGTTTCTGTCCTCATAAACCTAAAAGGTTGCTATGTCAATTCTGGCTAAGTAAACAACAGAGAGATATGGAAGGAGAGGAAATGAGTTGTCACATTCTGAATACTCCCTATCCTTTTATTTTAAGGTCAAATTTCAAATATATCATTTTCATGAAATTATTGAAGAATTTGTTTTATTTATGATGAATTGTACACCATGAGGCTTACCATACCAGAATATAATTATTAATCTGATAAAAACAACTATATTTTCAAAGTAGAGAAATAAGTTTTTAACCCTCACTTGAGAAATAAGTTTTTAACCCTCACTTGAGTAACCCTTGCCCGACTGCTATCATCACAACTCTATGAAGTAATTGACTTCTTCTTCTTCTTCTGTTTCTTGGTTCTGGGTGACACTTCATCCATTTCCTCAACAACAGACCTTTTTCTTGATTTGGATTCTTTTTCATTACCTAAAATAAAGTTGTTTTTTGGTTAATATCATACACAGTACCATCATCTTTTATGTCTAATGAGATAACAGAAAACTTAATTTTCCCCACTTAAAAAAGGCATAAAATCCAATTTATTGAGGGAATGAAACAGGTGATCTACAAGATATACCATCACCTTGGCTGCTGGCAGGGGTAGACCATGCCACTACTGGAGTGTGCAATACTTAACAGCAAAACAAACTACCCAGTAGCCTTGTGAACAATGCTCATGCTGCAAGTAACCTTCTTTCTAAATCAAACTAATGTCATGTGTACAGTCTGAACACTGCAGGAGACAGCTGGCAACTCAAGGCCATTTGTTTATTATAGTAAGTCGTAAAAATTATGAATAAATGTAAAAGTGATCAGAGATTGCTTACTTAGTTCCCCATTGCTTGATTTCCTGGTTGAGCTTTGATGTTTCATATTATATTATACTTCGTACTATAGTAAACAAATGGCCTCGAGTTTCCAGCTGTCTCCAGCAGTGTTCGAAGAATCTTGAACGAGACTGTACAGTATACCATACTAGCCTGTATATACACAGGGCATAAAAATTAAGAAAATACTGTATTCTATTTTGCTATCCAAAAATCATATTTAAGTAATTCATTAACATATAGGAATGTGTTCATCACTAACCAGTTTTACTTAAAAAGTTTCTTTCTCTAATATCTGTTGGTGGCTGGTGACGAATTGACCTTAGTGCATGTATATCTATTCTTTTATTATTGACAAAGTTTCTAGGTTGCCCTTTGATGATTACATGGCCCTTGACCTCTGAATTCACTGAAATAGGACAGAACATAATTAAATAAATAAATAAAAGTATATATATATATATATATATATATATATATATATATATATATATATATATATATATATATATATATATATATATATATATATATATATATATATATATATATATATATATATATAACAATAAAAAGGTAACACTGTACATTAAGTTACTCACAATGTATGAATTAGATAATATAAAATATTGTACTGTATCTTAACACTCAATCATTATAGTACAGTATATAGGGTAATCCCTTTGTTTTCTAATACTGAAAAACATAATGTAATGATTCTTTTTGATACACACCTCTATGTAAGTGACCTATTTCATCAGGCAGGAAGAGGGTGGGAGAGTCAGCTACCTTGGAATTTTTGTAAGACACAATTTTGTATTGCAGTCCTTCAACATTAAGGTTTTGTCCTTTTTTGTCACTAATAACAACTTCAGTATTAATCAGGTTAAGAGGATTTACCTGAAAATAAAGAAGAGAATAAAGATACAGTACTACCAAGTCTGGTGTTAGTGACATGAATATACCCCTACTGGTCCACTGCTACTGAAACCTAAAAATTTCAATCCTCTATACAGGGTACTGAATATTTTTGCTTAATCCTGCAAACATTTTCAGCAAAATCATGCCTATAACTGTTTATAGCAGGCATGAGCAACCTTTCCTCGGTCGTGGGAAGCATTATGATTTAGATATTTTTCTATGGGCCAAACCACCAAAATTTATATCCTACCTAACCCAAAAGTAATGGCAATATTGTATCAGCATGGACAGTGAAACTGTTTATCGTCACATCCACCTTACGATATTTTCAGTTTACAAACACAGTCTTTTTCCCATTTATGAAATGGATCCATCATCATAATTTTTAACGCAAAATATTAATGTTTCTCGGCGTTTAAGGGCAGATAAGTGAAGCAGTCTGTGAATAAGTCGATTTTTCCTACAGTTACAGCATTTTATGAGACACGCCCACCAGAATAATGTCAATGTTAATATTGACGCATGAGGCACTACAATGCAACAACCTACTGACACATCAGACAAGAATAAATAGATAGAACAGACAGGCAGGCATGAAGAATCAGGTACTATGGAGAGATTTTTTTTTTTTTGGATTGCCCCCGAGGGGGTTAGTTTATTGGGCACCCCCTTACATCCTGTGCAGGGTGAAGCGCAGAAGCGTTTACAGCACCCATCTGGGAAACATGCTAAGTTCATGCTTGCCTTTATGACTCGTGCATTATCCCTTTGGCCCCAGGTGACGTTCCAGAACGTCTGACTAGCGCGCTCCGGGTGATGTTCCAGAACGTCCGCCAATTTTTTTTTTAATTTTTTTATTTATTTTTTTTTAAATAATTTTGGAAATGTTGATTTTTTCTCGATTTAACCCCGCGTGAGGGGTACTGCCAGCAGCACCCTAACCCGGGGATAAGGGGCGTAAAAGCCTGAAGGGTCATAGGTTTTGTTAGCAAGTTACATAAAATGACAGAATGATGAGTGTGTGGGGGGAAAGTTCCCGATACATTTCATCTGTTTACAGCAAAGCGTGGCAGGTCCCTAATGATGTCAAGTGCCAGACCTGTCACTAGGAGGAGGGATATCTGGTCAGGGAGGGAAGAGGTGTTTGTAACGGCTGGGGACCTGTAGGAGTAGGTCAAAGGGCAAGTGAGGAAGTAGTGTGAGAGTCGGGGTGGCCACAGACAGTCTGTCAACAAGGAAGAGACCTTTACCTTTGACCTGTGTGACCACTGCCCGTGACCCCACTAGGACTTATCCAACCTTAGTTAATTCCCAAGTGACCCACTGCCACATAGCAGCTAATCCATCAAACAGACTGCGCTGAACTTGGCCCATAAACTCATACAAGTTAAAAATTTTATATTGTTGACAATATACAGGGTATACTTATTTCACCTTTATTTTTTCGTAGTTACTTACTCTTAGGTAATGAAACAGTAACGAATTGTGTGTGAAGATTAATCTTTTAATAAATATTGCTTTACTCATCATGAGCTGGCTGCATCTACTTGAACCATGGGCCACATTAAATAGAGTTTCCCAATCAATCTGCGGGCTGCACAAAGACATGGTTCGGGCCGCGGATTGCCCATGCTTGGTTTACAGTACACTATACCAGTTGTGCCACATTAATCAATATTCAGTGAATTTTGTTTTGTCATACCTTGCATTATATATTTAGTACCAGTAACTTTTAGATGTCGAGCCATAACCTACAAAAGTAAATCGGGTTCAGAGTACTGTATGAAGTGTCTCTCACATGGGTTTGGTCAATATCTAATCTTTATACTGTACAGTACTATAGTATATCAAGATATCTTGAACATAAGTATTTTAAGTATCAGAAACACTTCGACCTAGTTCTTGACTCATGCCCTCCAAATCTGAATCGGGTCTAGAGCTTTGAATATACTGTAGTACAGTATATGTTGCATAAGTTTAGTCAGTACAGGGGGTTCCTGGGTTACTAACGGGTTCTATTCCTGAGGACGTTCTTATGTCGGAAATGTATTTAAGTCGGAACACATGCTATGTGCATACCATAGGTACAGAACAGTGTTTAAAATCCACTACAGTATATCATAGCCCAAGTCCTTAGAGTACAGTATATACATCTAAAATCACTTTATTTAAGAGAAAAGAAGAAACAGAATGACAAATTACAGTCAATGAAAGTAAAAAATAAGTCATCGGGTAAATAAAATACTGCACTGTAAATTTTAAGTTTAACCCTGTTTGTATCTGCGGGCATTCGTAAGTCCGGGACTCCCTGTACTATACTTTGTCCATTCACCATATCTTGAAATATCTTCAAACACTTTAAATTTTAGTCCCAGAAACCATTTAACCTATATCCATGATCTCCAAAAGTCAATTAAGACCAGAAGTTTGAACAGTACATAGTAAATGTTGAGTAAGTTTGGTTAATATCTATTCATCCTGGATTGGAAAATATTGAGGACTTCTAAGTTCCATGATCAAATTAACAAGTGTCAACTACAGTATGTCACACACAATGTTCCCAATGTATAACCTGTTCAGGGTGTTACATACTTTGCTGGCCCACTGGCCAATTTTCAGAGGTCATTTTTCCTTCTATACTTACTGACCATTTAAAATTTGCATGACTTTCCAGGTACATAAAAACTCTACCTTGACCAAAAACATTAACCCCTTGTGCATGGGGTTGCCTCTTGAGCTGAATAAAATCATTTGGCATTAGCCAAATAAAATATTAAAAGTGGTGTCCCCAAAATGAAGAGGTTAAAAAACTAATCCATTATAAAATGGTGCATATACAATGTAGTGTTATTGCGTAAGTGTGATCAATATCTTATCATTAAGTCCTGGGATATTTTGAACACGAGTATTTTTAGTATCGGCAATCTTTTAACATTGACCGAAGACCACCAAAAAGCAATCAACTTTATAACTTTGTATTTATTGTTTTACCTGTTGTGTAAGTCTGATCAATATCTATTCATTCCATCACAAGAGGCTGAGCTTACACCATGAACCTGCAAAAGTTAATCAGGTCTAAAACCCTGAATAAGGCTATTGTTGCTTACTGTGGTTAATCTCCATTCACCCCACCTAGAAAATCCTTGCAGTATCCATGTCCATTTTAACCTTCAAGTTTCAAAGTTTCAACCAACTTCCAAACTTGGGTAGGTTTAGAACTTTGTATGTAGTACTAGTAGCACCCATATTATAAGTCTGGTTAAGATACCAGTCTTGAGATACAGTATCTTGTTTACAGCATAACACAAAATTTTTTAATATAAGTGACCTTTTGACTTTCACCTTCGACCTCTTATCTTGAGATAATAATGACATTTAGAATTTTTTATATACTGTACAGTAGTAACTGTCGAGCAGGTTTGGTTAGTACCCATTAATCCAGTCTTGAGATCTTGTTCACAAAACAGAAAGATGGACAAAACCAAATCACCTTGCTTCTGTTTCACACTAAAGACAAAGAAACCACTGTATACAGTGTAGTAAAATGTTATGTATTTAGATTTGTTGTATACCATTCAAAAATGGTACTTATACAAACAAGTTTCCCATTCATAAAACATAAGCTACTAAATGAACACCATCTTAATCTTCAGATATGTTCTACAGTACAGTATAGTATTTGTAGTATAATCACTTAATCTTATCATGCAGAGGTTTAGTTAAGTGCCGAGGTCAAGGTCAAATTATCAAACTACTTTTCTCAATCAGCCCAGCTATTCACCCACCCTGGATCCCAATAACTGTGCATTTGTATTATATTGTTACCACACAATTTACTTTGGCGAGTTGCATGCCAGTATGATGTTAATTTGACAGCATCCATGCCCTATACTGTCTGCATGGGTAACCTCTGATTGATTTGTAACCTTTCATCAAAGTCCTGGATGCAATAGATGTTAGAATAAATAGTTAGGGGTTCCAGAATCTTATATTATCTGAAAATCATGGTTGCTGCATTTCTCAAGCCACCAAGGGGTGTAGTTTCAGTCAAATATTAGGAATGTAGTAATGAAGAAAGTGTTAAGGGCCCATCAATTTTACTCAGCTGGTAAAAATACTGAAACACATTGGTAAAATGTGTAAACTATAATTCAGATATGGATGGGATAAAGGAGAGGAAAAGACCAAATACGAGATGAATTGATGGGATAAAGAAGACGATACAGGTGATGAGGGATGGACATTCAGGAAGCAGGGATGTGTTAGAATGGCAAGCTTGTGTTAAACAACAGGAATAAATCAGACTGATATTTGTGGCCTAGATGTTGAGGAGAATCACCACAGCACAACACATCAGTCTACTGCTACAAAAACAAAAATGACTGCATGAGAGCAAATGAAGGAACTTGGATTTATTTATGACTCCAGCCACCCTGTGTTATGATGGGAAAGAATTCTGTTCATCCCTTTTATCTTAATTCCAGTTAAAAAAAAAATAATAATAATAATACAAGATAATGATTATTCCTCACTCAAGTATTGTACAGTATACTGTACTGTACTTACTATTTCTTGTGGTATTGTGAAAATGTACAGCTCTGTGTTCAAGTCGATGTCTTGCTCTTGTGCAGCTCCTGGCTCTTGAAGGGGTATAAATTCTGATGGCTTCTCTGTTATTTTACTTAATATCTGTAAGAAATAATGGAGCAAAATACAATACAGGCAGTCCTCGGGTCACGAACAAGTTCCGTTCCTGGGGACGTTCTCGAAAATGTATGCAAGTTGAAACACATGCTATATGCATACCGTACTTACAGAATAATTTTTAAAATCCCCCTATATCATAGCCTAAGTCCTTATGTACATCTAAAATCACTTAATATAAGAGAAAATAAGAAATAGAATGACGAAGTACAGTAAATGAAAGTAAAAAATAAGTCATCAGGTAAATTGAATACTTAAGTTTAAAGTTTAACCTCGTTGGTATTGGCGGATGTTGGCAAATCAGACATTCGTAACCTGGGGACTGCCTGTACTGTACAATTTGTGCATATAATGACAAAACAGAATCTACAGGTACATGGGAGGTAATGAACCAGTACAGTATGTGATATATTGTATTAGGAATTAATCAATGCTGTCTAATTTTTATTGAGAAATGAGGCTACAAGAGACCATACAGCTTGGAGAGCTGCCAATAGATAAGAATGGCTAACCAACATGAGCATGGAATATGGGTGTAAAACAGATTGGTGATACACATGAACACTTCCCAATGTCCTTTCCATATACACAAATACTTCCAGCAATACGTATTATAGTTATTTTTTTTTTTTTTTTTTTTTTTTGGGGGGGCATTATGGTCACCCAAACTAGAGGTGGCCATGCCGAGGAAAACAATGGGGTAAAAACACTGCAAACACCGATCATATGACAGTGATTTCATGTACTTGTACAGTATCTATGTGCTTTGTTGGTGAAAATTTTTTTTTATATATATTTTCCGGTTTCATGATGCCGTAGGATTTCCCATGGCAACCATGTTTTGGTTCACATCGTCTACTATATGGGAACTACCGCGGCCTTTGTTTACATGCTACAAAATTAAAGACAATCTCATTGGGCGAGTTTATTATGATTTATATTGGATTGAATGCGTTAATTTTTCCAAAGATGTCGTTTGGATAATAGTAAAATCTAAACCACAATGTGCAGGTTAGGAATTTAGGTAAGGTTAGGTCAGGTTCTAATATGTTCTGTGCATTGTCATTTCGATGTTCTTACTTACTGTCATCCATACAACATCTGAAAATTTGGTGCAATTCCATGAAGTCCTGATGCTAACTGTCTCCTCCAACATTACCGGTAGCAGGTAAGTGCAGACACATCAGTGTTATGCAACTTTTCTTCTGAACTCTTAAAACAGCTAATTTAGGTATACAGTATATGAACATTATTACAACCTTTATTCAGTTTGTTCCTGCTAAAACCAGTTCTGCTATAACTCAATCTAGCATGGCAGAAGCACACAGTGGTGACAGTTTACAGACCTGAACTGTATTATTTAAGTTTTGGTCATCTGGGGAATCGGTCAGGTTATGTTTGGTTATTTTGGATATCTAAATACGGGGATGACCTAAACTAAAACTGTACCCATTGTTCAGTATTGTCCTGTGTATCAGGTAGAGAAATGAGCTGAAGCAGAGGTGTCAGCAAGCACACCAAGGATTGCAGTTCAGCTATTTATCTTTGTCATGGAAACTTTAACATTTAATTCTTGTGAGTTTTTATTGTTTACATTATATGCCCCAGGACAAATATAGCAGCCTGCTTCAATAAACACTTAACAAGGGGTCCGACTAATTACCCAAATGCACCCAGATGTACCCAAACGTAGCCGCAATGAAGTCAAATAATGGTCCTACATGAATAAATCGGACTGCCAATCACTTCTCGACTAGTATTTGGTGTCACAAAGTCACAAAAAATTGGAAAACTTAATTTAATCTGAGTTAATAGATCGCGTGCATGTACCGAGGGAGCAAGTAATTACCCAAATGAACCCAAATGTAGCCGCAATGAAGTCAAAATGATGGTCCTACAAGAATAAATCGGACTGCCAATCACTTCTCGACTAGTATTTGGTGTCACGAAGTCACAAAAAATTGGTAAACTTAATTTATTCTGAGTTAATAGATCGCATGCATGTACCTAACCTAACCTAACTCAACTCAGATTAAATTAAGTTTACCAATTTTTTGTGACTTTGACACCAAATACTAATCGAGAATTGATTCACAGCCCGATTTATTCATGTAGGACCATCATTTTGACTTCATTGTGGCTACATTTGGGTAATTAGTCGGACCGCTTAAAACAAGAAGTAAAGTGGCGACCCTCTTCTAAACCTTCAACGAAAAAATCAACTCTTCCAAATTCCACTACCACGAGGTACGAACGACCTTAAAGTATAAAGTAAAACAGTCATTCACAATAACTGTCCTCGGGTACAGTAAGCCTGACAGGCCTCTTACCTCTCCGTCACCCTCGCCAACTTCCTTTCTTGTAGGTGATGCCTCGTCAAGTGCTTTCGAAGTTGGTATATCTTCGTCATCTGAAGACTGAACATCTTCATCATCCGATGATGAGATTAAATCAGCATTCATTGTCACTGTGAAGGTGTATATAAAATTAAGTACTACCACCAATAGCACCTTAGTGGCATAAAACTACAGTAGAGCCTAGGGTCACCGCTCAGCCGCCACACGTGACGCTACTTTATGGTTTGGCTTTGGAGTCATGAGTTATGAGGTGAAAGAAGATAAATATTAAGGGTTGAAGAAAAGTGGTGAAACTTAAATACAGTAGGAGTAGAAAGTATCTGGACTCAACCAGATCGCTTCATCTTTAGCGCAGTTTTTGTTATAAGATTATTAACTTAATACTGCGCTACAACAACGTAGCAATGTTTAGACAAGCCACTAGTCTAATAACGGAGCTCATAGCTTGTATACGTTGTATGTAGCATATATATATATATATATATATATATATATATATATATATATATATATATATATATATATATATATATACAGGGTATATAAAGCAGGAAATTTAATTAAATAAAAATAATTAGCTTTGTATACATGTTCTAGGTGAAATACTACATATATATGATTATGCTGTTACTATCCATTGAATACTGTTATATCTACTAGTTGTAACTGTACTAACTTAAGATATAAAATATAATTATCTGAAGAGGGTAAATCTGATAGCACAAATGTTTGAAACCTAGTACTTAACGAGTCTTTGAATTACTACCAAGGCTCCCTATTTATTTTTATGAACATTCAGAACCATCACTGTAACTGATGACCACCACTGGTACGGATATTGTGGTTTGCAAGTTTCATCATAAACAAAGTGCAGATGGTCAACAATCCTACAGAACTTTCACAGTATAGTACAGTTCATGCAAAGCGTGACCCTAGAGGCAGCTACACTGGAAATTGTATTATAAGGTATTGCTATTAATGCTTATTAAAGACATCTTTCTGGAAACTTTACTCAGGAGCCAGGTTTGACTAATTTGGCCTCCACTTCCATGGATATATCTGTCTCGCCCCTACGATGATTCAGCTCTACAGTACAAGAATTAGCCGCTTGGGCGATTGGTCACGTTTCTGTTAGGTACTGTTTGCAAGTACTGGGCATGCACTGGCGCCTGACTGTATCTGAACCTGCTCCAGTGCTTTCATATTTTTGTTTGTCGTTTTTCTCCAATTATTGGTAGAATTTTCTGATTTACTGCTCAACTAAGATTAATTTTCATACTTCTGAATCTACCCGGAATTGTCTTTAGTTTTAGCTTTCGAGTATGTGATATAATTAAGAGGTTTAATGTGGTTAAATAAACTAAGAGTTAAATTTAGGCATTTCATTGAGGTTAAAGTTGAGATGGGTTCATTACCACATGGTACATCAAGTCTTCTTTTGAGTTTTCTCTCTAATCCAAGACAAGGGAGTCTTTGTTGTCAATGAGTCATTATTTGCTTGGGTTCAGATGATAATTTGTTAGCTATAGTTTGTGTTAAAGTATGATACGTTTATTTAGATTCTCTTGAAAGAAGATAAAATAATAAAGCGTCTATATTTAGCGTATCAGTAAAAAAACAACAACTTGGTTTGCTACTTTTACTTTTATCCTCTTCGCCACTGATCAGCTCGGGTATTGTTCATTTTTGTATTAACGGAAAAACAGGTGACTAAAAGTAAATGATAGTATTTGCAATCCCGAATTCTAAATCTAGTCTAAGTGATTGTGTTGGTGATGGTGAACGCGGCCATTGTAAGTGAGTTGAGTCAGTGTCAAGTTTGGCAAGGTTTACGTGTGTTAGTCAGCTTCCTACAGTCACCTCTCTTACGTAATTGTCTATATTTTTCCAGGTACGAAACGTCAGGCTTCTGGCGAGGAATATTACTAACATTTATACTCTGTACACGTGTGTTAAGGCATAATTGATGGGTAATAGTTGTGCATATCCAGTTACTGAGATACCATTTGCCTTCGGCTCGTAACTAGTTACTAGGCTAAGAATTTTGTCAAAACATATATATATATATTTGATGATAAAATTGAGGTAATATTGTTTCTTGATATTCAAAAACCAGATGACATTGGCTGATTCTTGTTGCAGATTCCTGTTATAGCTTGTAATTAATATTTTGAGCATTTTACCAGAGATGGGTGCCATAATTCTACAAGGAATTTTTACAAGAGAAAATACCTTGTCAACATATTTTAAGTACCATGGAATTCTCTGTTTTTACGTATGTTATAAAATTGTAAGTGCAGTGTGAATTATCTTTCACAAATTTTACGTACTACCAGGTACTGAATACTGTATGCAGTACAGCATAGTGATGGAGTTGATAAGATAAGCTGCTTAATCACATAAGTAAAAATTTATTTGCAACAGTAGCGTATCCAACATAACTCTCAGGTACTTTTAGAGGCCTAAAACAAAATAGTACAGTATAATGGGAAAAATTATAAGAAATTCCTATCACCAATTGTTGCTCCATCTGTGAGAGACTGGACTGGTGGGAGATTGTTTAAAGAGTTTTAGAAAATGGTTAGAATGATTTCTGAGACTTATTAATGGTTTGTTTTCATCAGGGTGAGGTACAGGTGGAGGAGACAGTTCGCACCAGAAATAACTTAAGGATTGAACCAAAATCTCTGGAGATACTATTTGCATGATTGTGAACACAAAATGGAAGCGAGAATGGACAGAACCTATTAGATTTAATTAGAACCTGACCTAAGCTTACCTAATCTCACCGAACTTCCTAACCTGTGCATTGTCGTTTTGTTTTTATTTCTTACTATCATCATGTGTACTGCCGGCAAAGCAGTGGGCTCGTAACACTCGTCTTGCCCGCGTAGCCTGCCATATCTGTGTGAATATCGGTCACACTAGAATAACCCGTTATAGTACATCCTTCTTTCCTCCACAGCCAAACTGTGGAATGCTGTGCCCTCTTCTGTGTTTCTATACTCATACAATGTCTCACTTCAAAAAGCTGGTTTTCCGGCATCTTTGTGTTGTAGATTAATATAGTCTTTTTCACTTCTGTATTTAATCGTATTTTTTTGCCCTCCAGAAACCGCTGTGGGTCAATGACCTATGCTCAGATGGGCTAGTCCCTATAAAAAAAAAAAAATAATAATCTCGAAAAAATGAAAAACTTTAATTCAATATAATTCATAATAAACTTGCTCGGTGAGATCGTAGTTCTTTTCTTAACATGTAAACAAAGACCACGGATGCTCTTGTTTAGCAGACGATGTGAACCCAAACAAAGTTGCCATGGGAGATCATTGATGGCGCCATAAATACGGTAAAGGATAATATTTAGTAGTTCAACAACACCAACTTATATATTATAGTCTTATATTGGATAGGGAGAAAGAGAGAAAATAACAAAATAATTTATTTTATAGCGTTTCCGTCGGAAATTAATTTTTTTTAGTACCTTAACCGATAAAATTAACAACAATATTAGTTGTTCAAAGTGGGTAGGGCTTTAAAGTAGAGGGAAAATGTGGGGTAAAATAGTAAAAAACAAAAAACAAACAAATACAAATATATATATAATATTGGCTCAAACCTTAAATACCCTAGATCTTTCATAGACAAATGCCTAAACACTACTAAGAAAACTTTTTATAGAACTGATCCCAAGCCCACCCATGACCCTAAGAATATCTTAATCTTACCATTTCACAAAAATTTCTCACACATTCCTTCACAACTAAAAACCTGGAACGTCAATGTGGCATTTAAAAACTCATGCACTGTTAAACAAATGTTAATCAAGAACTCCCCCAACAACACAATTGGTTGCATTTATAAAGTTCCTTGCAAGGAATGTAATATGTTTAACTTAGGCCAGACAGGTAAAGATCTTGCAACTAGAATTAAACAACACAAATACAGTGTTAGGACAGGCCAGGATTCCAATGCTCTGTTTGTTCATTTGAGGGATAACAAGCATTGTATTGACTGGGATAATGCCTCCTCAATATTACCATGTAATTCAATTGATAGTAGGAACATCATAGAATCTAGTCTTATTAAACATACCGAAGCATTCAACATGAATTTGAGTAACGGCATGTACAAGCTGGACAATTTTGTAATTAAGAAGATTTGTGACCAGGTGAGAAGGCCGGGTCACCTGACCATCTGACCTGACCACCAACCGTTGTGTGCTATTTAAAGATTAGTAGGGTCATTACCTAATACCTGACCATTGTGGACCTGGTCTCACCCTCCTCTGTATATATACACCTTGATTTGTATTTCTCTCTCTAGTCTGTACTCACCCCTGAAGATGTGAATTACACGAAAGCGCTTGGGAACTTCGTGTTTTCTTCTTTCCTTGTGGTTATCAGCATATACCTAGATCACGCGCATCTACAGTGATTTACTTATATATATATATATATATATATATATATATATATATATATATATATATATATATATATATATATATATATATATATATATATATATATATATATATATATATATATATATATATATATATATATATATATATATATATATATATATATATATATATATATATATTTATATTTATACACTGTATTATATGCAAATTGAAACCTGGGGATTTTTTTTTCGTCTTCATAACTTAAGATTTTTTGTAAACCAAAACTTTGTAAGTCAGGGACTGCCTGTACTGTACCATATTTAATTTTTCTGTACTAGTAGGTAAACAGCAGCAAGATGAGTATCCAATGGACCCTTATTGCCGGTGTGATGTACTCGGAGCTGGCTGTTACAGTTTTGCTCCTTATACCAGTAATCTCACCCACAAGGTAAGTAGACTAGATTGTTGCTGTACAGTAGTTTATTATGGTATACTGTATAAATGTACCGGTACTGTACTAATTTTATAGAAAAAAGGATAAAATTTACTTTTAGAACTACAGTCATAAGTTCAAATATTCTTCCAAATTAAATCATATGAAGTTATTACAGGAATGGCAAATAGTGACAAGGAGAAACACCTATATTTGGAGGTCTCAATAAAGGAAATGTATTCTGTGACAATTCTGTGTAATGTATGGAATACTGTACAGGTACTTAACTTTATTGTGAATTCAATATAGTACTGTATATAATATATGGCCTATGGCTCATCATGATGTGACCTCTGAGATTATCCTAGATGAGCCTATACCTATACAGTATTTTCCAGGGGGTTGTCTGAATTTTGAGGCCTGAACACTGTCCATTTGGAATCTGGACAAATCCTATAAAAAAGGCACTCACCCATTCATGGCAGGGTGTTGAAGCACATTCCCTCCCTTATTTGTAGGTTGCTTCAAAAGCCTGTAAGTCAACAAGTCTACCAGGATGAACCCTGAATTACTTTGTTGAATTCAGATCCCTTGGGCATAAACCCCAACAGTATCTTGCTTGGTGCTACACTGTCAACTCGTCTCCATTACAACTGTTTTGCCTGCATTCTTATATGCTTTTGGAATTGAAGGCTATCTTCACTTTGATATTTTCTAGCATATTCCCACAAGTCAGGTGGCTCTCATTTCACTGCTTGCTAAAGTAGGTGCTTCAGTTGTTGACTTTCATCTACTAAGTCTTAAGTCTCAAAGCCCCATTGGGATGTTTTATATGTATTTGGTAGTAAATATTGCAATTACTGTATGGGTATTATGTTATCATACAAGTAAGACTGATTTGGGGCTTAGAATTACAGGACTGATATATAAAGTGTTTATATTTTTACCAGCCTTCCCAAATCCGGGCCACTTGACTCTTCCCCAGTCAAAGAATAGGATTTCGTATTTCAGTATCCAATACTGTACAGTATTATATTTTTTCACTTTGGTATTCTACTTTTCAGATGGCACTCCATCTTCAAGTCTAGATTTCTTCGAAGTATTGGCAACATGTCACATATTTACTTCAAAGTATTTCTTGGAGTTCTCACTCTCTTTTTCTTAGGTAAGTTAGGTAAAATAATTTGTTGGAAGAATATGGTTATGAATTTGATATATATATATATATATATATATATATATATATATATATATATATATATATATATATATATATACACCAGGATGAAACTACAGTAGACCTGACCCTCACTTTATTCTATGGTTACGTTTTGCAACAACACAGCATACTGGAAATCCGCATATAATGAATACAGTACTGTACAGGGGTACTTAATTTTATGGGGAAAATTACGATATGTTCTACAACTACTAAAGGTCAACAGTAATGCTGTAAAATTTGTGGAAAAATCATTACTGTACAATTCTTTACTCTGATATTGGTTAGAAATAAAGATAATATAATATAAAACAATAAACTAAGACATGAAGAGATTGGGTGTTTGTGAGGAAAGTTAAAGAATGTGGAGTAGCTGACTCACCACTCCAGCTACGTCCCATGACGTCACATTCACGTACAGCGCAGTAGACACGCACACTGTGCTATGTTTCACAACCATTACTGGAGAAGTAATGCTCTAAAAGTTGTCAAAAAAATCATTAAAATACTCCAATGTAGTGTGCCATATCCTCTACAGAATGCATAATAGGGAATCTTTTCCACATAAAATGAATTATGGGTAGAAATAGGGTAGCCGCGTAAATGTGAATTCGCATATAATGAATGCGCTTAAAGTGAAGGTCTGGTGTATTGTATTTTGAATTTTTTACTAGGACACCCCTCATTTCTAGTTGCAGTACTTTCTATTGTTTATTTTCACTTTTTTTCTTTGTCTTCTTTCTCAGTATTTTCACCTTTCCTTGTTAAAAAATATTCCAGTTGGTGAAGGTACACCATAAAGATTTATTTTTCCCTTACTTAAATCTTATTTCTACCTAATTATTCTTATGGCAAGTGTATTGAAGTAAAAAATTAAGTTTAAGAACTTTCATGTTAACTTTACATTCCTCAAACAGATGCCATTCGTGAGATGCGCAAGTACAGTACTGAACTGGCTGAGCAGACTCGAGGTGATCATGGCATCCATTTGGATGCAGAAATGCAGGCGCACATGAGATTGTTCCGAGCTCAGCGCAATTTTTACATCTCTGGATTCTCTCTCTTCCTTTGGGTGTATGTAGCCTTCAATTTTACATTTTTAGGCATCTAAAAATTTCAAGATTTTATGTGGTATATTCACTCATAAGTAACCAAATGTGCTCCTGAATAAAATACTTTCATAAGTTACTCATACAGTAATCCCGTGTTTTTCACAGGAATTACGTTCCTGAAACCCCCGCGAAAAGCAAAAACCGCGAATACTCTTTTAGGGATCACTGTACCTGTTGCCACCAAACAGCTCAGGTAGGTTATGCACTTAACCATGCCATGCTCTCCACTCACGGTCCAGTGGTCACACTGATCCACTGTACCGGCATTTACAAACATCGTTATTTGAAACTAATCATATTGCAGTATAATAATGGAAAAACATAAACACGGTTATATACAAAAAAAAAATCTATTTACAGGTAGATAAAAAATGTTATATTTCGCTGAGGTCGGCAACACCCGCATTTCCAACCTCTCCCTGCTGTCCCGCCGTCTGCCCGCCCTCACGCAGTAACGCCAGCCAGCTAGTCCTCTTCCACCCACATTCCTCCATTTTGAAGACTTGTATTCTAACAAAAGACACAAATGAATTGTCAATCTTCACCACATCTCGAGCCATAGCTCATACCACCTCTGAGCTTGTCCAATATAATTGTTTTTTTCTGTTACGGTCATCACTATTCTTGATCTCTTGGTCACTTTCGAATCTTTGTTAGTAATATTTGCCTTTGATGAGGCTGGCTTACGTCCCGGAGCCATGTGGAATGCATGTGGGAGGACAAACAGAGGAGGTAATCACAGTAACGTTCACAGTACTGTAGGTGGGGGACCGGTGGTAGAAGCGGTACCGTTCTTGCCTCGCAAGCGAGATGTCACGGGTTCGATTCCCGGGCCGGTGGAAGTTGTTTGGACTTATTTCCTAGCCCCCATTAGTCCGTGTTCACCTAGCAGTAAAGTAGGTAAGTTGTAAATTGAAAGTTGCAAATTCGTATTCAGGGACAAGTTGTTGGAGCTTCCAATAACTTGATGACATAAACCATTGACTCTTCAGGCTTCTACGCCCTTAACTCGAGACATATAGGCAAGCATGAACTTAGCATGCTTCCCTGTTGGGTGCTGTAAGCCCTTCTGGGCTTCACCTTACACAAGGATGTACGGGGGGGCCCAATAAATAAATAATAAAAAAAAAAAGTACTGTAGGCATGTGTGGACTGAAGCTTCTCGGAGCAGCGGGTGTCTGAGGCAGGAAAGGGTGGCGTCTATTTGCTGCTCCGCACGGGAATATCGAAAATGGCGCGAAATTAAAATTTTTGTTTTTAAAGGATATTTTATATATACTGTACATAATTTTTTTAATAAAAAAAACGCGAATGGTCAAAACCGAGATAAAAAAAATGCGAAAAACACGGGATTACTGTATTTGCTACAGTACTTGGTAAATCAGATCACTTGGTGCTAAAATAGCTATTTCTCATTTTTAACTTTACCATATATGGTTAGTTTGTTCAATGTCAAGGCAAACTCATTTTCATCACCATTAGTGTCATCATCTTCATCACCATTTTTGGCAAATTTCCATGCATGCCTGGACTAGCCATGATTATCAGATAGCATGGTGCCCTGATTTTCGTCAAGCAAATTTGAAACAAGTTTTACAGCTGATGCCCTTCCTATCACGAATCACTTTTACAGAGTGGGAATTGGCCATTATATGTAGGATTTCCAAGTACCTTCTCACCTGGCTTCTCACACTTTAATATTGTATGTGTAGTATCCATTCATATATTTTAACATACATTTTCTGACATCAAAAGGGCCAGTGAAGAATCATTTCATGACATGTAGCCAGTGGTGAATTTCTAAATGTATTTATTGCATATACATCCAGTTGTTCTGCAATTTCCACTATTCTCATTTTATCATTTCACTCATAAAGAGGCCCCCCAAGTTTGCGGATTTTTATTTCGCGGTTCTCTATTATTCGTGGATGACACCCTGGATGTACCCAAGAATGTCTCTGGGTGGTTTTAAAGTTGCTGGCATTTTCGTGGCTGGGACAGGGAGCCATTCATTCTAGAGACAGTAATTTCCCTTACATGTATTGTAAATACTCTGTACTGTATGTGCGTGTGTGTCTACACACACACACGTACGTACGTACGTATATACAATACAGGTAAAAGAAATAATTGTCCTAAGGGCAAACACATAATGGTAAAGGGAATATACTGTACATTTCTTTGTACACAAGAAAATATGTATTCCCCACGACCGCAAATGTTATTCGCAGATTTGGCGATTCGTGGCCATTTGGAGAACCTAATCCCCGCAAATTTGAGGGGCCCCCTGTACTGTACAGTATATGGTTAACTCCTACCTGCTTCACATATGTACTGTACAGTACATAAATTTAGACTACAGGTAAATTAGTTTTTTTTTTTAATTTGATACAAAATTTCAAATTTTATAAAAAATTTGTTTGATATACCATGACAATCATGTCTGTCATTATAGAGTGCTTCTACGCTTGACTACTCTCATCTCACGTCTTGCTGTAGCCATGGCTGAGGGACAAGCAGCACTTAAACAGGCTCAGTCTGCTTCTGCAACGGCTGCACAGCTTCTTAAACAGGATAAAGCAGAAAAAGAAGAAGATCAACAAAAGGAAGCAAATGTTTCAAATGAAATTAAGGAATTACAGGAAGGTAAGCACAGGATTTGCAGTTGGCTGTTAATGGTAGTTAACTCTTTAACTTTGTATTTGTTTTTTGCAGAAAAATTTTCACATTTGTGAGCCAAAAAATGTGTTAGTATGCAAAAAGATCATAAGTTTCTGTATCTGATAATCTGGTTGAAAGATATGCTTTTTTTTTGTAAAAAAATGAAAAAAATTGGACAAATACTTCAAGTAAAGCATATAATAATTGGTAGAATATGGATAGTTTTTATATAAGACATCATAATACTGTACAGTACAACATTACACTTAACAATAGGCTCACCTGTTCCAGGGGTCGGTGGTTTGATCCCTGGGCACTCCCATTTAACCCTCCTGTAAATGGGTACCTAAGTTTATAACTTGGGGAAGTGAATCAGGTCGAGTGCAGCACCGGCCATGCTGCCTCCTTGTGTACTGAAGGCCTTGTACACAGTGGGCTGTACTCACACTGCCCCTTACAGGCAGTCATGCTTATGGGACCCACTTTCACACAATACTAAATAAGCGCTGATACCTATACCACGTACACTGATGTAATTACATGTATTATCAGCAATACTGTACATGATGGGAAGAAGCACAATTTTTGGCAGAAGTGGTAAGGGACAGAGGGTAAAAACAATCAATCATTTCTCTCCCTTTCCTTATATAAATAGTTTTTTGGTTATGGTATTTAGTATCACTCTAATGCGCAATAAACGATAAAGCATACACTTATGGTCCTCAAATCTTACCTGTTAAATGGTGAAAAAAATTTTAAAAAGGCATAAAGAGGGTGGCGTGAGGAGCAGTCACATGCACCCCAGCTGATCTGTGTTGACATGTGGTTTACTTATTGTTCTGACCGATAGGTGGCGACACCGTCACGACATCGGTTGAACATCAAGGGAGGTCTATACATTTTTCCGAGTTGGCTTAAAATTGGCGTGTCTCAGTGAAACCAATAAAAATTCATGCGACTGCAGTCAAATACGGAAGCCTAAGAGTTGAGCTTGTTGAATAAATTTATGCTTTTTCAGATTATCACTTAACATTACAGTATACCCTTAATTTCTCTGGGAACAATATTCTAATTGGATGCTGTGATAAGGATATTGAATCTACAAATGGAACTTCATGACTTACTTAAAAATGTTGTGTATTTGGATTTCAGCAATTGGTTCACTAAATTTATCGGTAAAAAACACTAACTATCCCATTATATTCAGGATTTTACTGGATTATATACCGATACACATATGGCAAGCACATTTTTTGTATTCAGGGTCGGCGACATATTGTAATTACCACAATCAGTCAGTTGTATTCAGGATTTCATGGGTTTTGTTGTCTTCATAGTACAGTGGTCTTTCGATTAACGAACTGTTCAATTAAAAAAATTTCGGTTAACTAATTAGCTCCCATAAGGATTTTCAGTTCCATTAATGAACAAAACTTCAATTAACGAAAGCCTTAGGAGAAACATGCTTTGTTGTGCGCATCAGCCGATCAGCTGATTGGCTAGACCGCCAATACAGTAATTGGTTCTATGTTTACATTCGTTTCCAGTGGAGTAGATATCAAGAAGTTGTGTTCTTGAATATTTTATATTAAAATTATTGGTCATTCTAAAATTTAGCCATCCAAGCTCTGTCTACATAAAGTTTTTCAACTAATATTTTTGGCTCGATATATGTAACTTTATTAATTTATTTTTACTCATTTACATGCACACATTGTCCTAAGGGCAAAGCTGTACTGTACATGTACTCAAAATAATGAACTAAATGATTACTTAGATTTTTGTCTCGTGCAAACTATAGCATGTTTATATTCAAATTGATCACTATCTTATAAGAATTCCAGCAATGTAAATTATATTCTCTCCGGTCACTTCTGAGACATTTTATAAGCAAAAAAAAAAAAAAATTAAATCTAAGGGACATAAATAAACAAATATATACTTCACTAGACCTTCGGCGCCAACTGTCATACGTGTCACTGTCACATCCCCCCCCCATCTTCCCAACCAGGGTTTGGTGGTTTTAGGCTTAAAGTTTTTATCTTATATAATATTACAGACTAAAGTTATGAGAATATAATTTGCATTGCTGGAATCCTTGCAAGACAGTGAATAATTTGAATATAAACGTCATATATTTTGCACAGGATATAAAAATTGATCACCTGTATCACATTACAGTAGTGATTTAAGAGTTCTAGTGTATATGTACGTATATACAGCCACTCCTCGACCTACGACCACCCTGTCGTACCAAAAATTTTTCAAATTACATATTTTCGAGTCCCGACGTTAGTGTACTGACAAAATTTTTAATTCCCTTTAAAATGGCTGGCATGCTTAAAAGTGAGAGTTTTGTGGTGCTGAGAAGAAAAAGAGACACCCATTTTAGGGTTTTTTTGGGAGTGTGTCTGACTGCATTTTTTGGCTTTACTTTGTATGTTCAGTGGTCCCTCGGTTAACGAACACAATTCGTTCCAGAAGGTCGTTCGTTAACCGAATCCATTGTTTCAATGGGATAATGGGTAATTGGTTCTCACCGAAAAGTGCTTTGAGGTGTGTATGTAGAAGGTTCCTGGTTGATGATGATGATGGGAATTAGAAGTAGGGTGGAGGAGAAGGGAGAAGAGAAGGAAGTGGGGATGGAGGAGAAATCACCTTTCAGGGAACCATGCCTGATGCAGTCATTTCACCGATAAAATTTTAAGTTCACTATTGTAGGTGTAATTCAAGATTATTTTCTTTAAATCAATAATTGTACTGTAAAAATGTAAAAATACTCTGTGTGCAAGAGACCCACAAGCAAGAAGTTTCCTCCACTGAACAGACGCCTTGGTGGGTGAGTGAAGTGGCTGATGGGCGCACCAAAAACTAGTTCTCTGTACTGCAATTATGTTAAATAAGTGTTAAAATGACTAATAATTTTAATATAAAACTTGGAAAAATTTTGAATAGCACAACCTTCTTGATATTTTTACTCCAATGGAAACGAATGTTAGCCCTAGAACCGATTACTGTATTGGCGGACTAACCTACCGAATTGAAGAATCTTATGGAAAGTAATTCATTAACCGAAATTTCGTTAACCGAAGCGTTCGTTATCCGAGGGACCACTGTACTTTTTCTATGAGTTGGAACCAATTACCAATATCCCATTGAAATAATAGATTGTTAAAAAAAATTTCGGTTAACAAACGACTCTGTGGAACCAATTGTGTTCGTTAATCGAGGGACCACTGTATTTCAAGATCAACTGATTTGTCTTCAACTTAATAACAGATAAAACTTAGTAATGGATAGACAGACCACATTGTGTTTCTCTTTAAAATGTAAGATAATTATTATTTTATTAACAGTGAATTTTGTTCAGACTCTCCTGTCATTCCATCTTCATTAAGATTCTATCACACACCAATTTGTTTTTTCTCTCTTTCTTTACTATGTAGCAATAATGTACTGTGCTGCAATTACCCACATGAATTATAATGAAAATGTATGTTTTAATTGTCATAAATTGAACTGCCCCCTTTTACACTAGAAAAACGGCATCTTGAGGCAGAACGTGATGCAGCCCTGAAACAAGCAAAGGCTATTAGCCGTGAATATGATCGAATGCTGGAGGAGCACTCCAAGCTTCAGGCTGAACTCAAGAAAGCTACTAATGGTGAGGAATCCAAGAAAGATGATTGAGGTGTGCCAGCAGCATTGTTGTAACTCAAACCTTGAGGACATTCACAATACAGTACAGTATACTGTGCAAGGTAAATATTGCTTAGTCCATGCATATACAGTGCTGTATGTACTGTGCTGAATATTCCAAATGGTATTACATGTCTGTGGATATGCTTAAAAGCAATATTATTGACTTCTTAATTTTTTAATAGCTAAGAGAATCTTAACATGATAAAGGATAAAAAAGTTATTTAAAATGAAAAATGATTATTGATGAATGCTACACTTAAGAACAGTTGAAAGTATGAGAAATTCACATGCATAAAGAGGTTAAAGAAAGGGAAATGTTTGTGTTTGTGGGATATGTACTGCATAGTATTTGTAGTCCATATGAGTGTTTGTAGGTGCTAATGCTAAGCAGGTTTTCTTATGGGTCTAAGATCAGCAGGTATTTATCTTGAAGTAAATTCACTTTTTTATGCAGAAATGACCTGGTTAATTAAACAAAAATCTTGAAAAACCAATATTTCATTAATGCGGTACAGATTTTTACAGTTTAGAGACTGCAGTGTTTCTGAAACGGTTGATGCTTTATGATTGACTGCGTTAAAAGTCTGTATTGGTAGTGTCTTGCATGATGAGGCTAACACAGTTATCAGACTAAATAGTAATTAATTATCCATGATTTGAAGCGCTGTCGTTAGAATGTTAAGTGTGTAGTTACCTACATCAAAATTTATTCGTAAATCCTAAATACAGTTCATACTGTACATGCTTTTATGTTGTAGCCTGTATCAGTGGTATCCAATACATCCCATTATTAGTGCCCACTGCATTTTGTTTTCATTTTACACGTATATAATCAAAGTTAAGGACATTATTTGGACTTGAACTCCTTGCGTCCTTGCTGAAAATACAAACCAGGTTTAGAAAAAAAAAATGTGAAAATAAGAATGCACACACACACACACATATATCTTCACCTTCTTATGTAAACATAATGACTTGACAAGTTAACTGATACAGTATATGAAAGTGGGAATAGAAATTTAATCAACATCTGTACCTCTAGATTTAATACCTTGGAGCATGAAATGAAAAAATAAATGTCCACACAAATTCAACAGGAAATCATTCACAAAGAGGCATCTGTGAAATACAGGTTCTAAATATTGAACATAATTAGCACATGTTGATAACTACATTTTCCCCAATTTGGTACCACTGTATTGCCAATGTTTTTGATTCATTGCCTTTTCAGTAGAAATTTTGAGTGTTTCCATTATATAGAGGAATCCAAGTATTTACAAGGTTTCTGTAATTTTAAACTGAGGAAACATATGCTTACAATAAATTATTTTAACTTGAAATTTTATGTTCAAACAAGTTGTTGAATTTATACAAGGTAGTTTAAAGAAACTTATTCCCAATTTCATCCAAAATGTATCAGTCATTTAGTCTTCTTTAGGAAAATGCACCAGACTCAAAATATATAAATAATTTAATATAATTTTTGGTTTTAAATCTGTTGTACAGGTATATATGTAAAACAGCCCCAACTGGTACTTCAACATTAAATAGAAATGGGGAGTATGGAAATTGTTGGCTCATGAAATAGATAATAGCCAGATTTATATATATATATATATATATATATATATATATATATATATATATATATATATATATATATATATATATATATATATATATATATATATATATGTATATATATGTATATATATATAAATCACCATTGCATTCATTACTGTCAGTCAAAACCTGAGTTCACAAAGGAACATGCTATTGTGTTCATGGGTGACAGTATGCCAACAGTGCAGTACAAAATTAATATATTAGGATTATAAAAAACTCTAATGTATGTAATTTGATTTCCACTTTGACCTTGTTTTCTAGATTTATGATAATTACAGTGGCAGTGAAGTTAAAATGTGGAAGTAAAGTAATTTTAAAAGTGGGAAGTAAATCTTACATCCTTCATTTTTAAAACTAATCCACTTACCATAAAAAAATTAAGAGTTTATTATTCAGAACAGGGTAATAATGCTTTATTGTGGTTTTGTACTTATATATTTATCTGCCTTTAGGTGCACATGAATTAGCTGTGAACCACTGAATTATTTTGTGTGAAAATATTGCTTATGTTTAACACCACAATATCTTGTATTTGTTGTTTGATTTATATACATATTTGGCATTTAGTATTATTTGTGTGATTTCCTATTCATTAACCCTCATTTCTCCAGGAATTAAAATGAGCCTTTCTTTAATGACTTGTTTGCTTACAAATGGTTTTCAGAAGGAAAATGAATATTCCTTAACCATTTCTGGGATTGTTTGTGAATAAAATTGATAAAACTATGAGATTAAGATTTTTTTCTTGATAAAATAATGCTGAATATGATGTGTGTCAGTCTCTACACACTCCTCCAGTGTTATACCCATTTAACTTGTATGCTCAATCTTCCATTCTTTTTGCCATCTCTATAAATCATGCCATCCTTGCTTTCGTTTATTCATTCCACATTTACATTATGTTGCTGTCTTGCCTATCCATCCCATTTCCTTCCAAGAAGATCCATATCACATTTATTTTATTTTTCTGCTGGCCACTGATTTTAATTTAATCATAGGGAAAGATTTATTTTTCCTTCAAAAAACCCAACTACACATGCCTCAATTTTGTTTTCACAGATTTGTTTTAGGACCCACAAACTTTTTTCATCCTGAAAACTTTATAATATAACTTATGGTTTATTTTATTTTTTATTATTCATGACTTATGCCTTTTACTAATCCACCACAATCACCTTCTTCAGTCAGTCAGCTGCAACAGTTCAGTACGTACTATCATAATTACATTAATCAATTTGGTCATCATCACATCATATCATTTCTGCACCCTTTCCATTTTTCAGCTATTATCTTTCAATCCTTGGTCCTGGCCACTTTACTGGGTCTGTTGCCTCTAGGCTGCCCCTCCCATTCAAACTCCTCATTCAGCAGATGAGTGCAGTGTTTTTCTCCAAGTGTCTTTGATTTCTTCATTATGAGCAATCACAATATCAGTTTCTTCTCACACACTGCGGGTCTTACAACGCCGGGAGTCAAAGGGTTAACGTCTCTTAATGAATCTCATTAGCACAAACCTGGCAAGAAGTGTCCTCAACCTTTGTACGTATAATAAAAAAATTACTGTACTATTCTTGAACAACTTTAATTTCTTGTATATATATATATATATATATATATATATATATATAACCATTTCATTCAAATTTACAAACTGCAGAATACTTTAAGTCACGTATAATATAAAATATAAAAACAGATTTGGCGATTCGCGGCCATTTTGAGAACCTAACCCCCGCGAATTTGGGGGGCCCCCTGTACATACAAAGAACTGTATACCGGTAATAGAACTAACAAAACATTAAATATAAACAAAATACAGTACTGTACAGTATACTGTACAATAATAAACAAAAATCAATAAAATATTTTAACACTTAGTTTGAGATGTGTATGTGGAATTTCCGGCTGCTTTGTTTACATAGCAGCAGCGCAAACAGAGTGCATTGGTTCTAATGCCTTCGTATTTCTTAATAATTTCTAGTTTCACTTGAATTGAAATCTCCTTCCGAGATTTCTTTGGACCCATGCTTGATAATTTTACCAATAAAATTTTAAGTCAACAACAATTTATTTAACTAATTCCAGATTTTTTTTATTTAAACCAACACTGCACTGTATATTCAATATGTTAACTAAATTTCAGAATGACCAATAATTTTAATGTAAAAATTAAAAAAACATTCAAGAGCACAACTTTCTTGATGTTTACTCCACTAGAAACAAAGGTAAACATAGAACCGATTACTGGCGGAGGAGTCGATCAGCTGATGTGCACACCAAGACATGTTTCTTGTAAGGCTGTTGTTAATAGAATTTGTACTCGTTAATAGAACTGGAAGTCTTAAGGGATGCGAGTCGTTAACTGAATTCTCGTAAATTGAACCGCTCGTTAATGGAGGGTCCACTATATACAGTGGTCCCTTGATTAACGAACGGTTCAATTAACGAAATTTCGGTTAACCAATTCACTCCCATAAGGATTTTCAGTTCCATTAACGAACAAAACTTCAATCAACGAAAGCCTTAAGAGAAACACACTGTTGTGTGCATCAGCTGATCGGCTAGTCCGCCAATACAGTAATTGGTTCTTTGTTTACATTCGTTTCCAGTGGAGTAAATATCGAAAGTTGTGTTCTTGAATATTTTATATTAAAATTATTATTCATTCTAAAATTTAGCCATCCAAGCTCTGTCTACATAAATTTTGTCAACTAATATTTTTGGCTCGATATATGTAACTTTATTCATTTATTTTTACTCGTTTACATGCACACACTGTTCTAAGGGCAAAGCTGTAATGTACATGTACAGTACTCAAAATAATGTACAAAATGAGTACAGTGGTCCCTCGGTTAACGAGTTACCTTCCATAATATTCTTAACTTCGGTTAACGAGCAATCCCTCGATTAACGAGTTTCTTACGAGCCGACCTGAACATGTTTTCGCTTGCATTTGGCGGTCCACCAGCTGTAGTATTAGTCTGCCAATACAGTTATCGGTTCTAGGGCTTAAATTCCTTACCATTTTAGCAAATATCAAGAAGTTTATACCATTCAATAATTTTGAAAGTTTAATATTAATTTTCTTTAGTCATTTTAACAATTATTGAACATAATTGAAGGTAATAAAACTAGTTTTATGCGCGCCATCCAGCCTCTCAACACACCATACAGGCGTCAGTCTTTGTGTCTTTTCAGTGGAGGTAACATCTTGCTTGAGACTCTCTTCAACTAAATGCTTTTTTTTCTGTGTTTGCAAGCAAATTATTGGTCATTTTGAAATTTATTTTACATATTGACAATATATAATGCAGTGCAGCGTTGATTTAAAAAAAATAATCTTGAATTACACCAAGAGAACTAAAATTTTATGGGTGAAATGGCGCCATGGAGTGACTTCTCTCCCTTCTCCTCCACCCCCATTCTAATTCCCATCATCATCATCCGGGAGCCTTCTACATACACACCTCAAAGTAAGTGTACTTTTCTACCTTTTTTGTTGAATTTAGACAATTTTCGGTGAGCTGGAACCAATTACCCAAAAACCCATTGAAACAATGGTTTCGGTTAACGAGCAACCTTCTAGAACAGATTGTGCTCGTTAACCGAGGGACCACTGTACTGAGATTTTTGTTTAGTGCAAACTATAGTATGTTTATATTCAAATTAATCACTATCTCATAAGAATTCCAGCAATGTAAATTATATTAGCCCCAGTCACTTCTATAACATTTTATAAGCAAAGAACAAAAACTCAATGTAAAGGGCATAAATAAACAAATAAATACTATACTGTACTTCACTAGGCCTTCGGTGCCAACTGTCAAACATGTCACTCTCACTTCCCCTTCTCCCCCCTCCCAGCCAGGGTTTAGTGGTTATACAGTAGGTGGTTTTTATCTTATATAATATCACAGACTAAAGTTAGGAGAATATAAATTGCATTGCTAGAATCCTTGCAAGACCACAAATAATTTGAATATAAACGTCATATATTTTGCACGAGATAAAAATTAATCGCCTGTATCACATTACAGTAGTGATATAAGAGTTCTGGTGTACGTATATATAATGTATAGTGATTTAAGGGGGATTTTTAGGAGTGTTTCTGACTTTATGCATTTTTTGGCTTTACTTTGTATGTACTTTTTCTGTGAGTTGGAACGAATTACCCAATATCCCATTGAAATAATAGATTCAGTTAACGAAATTTTAGGTTTATGAACGACTCTGTGGAACCAATTGCCTAGAGCAGATTTTGTCAATGCAGTTAATAAGCTGGTGGAATGAGGTGCGTTGGATTAGGCAATATAAACTCTAGAGCTCTTCATTATTTAATTTCCTCTTTACATTCTGCAATTGCAATTAATATTAACAATTATGGAACACAACTACAGTTGTTGTGCTAACTAGCTGGTCCATCTTGAGTATGATGGGTGTTTTCCTGGCCGACTTCTACTACGTAAACACCTTTTTCCTTTCTGAAGAATAGAAAAAATAGTTTTCTTTAAACATAAGGAAAACATTATAGATTTTGCTTAACCCATAACTGGTGATTAGCATCCAAGCATGTGACCACCGATGTTACTATCTCTGGTCAATCACATACTAGAACGCTTTTCTAATACAGTAGTACCCCGATTTACGCGGTCAATTGAACCCATGGGGTACTGCGGAAAGTGAAAACCGCGTAAAGTGGACAACAGAACATATGGGATTAATTCCAATAGAGACTGGCCCGACCCCCAAACTCCACTTTTTCAGACACAATACCTACGTTGTAGTAAAAATTACATCTTAATTTTATGATGGTATGCACACATAATTAATAATTAAGAGAAATATCAATAATATTAGTTTTTTAACACTTACATTAGTAGAAAAGATGGCTGGGCACACAGGGATGGGGGGTTGGTTCCGAGGCAGAGGGCAGATTATTGGCCCTCACCTGTATCACTTGAATCAATTGTATCACTATCCACCACATAGGCTTGCAGGGCCTCTTTGTCAAACCCCTCAAAGTCCTTATAAGTCCATATCTTCACTATCACTGACTTAGGCCGGCTGTGGTGGGTGGCGGGTGAAGAACTCGGTAATGTTTTGATGACTGGGCGACCTTGTGCGCATCCTGCCCGCGTCGCTTCTCGCGTATATGAGTAGATGCACCGCGGAAAGTGAAAGTTCGGTTCTGGCGAGGCACCGCGTAAATGAGAAATCGCGGAAAGTGAAACCGGGTAAAGTGGGGTAATACTGTATACTCTTCCCGTGCCTTTGAGACCGAGTCTAGCTACCATAATCTGTTGGCTGGTGGTGTCTGGCATCTTGTGTAAACGTTTCTTGCCACTCAGCCTTTAGGACACCCCCCATCTCTCCCCACAGTCAAGGCTGCAGGACTATACAGTAGAATCTCAAACTCTCGATAGTTATGGCACGTGAACATAATTGGTCACTCAATCAGGATGAGATACACGCTGAATTATTTGGCAGGTGGTGAAGATGAGCATGGTATTGACAGAGAGGTAAGTACTGTACAGTAATATCTCAGTTAGCCGAAATCCCTCAAACCTGGAACTCTCCGATAGCCGGAATTGAAATTTTCTCCGAAAATCGTTCCCAAAGTCGGAATTTTCCAGAAAATTGTGACTTTGGGAATGATTTTCTGAGGGGCACACTTTCTGGAAAATTCTGAAAAAATTTCCTGATACCCGGAAAATTCTGGGGATGGTGGATATTTTTCCGGGTTCAAGAGATGATGTAATGGGCAATTTCTGGAACTTCTAAGAACATTTTTAGTTACCCTGAAAATACCGAGGATGAGGGATTTTTTCCGGTTTTTCGAGTTCTCGTTACCCAGAAATTTCTCATTCCCGGAAGTGCTTTGCACCAATTGTTCTGGCTAATGTAGATATCACTGCTAGTGATATTGAAGGTGGTGATAGTGACCTGGACTACGTGCTTGAACAAGAGGAAAGCTTCAACGATGATGATGAGTGGCAAGTGGAGATGAGAGGGTTGCTGCCCTACCCATCCCCAGGAACATCCAGTACTCCCTCCATTTCACCTACCTCTACCACTGCATGGTTACATCTGCCCAATGCAAGTCGAAAGAAGAGGATGAGGTCACTGGTTTCCTCCTCAGGATCAACCAGCCCACATGAAGATAATCCTGACTCACGACCACACTTGACCTATGATATCTCCACCACAAACCAACCCACATGTGGCAGACAACACATCTGTAACTCCAGGCCCTCCCTCCCCACCAGACGACGGGCTCCAACATGCCGCTGTGGTCAAGGAAGAACACCTGCCAGAGTTAGTCCTGCCGACTGGTGGGCTTGGATTGATGGGGCTGATTTTGTAACCAAAAGATTTTGGCTTTGATGCATCAAACTCAGGAATAAAAATACAAGAATTCACAGCATACAACCAGGAGAGTGCCTACTTCAATTATTTCTGGGATGATGAGATTCTTGACATTATGGTGAGAGAAATGTACTGCTACATTTACTTCAAGATAGGTGGTAAGGTGTTAGCTTCACAGTCTTGTGAACACCAGTGGTATGACATAACAAGAGCTGAGATGAGGGTATTCCTAGTCTTAGTGATGCTGATGGGGACTGTGAAGAAAAATAAATACAGGGATTACTGGAGCACGGACCCTCTCGTCGAAACACCGATTTTCAGTAGTCATGTCAGTGAACAGATTCACCAATATATTGCAAGGACTCACTTTTTTGACAACCTGCTGGGCTTCCTGAACGAAAACAATGACAAGATGAGGAAGATTTGGGCCGTCTTCAATCACCTTCGAAAGAAACTCAAGGAAGTGTTTTACCCATACCAGAATGTCGTCATTGATGAGAACCTGATGTTGTGGAGGGGGAATATTGGGTTTTGCCAATATATTCTCTCTAAGCGCCACAGGTTTGGCCTGAATTTTTTGATATCTGTGACTGCAAGACTGGCTTTATGCTAGATATTGAACTCTATACCAGAAATGCAACAGAAGTGACTGTGGTTTATGAGCCTTGGAATGGCAGCAGCTGTTGTAAAGACTCATGGTTCTGCGTTTGAAGAACGCACTACCCCAGGTGGTGTTGTCAGCATGGTGGTCACCCCATGCACCTCACAGGTCGTCAATTTCCACGCACTCACGACCAGAAATGAAGAAAAAGAAAATCCATGTGTGTAGTCACACAACACTACGACCTAGGAAGCGTAGTGACACACTGTCGTGAATGTGACGTTGCCCTTCGCCTCCATACCCTACTACACTTCTAGAGAGAAAGGAGAGAGCTAAGATAATACTAGCGAATTGTTTGTAAATACAGGGAGTAAAAATAATAAGGCCTGTGTAAGTTGTGTGTAATAAAGTCACATTAGTATTTACATTGCTATTATTACCCTATCCATGTGTAACACATGTGCGTATTGCCATAGTAATCTAAGTGCAATATAAGCGAATAATATTAGTAAAAATGTTAGGAAAATACTCGTAAACTGAGAATGACGGAAAATACCTCTCCCGACCGTGTAGCGTTGCCGCTTGCAATAAAAAAACATCCATATGTTTATTCCATATATCTTTTTTTTAGTTTCATTTGCTATGCTGCTACATTCATATTTTTTGTGGAAAAAAAAATCATGTACTGTATAAACTGTACATGGTTGCAAGACAGACTGGAAGTACTGTGACAACACTGGGAGGGAGAAGACTTGGCACTACTAAACTAGCCCAGGATCTAAATGCAGCATAGCACTTTAAACGAGGCGAGTTGTCACTTTTACTAGTATTTATTGTTTTCTAAGGTCATTTTGGGGTGTTTGAGCCATAAAACAAAATTTAGATTTTTCCCAACCTGGGGGGGGGGATTGGGTTACCATGTATGCATAATAATATGACTTTTTGTGGGTTAAACCAAGATTAAAACCCTTCACACAAGCTCAGTGCAAAATAGAGTAAATACCATACTAACCCTGACTGGGCCATGGGGCTGAACAAGTGTGTCCATGGTTGGGAAAACAATATTGTACAATATTAATTAAAGTGTGGCATTTATACTAGGGTTCGGTCCTGGTAATATATACAGGTACTTTGCAAATAAGAGAGTAAAATGTTGTCACGTTTTATACAAGTTAAACATTATACAGTACAGTTTAGTGCAAATATTGTACTACACTGTATTCATAAATTACAACTTGTTGTATTTGCTTACCCCAGGAATACATTGCGAGTCTCAGAAATGTGTTTCTTCATATGACGCACTAGCAACCCTTGGTAAACAAATCTCTTACCACATTCTCCACACTGAAACTTCTTTTCACCTGCAAAACAATAAGTGACATTAATATGAGAAAACTAAAGAAGTTTCATTTACAATGAACTCTCATCTGATAAGTTGGCAGAAAACCTAAAAAAATAAGTTACTTATATTTATTTTTAAAGCTTTCTCACTTCAAATTGCAAAGCTTGATTCTATCTACAACATGCAAATTTTTTTTATTAAGACATATATGAATTGTTTACGGTGAGTCTTAAACAACTGTGATATTAATAAACAATTAATGAGTGCCTTCTGTCCTGCAACAACAATAATAATTTATATACAGAACAGTAATCAGGATTTTTCAGTGCCATAATTTTTAAGTTTGGTGCCTGATTTCTGCTTGAATGAATTACAGTAAACCTTTGTTATTTGCAGATTTACAATTTGTGGTTTCGACTGTTCACAGCAAGCAAATGGTAGCTAGCTCATGAGCCTCTATGAGTCACTCCCACAGCATCTCCCCTCCCTTGCTTGTACTCAACCTTTACCCATGGTGCATCATCTCATGTTGTGCATAAAAATTAAGTGTTTTGTGTTCAAAATGGAACCTAAAAAATGCCTAGTGCTAATGAAGGGGAAAAAAAGGCTATTTCAGTGAAGACCCTTATGAGAAAGTTGAATTATTAGATAAGTTAAAGGAAGGACTGACTGCCACAGTGCTTGGCTGGTGAACTATTTTGATAGTGAAGGTGGTCCCCTACTAGAAGAAACTACCAGTCACGATGTTTATTCGTACATGTACATAAATCAAACCTGGGACAATTTTTTTTCCTTTCTTTTTTTATATCAGATCATTGTATATTAGGGACTGCTTGTATTCAGTCACCTAAATGAATTTCTATTTACCAGTCATTCATGATGCATTGCTTGGCTTGGCTTAGCTTAGCTTATGGATGTATATCCTATACATTACCATTTCTCTTCGTGTTAGCAGGTACGGTACAGTAGACCCTTGCCATTCGTGAGGGATAAGTTCCAAGAAATGGCGCGAATTGGTAAAACCGCGAATAGCCACTTATATAATACCTTAGTGCATTAATATACAGGTTTACCTATACTGTGTATGAGAAACTTAAGTCACAATACTGTACTGTACTTACATTCGTATGTGGAAGTCTGGAGCTTTCTCAGTGTTCACTATGTTTTTGTCACGAACTTGCAGGAGCACTTGCTTGAACAGAATCATGAATTGCTTGTTCATTCATTCTTATGTGCCTTTTATGTTTCACTCCACTAGCATCACTAGCACTGACACTAGGTTGTCTTTTTGGGGCCATTTTCACAAAGAAACACGAAAATATGACACGAGATGCTTGGTCATGAGTACTGGGCGAGGGCAAACAGAGTGAGATGAGACGCCGCGGGTGCGTGAGGTGACTCGTTGCGCTGCGGGAGAAGGCTCTCATGCTAGCCACCAGTTGCTTACCGCGAATCGTCGAAATCGCAAATCGTAAACCCGCGAATGGGAAGGGTCTACTGTATACAGTATGGTACGAATAAAATGGGCAAGATGTCTTTCACCAAGCAGATGATGAGCCACTTTGAGATAGAAAAGCCCTACTACCACAAGCTTATAAAGGATAATGATAATACAGCATATGTGAATGAGCATATAAGCAAGAAACTCCTCATACTGCAGCCGAGTCAGTGTTTCTCACAGACAGGACGCATATGAAAAGAGAAGCACCTCAAGTGTTATAAGAGGTGGTGATGAACTGGTAAACAGCTTGCTCAGTACTGCCACCTGCATTTAAATTATTTACAGGTAAAAATTACTTTACTGTATTTCTAATTTGGCAGAAACCTCACTTTAGAGGAAGGTGGTCCATTCCATGTAAATCAACAAATTGAGGTTATACTGTACAGGTACTATAAACCTCAACTACTGTAATGCTGAAATTGTACATTGCTTTAGGCAACCAAATAATACAGTACTAATGATTAGAACAGTTACATTTCATATTTATAAACACAAAAGAAAAACATATGTACAGTAATTTCCTTAAAAATTAATACAGTACAGTGAGTTCTGCTATAACGCGTGTTTTGATAACGCGAATTTGCTCTAACGCGATTTATGAATTAGGAACGATATTTGTATAACGCGAACGCTTGTTTGCTATAACGCGATTTTTGCTTACTATTTCTCCAATTTTGTGGTATTAACTGTGAATATAGTAAAGAAGAATATCAACAAGAAGCGTTCTGGTGATAGAATTCCCGGTGATGATCGTAAAAGAAAGGATATAACACTTGAAGAGAAGCTCGATTTTATCAACCTCAAAATCACCCTTCTCCCCCATCAAGTAAAGTGTTACATTTACTGTATGATTTCATTATTAGATATGAATGTAACATTTATTTAGACTGTGCTATCCTTTGTGTTAGGCTAACTACTAAATTTTTTCGATTTCGAGTAATCTGCACCTCACCCTATTTTCTCCATAAGCCCTGTTATTTCTATTACGCGATTTTCTATAACACGATATTTTACAAGAACACAATTATCGCGTTATAGCAGAACTACCTGTACTGTACATTATACATTTTATGACCATGTACCGTTTCTCTTAATATAATTCAAACATTTCTGCCTATCATATACATCTTATAATTCCTATCTTATTACAAAGTGTATAACTGACAAAATTGCCTCAAAACACTGTGGTAACAGCATCTCGCCTTACATTGATGTTTGTTCCTGCTTATATCCATTAATTCTATATTGTGTCTTGACTTCCCCCTAACATTCAATATCAGTCAAATCCATTATTTTTGCCAGACTTTTCACTCATTATTTATTCATATACTGTACAGTGTACACAACCCATCAATTCTTAATGCATCACACACAATTTTCAGCTACAAGCAGATAACTAGTAGCATTAAAGAGAAACAAAATCAATAATTATATTAACTTTAGGAATTATCAATAAACTACTTACCTGTGTGACTCTGTAGGTGTTTATTTAACTTTGATTTAATCGCAAATCGTTGAGGACACTGAGGGCACTGGAATCTACGCATCTCTTGGCTCAGGTGGGTTAGACGGTGAGACCATAAATTACTTCTGCATTTGAAAATTTTATCACAATCCTAGAAAAAAGAAAAATATTTAAAAATTATACAAAATTTACTTTCATATTCAAGAAAAAAAATTGACATGCTGTGAGAACCATTATGCTCTACCCAGAAACACATGTTATCATGTGTCAGTCTTGTAATACAGACTTGGTTCAAATGTAAGGTTATACATAAATTACGGTAAAGTATATTGTACAGTACAGTTCATCTACCTCTTTAAGCTCACCGAGAAGTGACCCCTGGCTGTTGGTAAGTACACTGTACCCAATTTAGCTTTTTTTATTATTGCATATATATACAGTAAGAGTATATGATCAGAACCGATAATTCGGCATATCTGATTACTGTACTCGGCAAGCCCTCCATCCCATATGTGCTGAGTTATTGTACAGTACTATTTTGAACAGAAGTAGGAGACGCACATGGGGGTTATGGTATAAAAGTATTTATAAAGATGCACAACTTCACAGTCAAGTAGTACCTGTTTTGATTGAAAAGGTTAGTCACTACACTAAAAAAATATTAAGTGTTTTAGAAACAATAAGTAATACAGACCTCGCACTGGAAACCAGCAGAAGTACTAGAATGTTTCCTTAGACGGTGGTTGCGTAGTGATTTAGAGTAAACAAAACTATCATCACAAAGCTCACATTTGATCCTTATACCATGAAATGTGTTCTCATGCTGTTCTTGGTAACCCTGAAACAAAGATTCATAAATAGGAAGATTTTAATAAAAATTTATACACATTTACTAATAATTCCTTAACTGAAAAACCTTTCACACACATATACAGTACTGTACTGCCTCAGTTTATCCTTCTGCCTGTCCTTTGGTCTCCCTTTATATCTATTCCTAGTAATCTCAATCAATATATCTTTTATTAAATTACAGTACTTTGAATCCATTCTTTTCATTTATTCAAACAACTCAGTGCTCCAAACTTAATATCTCAATCACTCAAAGTAAAATGCTGTATAATTAATTTTGTAACCTGTCTGGTAATAAAAAAATTTATAACATTGTTATGTAACACCTATAAAAACTGTTAAACATAATATACAGTAATATTGCTTACAAGGTTTCTGAAGACCATACCACAGATTCTGCACATCTTCATGCGCTGCAACTGACTCTGGACACTCAATGTCTCCTGTAGACTTTTGGCAAGAGCACTTCTCCCTGTAAACAAAAAAATTACTACGCATAACTTGTACCTAACATTCATTAAGTCCTCATCTCAAATTAAGTATCCCACAGATATTCAAACTTCCCCTGCACAAACTATCATCCTTTCACCAAACAGTGACATTATTGTATTTCAGTTCTCTCTCTTGACCCAGCAAACATAAATTTTGTGCACCAATGCATCAGAGTTTAAAAAAAAAAAAAAAAAAAAAAAAAAAAAAAAAAAAAAAAAAAACCTCGATCTACCAGAGGAATGAAACCCTTGTTGTGATCACAACTGGGTTATAACCTGGGCTCCAATAAGTGATGACTTAACTAAATATTTAAGTTCTATAATAACTGTGATAGGCTTTTATCACATGTCCACTTTCCAAATACTATAGATACTGTAGATGTAAATGAATTACAGGTACAGTACTATAATCTGAAATGAGAGCTTGTGACCATCCTAAACATCTAGGCACGAATTCAGAACAGTGATTTGAAACCGCATGAAGGTTTAAACCAAGGATCGAGCGAAGATTGTTGGTATTTGAAACACTGGCTTGAGCCAACACAAAGACCCCAACCGGGTTGAGATCGGAATTGTTGATCCTCGCATTAATCCAGCCTGGAGGCAAGTTTAGCTGTTGATCTTTCAAACAAGTCAACATGAATTTTGACAGAGTGCGGTTTTCGGCGATATCAAATTGGAAATTTTGTAGAGAGAAGACTGATGACAGATACGCAGAATCCAATAAATTTTTATGATGACACGCAATTTAAACAACGATATAGGTTCAGCAAGGGAGATTTCCTTGATATTTTCCGTGATATGAAGCATCTACTTGAGAGACCTGTTGGCTATGGTTCACCTCTACCTCCCGTTCATCAGCTGATGATTGCTTTTAGATTCTTCGCAACGAATAGTTTCTCGGTAAGAAAGATTCTGGCTACTGAATGAGTTATGGTAATGTGTGACAACCCTTTTGTGTTTAGGGTTCATGAAGATGACACTTCTTTATTTTGAATGTTTTTCTCCAGGAAAACTATTTTGATGTATTTTCAATTATACAGTAATTGAATCAATGCAGAGTGCATTTGATTTTAATGTATTACAAAGGAAAGTCTTTTTTTTTAACATTACTAATCTGGGAAAATGTGGGGTTAAAAGAACAGAAAGAAGTCTAACCTAACTGAACCTAGCCAGGTTATTATGCCTTGCATCGATTCATTTTGCTTTGGTTAAGAATATTGACACCTGTCCCGGATTATATCTGCAATTTGTATGTAATTGTTCTTCCTCTATGAATTTCTTTGTTATCATATAACAACACAGCCATGTTGTAACACAGTTCCATAAATCATTGTAATTTGATAATAATTTGATGGTAATTATACTGTAGTAATAAAAGTAACTTTGCAAGGCGAGATTTCTCCTTCTTCGTAAAAACTCGTCGTGTCATAGTTGCCACCATAATCTTGTAAACATTACTCTTGCTGGTGTTAGGCTGTCGTAATGGTGTAACCAAAACGTGATTGGCTGGAATTTCAGCGTTCGAATCCTTGCTCATAATTGAAGATAATGCAACAAACTACCCGATCCGGGGTTCAAGTCGATATTCTGAATATGGGCAATCCACTGCAGGAAATCTCGGATTGAGGAATTTAGATTCGCAGGCCTGAGCCGAGCTCAAATCATCATTTCGAATTCGGGCCCTAAGGTTTACCTGGGCTTTAAAAACCAGAGGTGACTCATAAAAGAAAATTCCCCCAATTGTTGACACAAGGATGGACTTGAGGGATAAATTTTTATTGCTAACCCAAGTGTTAAAAAAACAGTAAATAAAACATGTTTATAAATACAGTACTGTATCATAAAACATATTGATAAACAATGTTCTACGGTCAATGGGACTGGAAACAAACTGGATTCATGAATTTCCTATTTTTTTAAATACAGTAATAGGCCAAGAATATACAAAATATTAAATAAAGTATAGGAACATACGTTGAAGGCTAGTGAATGTAATACCCAGACGACCGAAGAATTAAACATACTGTATAGTACTATAGAGACAAATTTTTTAATTAAAAACATGGCTATAAATTGTATGGTGCTGTACAGTAATACAACGAAGCACATTCACCAAGCTAGGTTCAGCATAATAGATGATTGGCACCACATTCAGTTATATTTGTGGAATGTGTGTTTTCCATTAAGCAGTAATAAATAACAAAGCTGATGAAACATAAATTTCACATTCTACTGGAAAATTAACATTATCAGTTACTGTACTTTACTCCAATGCAACTCGGTACAGTACCTGTAGTACAAAATATTAAACTCTGTTACCTGTTGATGAAGATGCTAATTTTGGCGGAGAATCAGAATGAATGGTTTTCATTATTGCTGATTTGTTAAAGTTTAATTTATTATCAGTAATATCCAAAGTGTCATCTTTGCATTTTACACTTTCATTATTTAGTTTTCTGGGAAATGCTTGCTCCTGTCCTTGATTTACAAAGTCACTTTGATGTGAATAGTTTCTACCACAGTAATTATTCACACACTGCACTGTAACACTTTGAGGGGCTGGATCTTCTTTTTCTAAATCAGAAATTCCGGGTGTCCTTTTCAGAATTCCACTTGAACAGATAACTTGTGACATAACTTCTTTGCTCCATACTAACTCTTCCTCACTTTCTACTGTCACTATAATTTCTCCAGGTGAGGAAGCAACAATTGACTTTTCATCTGTGTCACAACAAATGATCATCTCTAGCTGAGATTCATATCCATCTTCCATACTTTTTTCACTAACTGTCTTATTTAAAGAGTTACCACAGATAATTCCAATACCAGGATCTTTTTCAGTCAATGGACATGGAGATTGATTTTCACAGTTAGATATAACACTAATATTTGTATTCGGTGTCTGTATAGTATCTTTATATAACACGTTTGTTATTCCTTCTTTATCCTTCTTTAAACTGTCAATTTTAATAACATTTTCTTTAATAACTTTTGTCCTTGAAGCTGGTGAATTGACTAAATCTTTTGTTAGTGAAACTTCAATTACTTGAAAAAGAGTCTTACAGTCAGGATCTCCCATCCCCATACTGGATATATCTTTAAGGTTAAGTTCAACAATGCCAAGATCACATGTAAGTGATGCAGCAAAACCAGAATAATGTTTGAGCTGTATGTGATTCACCAAATATTCTTTACTTGTTAGATTTAAACCACAATATTCACATAATGTAGCCTCTTCTCTGTTTACCTGTACCTGCAATTAAATCAGGTTAATAAGTAATATCATAAATACAGGTACAGTACAGTGTTTAATTAATCTTTATCTTACTCTCTTGAATTATTTTTCATGAAAATTTACTGCATTATAAACAATAATAAATCTTACATAATGATGCTGTATGGAGAGATGGTCTAGTAGATCACTGTGGCTGAGAAGACAACACTTACAAGTTGGACAGACGTAAACCTCCTGAATATTTAATGAAGAATGGCTGAAATTCACATGTTGAGCAAGATCATCAGCAGACTGAAAACTCTTCCGACAGAAGTCACAAGAGTGCTTCAGGCAGTCACCATCGTGCACTATTCTGATGTGAACGACTGGAAGGATGCAATCTGGAGACCAAAGACATGAAGAATTTAAGTACTGTATGAAATCCTATTCCATTTCTCATGGTATTCACTCGAAGGTAATACTCCTAACAAACAATCTACTGCAGATTATTGATATGGCTACATCATGATTTGAGCTAGACACATTAACCAATAACTTAAGGAATTTTTCTTTTAAAGATGAAAGATTTCTTGGCTCAAGAAAACCATAGGTGTACTGTAGGGGGGTGGGGGTTAGGTTAAGTGGAGATTTTTAACCAGGTTACTGCTGAGGCTGGACTACACTTCTCAGGAAGAAAAATTTCTTAGATTACATGTATTGGTAAAAATAAGATACTGTGGTAATGTGTGAGAACACCAACACCATTACCACCAGAAGGTGTTGTTTGATTTCATTCATATTTTCCACAGATGTTCTTAGCATGATAGTATTTTAAAAGAGGTGACATTTACTCGAACCTAATAGAACCTCACCTAACCAACCAAAGAAACCTACCTAACCTTACCTAACTTCCTAGCCAGGGGCTCATATTAAACAGAAAGTACAGTACTTATTTTGATATCTGGTACCATTAACAAGCAACTTTATTGAAGCGGCATGGTTTAATTTAATATTTTTTGTGGACGTGAGAGTACCCTCGGACCAAGCAGGTCAGTTGTAAACAAACAGACATCACTTGGAGATGCAGCAGATTTTTCAGAGATGTTTTTCTTTTTATTTATTTTTTATCATATTTGCCACTTATCAGCTTACTAGCCATTTGGGCGCTCTATCCAGTGCTAGTACAGGAGGAAACCGGGGACCAGGAAACCTGTGGTATATGGTAGGGTCACACTGGATAACACCCTTCTCACGTGAGTCTGGGCAGAGGCTCGAACCCTTGACATATTGGTGAGAGTTATGTGCGTTACCGCTGTACCACCAACACCCCATGGTAGAGTATATAATAAATTTCTTCAAAAACAAAGCATGTAGACATCATTTTAGGGTTATATGGTCAGTTTTTCAATGTGTTTTACCCTGCAATTTCCCTCATCCTTCATGCCCTGTCCTTTACAGGTGATTTATGATCATAGAGAAAAATAATAATAAAATAATGATAATAATAATAATAACTCTGTAGTAGTAGTAGTAATAATAATATTAATAATAAAGAACCATAAATAGAAAAATAAAAAAGATCAAAAGTGAGAAACAATATACGTATGTATGTTGTGTTGTCAATAGTAAGAGAAACAATTGAGACCCTGCAACTGTGTGTAAATGAGGCAGAAAGTCAGATCAGCAACCTGGGACTTGGTCACAATTTTTGTGATACCATATGGCAGCAGGGTCTACCATTAGACAACACATTATGCCTCCAATATCTCTCCAGGCGGTAGTACCTCCCTGTAAGGTAGCTGCCTACTACTGTACAGTATTCTTTACATGTTTGGAAAATGTTAGGCATTTGTTCAACCTTTACCCTCTTCTTAATCTTACCTTCAGTTATATCAGCAGAGATCATGATTTAAATCAAGCATAAATTCCTTTAACCAAAGAGAGATTAACAAGATGATGGACGCACAAGGCGCTGTACATAACTTGTTTGTTTACAACTTTACACAGGACGACATAGGGTGAGTATATCCAGAGTACATAAACAGTACTTCCTTCCAAGCTATAATAATTCTCATTAACACTGCTTTTAATGGAAAATAATATTAAAAGTTACAATCTAATCAGGCAAGATGGAGTTGATCGATGTAAACCGATCAAACCAATTGTTTTGTATTGTCAGCTACAAATGCCGTCGCCGCTAGTCATGACCACTCTGGGAGATGGGACGTGTTAAATATTCTTGAGTAACCATCCCCAGTGTTCTCAATAACTACAGTTAACGTTAGAATGAATGTTATTTATCATTAACCTTGTGAATGCATTATGAACAGTATACTATTCTGAAGAGTCTATTCAGTCTCTCCCAATTAGTTGGCATCACTACAGGAAATTTAACCACTTCCTTTAACTTTTCAACCTTTTACAATGTTATTATATTGTTTTATTTTAACTTTATTTTTAGTGTTCCCACCAGCCATGAAGGTTGTGTCTCTCTTCTCGTTTCTTCCTATGTCTGCAGTTGTTGTTCTTTTAATTTTTCTGCTCATTATATTTTCTCATTTTCTTGATAGGTGGGTGGCCTGGTATTGTTATATATATAATCCTTCATTTACTAGGTTTCATTAATTATTTTACGGTGGTGATGGCTATGAACACTGTTGACTTATGTACTGTACTTGTTCTAAACTGTGAGTGTGGGTAATTCTTAGATTAACGTGGTTAATTGCAAAAATACACGAATTACAATTTATTTTGTTTTGAGGAACTATAAACGTGATACAGGAATTAATTATATTGATACTAAAATACGTTATATTTTATTTATTTTTTAACTTAAGGATATGAGGAAGGAAGGAGAGGTAGAAAAACTCAACAGATTCTGAAGTACTTGGCCCAAACAACAGTCCTGAGTTACGTTATGACTACGTGTAAACTTTTTATATAGTGATGGAAACTGGAGATGAGAAAAAGGAGAAGGAAGGAGGAAGGTTACAGGTAAATATTAATAAATTAGTGTTTTGAAGGCACATTTATTTTCATATATATTAGTTCTTGGATGGTTGCCTGCCACCTCTTTGCCGCCTATTTTCGTCTCGCTCATGTACACTTGACGCCACCTTTTATGAGCGTCTATGACAAGTAACGTCATTATATTATACCATCAGGATAAAACTTACAAATTTGGGTAAACAAGGTGAAATTTTTCTCAGCTCATTTTATGTATCATAAGGGCCAATGTTTACTCCTCTTAACAGTGTCATACAAGTTTGCCACAGAAAGTACCTGACGTGCCATTAACCATACCAAACAGGTGGAGGAGATGGTTAGCGCCTGAAATAACTTATGGAATTAAACCAACATTTCTGGAGATACTATTTTCATGATACTGATCACGAAAATGGAAACGGCAATACACAGAACCTAACAGAACCTGACCCAATCAACCTAACCAAAGAAACCTATCTAACCTTACCTAACCTAACCCCCCCCCTGGACCCCATGTAATATTAGGCAAAAAAAACTTGCATTGATATCTGGTTCCAATGGAAGCAACTATTGGCTCATATACATGTACACCATTTCACAGCTGACACGTTATTTGTTTTGATGTTTATATTCTTGCTATATTTTCACCAGTGAGTTCTGATATGGTAATCATTTTTGGGGGGAAATTGCTTCGTTTGGTAGATAATTAGGCGACTAGGTGTGCACTACTTTGTCTTTCTCGGTGTGATGCGGCATTCCACAGCCAATCATCTCTGATCGACACCAGTCACCAGTGTATGCTTATGAGCCACACGGATTGGGTGGCTGTTCTATGTCCACAATAAACGTAAAATTTCACCATATCATAGTAAGTTCTTTCTGTTTAATATGCCGGGGGGGGTGGGAGGGTTGAGGTAAGATTAGGTTTAATTTAGAAATAACCACTTTTTAACACATTTTCCATAACTATGTAGCGTCCACTGTAAAATACAGCGAAATTGCGACATTTTAAAATTCGTTTTCTATGAAAAATCAGTGGCTGTGTAGTAGTAAATATTATCCAACTATCTTGAAGCAGCATGGCGTAATTTTACACTTTTTGTAGACGTGAGAGTATGAGTGGTTATGGCATTTTCAACACTTGCACGTCTTGTCAACTCGTCAATGTTGACATTATGAATTATTGGAGACAGTCTTCATCCTCCACAAGAACAGATAGCTTGTGATACGATACCAGACATGATGTGATAAGGATGCCATTGAAAAACAGTATGGCTTCTCCCTCAGTTCTCCTTGAGAATAATAAGTATATGAATGTACAGTTCGCTTATTAACCAATTCTACTCTTAGGGTACTGGAAATTAATCAAAACTTATAATATAGGTTTCAATTCCAACAATGGGATCCTCATCATTAATAAATAAAATAAGTTTAAGAACCCTTTTTCGGAAAGAAAAATATATAGGGGATTTGTGCAAGTCATAGACTCATGACTCTGGATAGTGAAGGTTAAAACATCCCTAAAACAAAGACATTCAAGCCCAAAACCCCAGATATGAGGCTCCGTCATTTCTTGACAATTTAAGCGAGACCAATGAGAATTTATTTGTTTACAATTGGAGGACTCCATTCACTGACAGGACAGAACTGTCGGTGGAATATTTGCGTAAAATATTAGATTTCTTTGTGTACTAAGCACATCGAGACTTGTTTTACGTGTCATATGATAATTTTTTTGTGATGTTTTTAACCTGCAATTTCCATCATCCTTCATACCTTACCCTCTACAGGTGATTTATGTTCGTAGATAAAGTTAATATCATCCAAAGAACAATTGTGGAAAATATGAACCAGATATATAAGCACGTTCGTATGATCTACCTTTACCATATTTTATGCTGATGTTACTTAAGATAACTTTAGCTGTTGAATTACATGGTCAAAATGTAATATTCATGTACTGCACAGTACAGTATATATGTACCTGTAATGACTTTTTCCGAGGTAGATAATTAATCATGTTATAATGAAAGTATATCTTATTGTGTGAATTGTTCCCTAATTGGTTAATCATGTTACAGTAAATTCCTGTACAGTGCTGTATTGTTTATTCATGTTAAACACAGAGTTATTTTACTACATTTTTAGATATACTACTGTACCCTACTGTACTGTAGTAAGCACCTTCTGATGTTTGAAAGGTCTTTTTATTCTTTCATGAGTGTAGTATTCTTCAGTGCAGTAAATGGTCTCCAAAACAAATGAAAATATTCTATAGGAGTAAAAATTGGTGTAATAATGATTCTGATGGTTTTATTTCTACTTATCAAAACAGCCTTCCAAGAACAAACTTGATGATGGGGAAGAAAGACCTCAGGGTACAAAACGAAAGAAGATCTCTCAAGATAATTTTATGAACAGAGCAATAAGTGGGGTATGAGTGATAGTTAATGTTGTGCATGCTTACTTGTCTCATATACTATATGTATATATGATGAAGAAAGTTCTCCTTGAATATCTAAAAATACTATAATGACAGATTTTAAGAAAGTTTTCTAAACGATGAAGTGCATGATTTATTAATTTGAAAATGTGAAACCTTTAATATTCTTTATGCATAATTGAGATACAAAGCACTTTATCTGTGTGATGCATGCATTAACTGCCACTGTAGAGGAACTACATAAAACAACAAAATAGTAGCTATCTTTTCACGTTTCTCTGGCTCTTCATCCTTAGTACATACCCTGTACATACACAGTGTGTGTGTGTGTGTGTGTGTGCGTGTGTGCGTGTGTGCGTGTGCATGGGGAGTACGTGCCTGGGAGAGAGAACTTCACGAAGTTCATAATCTGTACAGTACTGTACAGTATAGGCTGAAGAAAACACAAGTACTATATTGTATGTTCTGTATACCTTGTTTATCATTGATTTGCAGTGGGATTAAAGGGTTGCATAGCTCAAGCTGTTGCCAGCCATCAATAATTATCTCGTTTACTAATAGTACATTATTTGTAAAAACTTTAATACATGTACAGCTCCTCCCCGACTTATGACGGGGTTAGGGACCCAAATCCAGGTCGTAAGTCGAAATGGTCGTAAGTCGAAAATGCGTAAATAATACATGGAAAATCTAAAATGGGTGTCTTTTTTGAGTCTTTCTTCTCAGCACCACAAAACTCTCACTTTTAAGCTTGCCAGACAGTTTGAAGTGAATTACAAACGAAAATTTTGTCAGTACACAGCGCAATCACTGACGTTGGGACTCGAAAATACAGTAGGTAATTTGACAAAATTTTGGTACGACCGAGGCAGGTCGTAAGTGCGGGCGGTCGTAAGTCGAGTGGGTCGTAAGTCGGGGAGGAGCCGTACTGATTTTTTGCCTTTTGTTAATTTAGTATTTTATTGCATTCTCTATTTACTTCATGTTACTGTACAGTATTCCATTTTTTTCCAAGATACAGTACTTTATGTGGCTATTTTGGATGTAAATGTCGAGGGAAAAGATGATACTTCCAAATGGGTTAATGTAATGTGGTTTTAACTTTTTTGTTGCGCATAAAGTTTTTCTCCGAACAGTTTATAGAGGATATGACTCATATTTCCATAATGAGAGCAACGTCACACAGAGTCATTGGTTGTTAGGTTTAATGATAAAAGTGATAGGAGTGACTTGGGAGGTTTTTGTAATCATGGTACACCATTTTACAGTATTCTCAACTACTCCCCATCCTAGTTAGAAAAGGTATCACTGGTTGGCCTACCTGATGTTGGCTTATACAGTATGCTGTGTGTGAGTAGAGTTGCATTCCAAAGTGGTGTGTGTAATTGCAAACTCATATGTGCCCCATTACATTAGGTTATGTATAGAGTAACTTATCCTGCCAGAACACTTCAAAGCCAAGTGATCTGATTCGATGATGAGAGGATTTCCAGATTGTTTCAAAGTTTAGGGAAACAAAGATTCATATTTGGAGACAAGTGGTCCAAGGTGAAACAAAATCTATTGAAGGATTTTGACCCAATGTTCTGGAAGCCTTGCTATTTCTTGGAACAACCACTGTTCAAAGCAACAGGTGAACTGATCAGTTTGGAAAGTGTAACCTGCCACTGGAACTCTTCATGCATCCTGGTAAGGGCAGGCTCCTAGGGGGATGCTCTAATAGAAGTGTCACAGATCATCTGTTGATGACCTTTAGGCTGTAAATAATGTTTGTATGGAAAACAAATTCTAAACACAAAATTTAATAAAAATAACTCGATTTATATATCCTGTTTTCAGCACTCCACTTTTATATAGTACAGTACTGTACCAGCCTCACTTCCACTGCCTTCTTTTGAAATCATTTCACCTAATACTATTAGAGTATTTTAACATTATTCTTAACTCTTTGGACACAGTTAATTGCTCGCCAAATATTTTCATCTCTGCCTCTCCCTGCTCTATGTTTTTGTGTAGTACTGTACAATACAGTACTGTACTGTAGTCATAAGCATGTATAAGAGTTCTCAATGCTGTAATTGTTTATTCACAACCAATTTGACTCGTACTTTTTTGTTGTTTGCGCTTCCATACCCTAAAATTTTTATTCTTTATGCTAGGTGATACAAGATTAACCATACCTTTCTTTTTCACTTAAAAATGATACTGTACATATTAGAATAATGTTGTCATTACAGAGGGCTGGAATGGAGAACACCTCTGCCTGTGATCCAGCTTCCCAGCCATCTGTAAACCAACTGCAAGAGGAAATTCATTGTGAGTATTGAAGGACATTTTCTAAAATTTTGGTATTTTGTTGTATCAAATTAAGTAATTTTAAACGCTGTTGAAAGTACCTCATATTCATTCTGCAATTTTTATGTAAAGTATTGTAACTGTTATGTAAATACATTATGTCCACTATTTACTGTAATACAGTACTGTATTTGTACATTTGTCTGTGTTGGGTAGTTTTTCCAATAACATGTTATTTCATGTAAAATGAAGAAAAAAATAATTTAGATATTTAGTGTACTACTGTACTGTATAAAGTAAAGATTTGTGTACATAGATTGGTGGATGTAAACTTAGCACTGCTATTCTCTCTTTTTGTACAGCCAAACAGCTAATGATTGAAGCTCTGCAGCATGACAACCATCAACGGCAGAACGAAAACTCTGTATCAGCAGCTAATGCAAAGAAAATAATAGAGCACTACAAGGAAAAGGTTTGTTACTAAATGTATGAATTTGTATAAATACCATATACCAAAATTAGGATTGCATATATTGACACCATACTTTTTCACTTTTTATGGATGGATGATAATACTGTACTGTATAGCTCAGTGAAGGCAAGAGGAATGGAGAGTGACTAAGTTTGTCAAATACTGTCATATATTGTTTATACTGTACTGTACTGGTATGTGCAGGGGTGTAGGTCCTGGTGAGAATGCAACCCCCTTCCCATGCAAATGGGTCGAGAGATTTCCTATCCATTACCTCCCCCACCTACAATTCATATAATTCAGAAGGAAAGATGAAAACCTCCCAAATTTTGGAGAAAAATTTTTCCATTTTATTTTTACCATTTTTCTGTTTTGCTGTTCAAGAATCATTCGGAGTGAGAAGGTAATCTTAGATCAATGTTCGGTGTTAGTTTTAGATTTAATCCTAACAGTGAGGTCAGCTAGGGTCAACCCTTTTGTGTGTCAGCAACACTTGTCGATTAAGATCATCGTCAGTCTCCTCTGAGATGTTACAGCTAGTGAAGTCTGGATCAACCTGCTTGCTTTTGGTCATAAGGGATGACACAATAGTGTTATTAAATTTGTTAATGTTGGCATCATGGGTAAGGCTAACAAGTAATAAGGCAGTCCTAGCGAGTTGCTGCAGTTTTAGGAAACACTTATAGTGTGAACTTGTGGATCATAAGGTAAAAATCAGTCAAACTAGTCACTCTGTAAAAAGCACTGTACTGTACTGTAGTCTAAAACGATATAAAAGTTGTGTGTTGTTATGATTATGTTCAGAGGTGTATTTCTGCAAGTCTCAGATCCTCCCCTTTAATCACAAAAAAAATCTACACCAATGTCTGTGTGCATGTGTGTATTTTAATGTGATCTTTATAATAATGTTGCTAATAATGTAATTGGTTGGCTAATTTAGAGGCAGAAAGGCTTTGAGTTCCATTATATTTTTGTACTCTGTCACAGCTTCAAGAATATCAGGCAGCTGTTAATCAGCGTGATCAGATGATAAGCCAGCTACGGACCAGACTGGCTGAGTGTATACAGAGCCAAGATGACTTACAGGCAGAGATCCATCAACAAACTGAAACCTCTACAAGGGAGATAGAAACTCTAAAGTTGCAGCTAAAGGAGACTACAGAGAGTTTAAATAAAAATTGGACCACTGGAATTAATCCTCATGAACACTTGGAGCTAAAGAACAAGGTGAGCTTCCTCCTTTATGTATTGATGGATTGTTTTACTGTAGTGTATATCTAATTTCTGGTACTGTTCTCATGTTTTTGTCCTAATACCTTTGACCTTCTTTCTCCTAAACTGAATTTAGTTTTCTAAGTCAACATTAAGTTTTTTTAGCTATTTTCATCCAAACTTGTTTATCTTTTTTAAGTTCAGTATGGTACAGTACAGTACAAGGGGTCCCCGTCTTATGAACGCCCGCCAATACAAATGGGGTTAAACTTGAAATTTACAGTACAGTATTTTATTTACCTGATGATTTATTTTTTACTTTCATTTCCTGTATTTTGTCATTCTATTTCTTCTTTTGTCTTAAATTAAGTGATTTTAGATGTATATAAGAACTTAGGCTATCATATAGTGGGATTTTAAACATTGTTCTGTAAGTACGGTATGCACATAGCATGTGTTCCGACTTACATACAAATCCAACTTACGAACTCCCTCAGGAACGTAACCTGTGCATAACCTGGGGACCCCCTGTACTGTACAGTACAGTACAAGTATTTTGTTTGTAGTACATAATGTATCCCTCTCAGTTGTTCCTTAACTGTATCTTTTACCATTTACTTATCTTACTCAAAATTAAACTACTTGTTGCACAAGGTATCTAAATATATGTTTGATACTCCATCTTTTCTTTTTCAGTTAATATCCATCCAACAAGATCGATCACAAGACCAGCAGTTACGGGAACAACTTTATATGCAGCTCAGTGTTAAAAAGGAGCAGTATGGCCACCTTGACTCTAAATATAAACATTCTCTTCAGAAGTTTAAGGAAACACAGATGAATATTGAGAAGTTGACCCATGAACTGAAGGCAAATAAAGAAATAACAGAGATTTTACAAGGAGAAAATGAGACTCTGATAGCTAGAATTCAGGAGCTTGGTGATAGCCATAGAGTGGAAATAGAAGAGCAGACCTTAAAGTGGAGTGCAGAGAAAAAAGCGCTAATTGAACAAGATAGAATAAAGGATGAACAGATAAATAAAATTGAAAATGAAATCAAAACACTGACGGAGAACATGAAAGCTGCAGAAAATTTATCTGACCATAAATTGAAAGAAATTAAAGATAAGACTGAAAAAATGATTGAGAGGGAACGATTGGGAAAGGAGAAATCATCGTGTGAGGTGAATAATTAATTAATATAATTACTTTAAACTTAAGTTTTAGGTTTTGTATGATTTCTTGAGACATAATATTTATAACCCAGCACCTCTCAAGACTGATTCATGTACAGTTTCGTTCAAGATTCTTCGAACACTGTTGAAGACAGCTGGTAACTCAAGGCCGTTTGTATACTACAGTACGTAATATAATATAATATGAAACAACAAAGCCCAACTATTAAATTAAGCAACGTGGAACTAAGTAACCAATCACCGATTGTTTTTACATTTCTTCATAATTTTTACTACGTACTATAGTAAACAAACGGCCTTGAGTTGCCAGCTGTCTCCAGCAGTGTTCGAAGAATCTTGAACGAGACTGTACATTCCTGCCAAAGTAAGGTTGTTGAAGCAGATATTTTTTGCATATTTTCAGTTTATGTAACTAAAGGTACTCCCCGACTTACGACCGACTCGACTTACGTCCACCTGCACTTACGACCGCCTCAGTCGTACCAAAATGTGGTCAAATTATGTATTTTTGAGTCCCAAAGTCAGTACACAGACAAAATTTTCATCTGTAATTCACTTTAAAATGGCTGACAAGCTTAAAAGTGAGTGTTCTGTGGTGCTGAGAAGAAAAAGAGACCCAAATTTTCGATTTTCTGTGTTATTTAAGCATTTCCAACTTACGACCATTTCGACTTACGCCTTGGATGTCGGTCCCTAATCCTGTCGTAAGTCAAAGTACCTGTACAGTACTGTAAAGGTTTAGTAACATAACCTATTTTCAATCTGCTTTTGAACTAAATTTATATTCTGTTAAATAATCTGAGAAAGAGGTAATTTTTTTAAGAAAATTTTTACTACACCTGTACTGTAGTCTTAGTTTATATCTAAGAATATCTCTGGAATCCCCCTTGCTGCCTAAATGACATTTATTGTGTTTGTGTATTTTTATGAAATGATTTACCGAACAAGATCAATTTATTTGATATCATATTTTTTAATGGTAATGCACTTTATCTGCAGAAGGTTTTGGGGGTAAACTTCTGGAATTTGCCTGCAAATACAATTTTAAGTTGATGTATTTCTACCTAGGTTGTTTTTCATCAGACATTGCATCAGTTAAAAATCTGTTATTTTATTTTGCAGATTCAAAATCTTATGCAGCAGCTTCAAGAATTGACAAGAGAAATAACCCATACCAAAGAACAGCACCAGACACAGCTGATTACTGCTGAGGAGCAGTTTGGACAGCAGTTGGCAGTAATGAAGCAACAGATGAGGTAATTCTTCTCTCAATAGTTCAAGGCTGTCATAAGTATGGCCTTGTAATATTTACATGCAGTATTAGCTATACGGTGGTCCCTCGGTTAACGAACGGTTCGGTTAACGAATTACCTTCCATAAGAATCTTCAATTTGGTTAACTAACAAAAATTCGGTTAACAAAATCCATAAAAAAATCACGTTTTGTTGTGAGCATCAGCTGATGGGCTTGTCTGCCAATTCAGTAATCTGTTCTATGTTTACATTCGTTTCCATTGGAGTAAATATCAATAAAGTTGTGCTCTTTAATATTTTTGCATGTTTTATATTAAAATTATTAGTCATTTTAACATTTATTTAACATATTGATACAGTAATACAGTCTTCCCTTAGTTATCACGCCTAATTGGGACCGCGCCGAGTGCGTGACAACGAAAACTTGATAACAAAAGTACAGAACCTATGGGATTTATTCTAATTGGTTCCAGGCACCCAACACCCAACCCCAATTTTCCCATTTTACGACCATTTAGACCCACTAAATATATAGATAATGTTATGGTAAGTATCAGAAAAACTCATAGGCATGGCTAGGTTTATTACAAAGTGATGAAAAGGGTACGCTCAATACTGTAGTCCACAAAACATGTAGCTATGCTTTCTTTATTTGAGTCCCCCGTCTGAGGAGTCCGTTTTCTCGTCGCTTCAGGACGCCTGAGTCCTCCTTTTTCTCTCAATCTTAGAGTGCACCCGAGACTTTGTTATTTCTTAGTAATGACACAGAATTTGAAATTGCAACTGGGGTTGCAATTGTTGAGGCAACTTAGGTATGTCTGATTACAGTTGGAACGTTCAAGATCCATTGTGAATGATATTGAAAGCTTCAACTGTCTTTATGGTTGGTAAAACTTGTCAAGTAAATGAGTGTCAAGTCTGTCAGTATGAGTGGCATGTGTGAGTGCTTGTGTTTGTACAACTGCTTTCAAGTTTTGTTACCTCCATCCATTTTCATCCAGCAAATGTGTTATTGTCAATTTGTAGGTGAAAGATTTTATCCTCAATAGATGTAGGTGAAACAAATGGGTAAAAACACCTGGAGGCAACTGCGTAATAACGAAATTCTCTGCTTGAAAAATGTGCTATAGCAGCAGGTGTGCAGATTTTGATGGAGGCGTGATAATGAAAATCGCGATAACCAAGGGATGACTGTATATGGAGTACAGGGAACTAGTTTGTTGTGCGCCCATCAGATGCGTGAGTCGGTCACAAGGCGTCAGTTGGGCTTTGAAAACAGTGGAGAGAGCATCTATTTTGTTGGTGTCTTGAATATTTTTGCATTTTTCATTGAAATTATTGGTCATTCTGAACTTTAGTTAACATATTGATAATATATATCGCAGTGCAGTGTTGATTTAAAGAAAATAATCTTGAATTACACCTAGTGAACTTAAAATTTTATTGGTGAAATTACTGCATCAAGCATGGGTCCCCTGAAAGGTGATTTCTTCTCCATCCCCACTTCCTTCTCTTCTCCTTCTCCTCCACCCACACTTTTAATTCCCATCATCATCATCAACCAGGAACCTTCTACATACACACCTCAAAGTAAGTGTACTTTTCTGCATTTTTTTTTTTTACTTTGTATGTACTTTTCGGTGAGCTGGAACCAATTACCCAATATCCCATTGAAACAATGGATTCGGTTAACGAAATTTTCGGTTAACAAACGACCTTCTGGAACGAATTGTGTTCGTTAACCGAGGCACCACTGTACTGTATTCAATTGTACCTTAGTTAACTATTGACAGAATGGCCACATGTAAGTAATCCTTGATAAAGCCATGAGGGAAAACTTGATGGATGCACCATTATGACATCATTGATGGCAGTCCAGATTATTAACACTTACCTGGTACTGTACTGTACAATATATGGGAAAAGTCACTTTAGTTCAAAAAAAATCTGTTTCTCCATTAGATAAAAAAATAATTATATACCCATACTTATACGTATATAAAAGGAAAAGTTAAATTAATACAAAAATTTACATAGTAGATACTACATTAAAGCCAACAACCTTATTGCCAAATTGACAGTTATTGTGGGTGACACTGCTTCCCTCTAGTACAAGACATATACAATAGCCAGATATGTTAAAACCCTGTTTAATGTCTGGTGTTTTGAGACTTGTAGATGTATAGTTTTATGATTTCAGGTTCTTATGTGGAATTTCCTCATAAAAGTCACACAAAATGTTTATTATAACTAAGAAATACTACATGTATATATAATATGCCAACATAATACAGTACGTATACTGTAGGTAGAGTGAGCTGTAAAAGAATATTATTAAATTAGGCATTTGAAATTATTCTGTTTATTTTCATTTAAATTACATATGTTTACAGTCTTGACTATTCTAGGAGGTTGTTTTCTGTGTCAAGTAATATCCAATACTATGCATGCATTTTGTAAAAAGAAAATTCTGCCTAAGTGATGTACTGGTAAAGCAGGCTCCTGAAACAGCACACTGTAACTTATCATCTGTTCCTGAGACATGACCTCACCTTGGAGCTTACATTGTGTTTGCTTCAGCATTGTTATTCCAATGTTAGTCTGACTTTATGATGTCCTGGATGTTCAGGTCTCCAGTAATTAAACATACTGTACTGCTGTTTGTATACCATATGTTCAACTTCAGACTTCTTGTGGTTAAAGTCTTGCAGTTATTGGGTAAAATAGGCAGGGGTCATTAAGTGTATACCCTTAAATGGAACCCATTAAGATGGTTGCAGACTCAGAAATAAGAAAGTACTGTATATATAAAAATAAGAATTTTTTTCATTTTGTTTAAGGTTCTTGATTAAAAAGATATGTGGGATGTTCTAATTGAGTTGACGATAGCAGGAAGCAGTTGAAAATTTTAGATACAGGCTCATTATACTGTACTGTTAAGTCTGAGAAATATAGTGGTAGTTATAATACAGTCTCTCCTCGACTTACGACGTGGTTCTGTCCCGATGACCAGGTCGCAAGTCGAATTGGTCGTAAGTCGAAAAGGCAAAAATAATACATAGAAATTCTAAAATGGGTGTCTCTTTTTCTTCTCAGCACCACGAGAACTCTCACTTTTACGCTTGCCAGCCATTTTAAAGGGAATTACAAACAAAAACTTTGTCAGTACACAGCGCGATCACTAACGTTGGGACTAGAAAATACCTAATTTGAAAAATATTTTATACGACCACGGCGGTCGTATGTCCGGGTTGTCGTAAGTCGAGTATGTTGTAAGTTGAGGAGTACCTGTGCATAAATTTTTTTACAGTTTTCTAACATTGTTCTTTCAAATGTCATTAATCATCTTCTTACTATTTTATAACATTAAACTTTCTTTTTCTATTTCAGTGAGCGACACAATGAGGAGTTGTTGAGAATAAAAGCCTCCCATGAGTCGGAGGTTGCTCAAGTAACTCAACAAATTGATGCCTTGGAGAAGGCACAAAAGGAGGATCATACAAGCCTTATAGAGAATCTGAACTCATTAAATAACCTGAATATCAATCTTAAAGAGCAGCTTGAGGGAGAGAAAGAAAAGCTTCATACTCTTGAAGCTTCGTTATGTGAACTGAGAAAAGAAAAGGAACACCTGAGAGCAGAGGTGGAAGGAAGCAAGGAGAGAGAGAGGGATTTACAACTTGAGTTGAAACAGGAAGTTGATACTAAGAATGATCTTCAACAGAAATCTGAAGAACAGAGAAGGAGATATGTGGAAATAGAAAATTTAGTACAAAATCTCAAGACAGAGACAGAGAGAGTGAAAGAAGACTTGAAAATAGAGACTGAGAAGAGATCCAGTAATGAGAATCTTCTGGCATTAGAATTACAAAATGTGAAGGATTTATCAACAAAAAAGATAAACTTAGAAGAGAAATTAGCAAATATTAGCCAGGAAATGAATGTTATGTGCAATGAACTCTCACAGAGCAAAACTTCTAAGGATGATCTAAATGCTCGCTTTCAGAAAGCCCAGCAAAGGTACAATGAAGTTTCTTATGAACTTGAAGAATATAAGAAGACAGCCAAAGAGCAGGAGTTGAAATGTCAAAAGCTTAGGAGAGAAATGAAAATTTGGCTTACAGAAAAAGAATCCATTACTGCTGAATTAGAACAGTGTATTACAATACTGAAATCAGAGATAGTTAAGATTGAGAAAAATGCAAAATACACTACTGAACTAGAGAAAGAGATTTCTCTTTTTAAACATGAAAATGAAGAGCTGCATAAGAGATGTGAAAAACTTGCTCAATATGAACAGGAGTGTCAGATTCTTAATGAAAAACTTGGACAGAAGTATTCAGATCTTAAAAAATCTGAAGACAGTCATGACCTCAGAGAAAAGTTCCTAGCATTGTTTGATCAGTGTCAGTCAATAGAATTAACTAGAAAAAAAATTGAAACAGAGTGTGAGGAGAAATGTGAGTGTTTGAATGATAAATTACAAAGTTTAGATTCTAAACTGGCAGAAGCAAGTGGCTTATGTGGTAAATTCTATGATATTAGTAACCACAGTACTTCTGTGGAGAAAAAATTACAAGATGTCATACAAAGATTAAAAGAGGCAGAGGATAATATAGGTGATCGTGAAGAAGCACTCATGAAAGCCACTTTTGAAAAGGATGCTTTGATTTCTGAAATTAAACAAACCAAAATAGCTCATGATAGCATGGAAAAAGAGAAGAATGAATGTGAGATGGATCGAGACAGAATGTTAGAACAGTACAAAATGATGAAGGCAGAACTGGCCAGCACACTGCTTGCTCTTGATAGGGAAGTCCAGTTATCCACTCATCGAAAGCTGACCAGTGATGTTGGAATTTCTGTCTCAACTTCAACATCTTTTGAGCACAGTGCTGTACAAGGAGAGTTTAGTATAGACAGTGACCAACACCATCTTGAAAAAGATGCTGAGAAAGAGATGGTTGTGGAGAAAGTTAATGTTTCTGCTAGAATCATGATAAAACCACAGGAAAATAAAGGTAATGAAAAATTCAATAAAATTTTAGAAGATAGAATCCATAACCTTGAAAAAGAAAACAAGGAACTACTAAATGAAGTAAAGAAATTGAACACTAAAGTTCATGACCAACATTTTAGTGTAAAATCTCTTGAGAATGAGAAGTCCAATTTAAGGAGGAGGCTTACTGAGTGGGAATCTGAAAAAGTGAAATTTAGAGCAGAGCAGGAAATATATGAGAAGGAGATGAGTGAAAAGCTAGACCTTAAAAAACAGTTGAAAGAAGTAAAGCTGACTGTACATTTGACTGAGGACAATTTGAAAAGACAAGAAGAAGAAATGAATTGCCTTAGAAAATCATTGAAAGCTCTTGTAGAAAGAGACAATTCAGAATGTCTTGTAAGGTTAAATAAAATTGTCAACAGTTTTGAGATTTCTTCAGGAAAGACCCGGTTACAGGAAAGCTCAAACTGTACAGCTTATTTGAAAACCTATTTATCAAAACAATCAGAGGAAATAGAGTGCATGTGTGAAGAGTTGAAGAAATACTTGTGTAAACTCATGGAGCTTCAGCAACATTCAGATAAGTTGAGTGAAGAAAAGCTTAAGACTGAGCTGGAAAATATATCTCTCAAATTTGAAGTTGAGAAGCTGAAATCTTTGCAAAGTTGTGTTGAAGGTCATGAGCCTCAGAGTAGAGAAACTGATTATACGCCAAGTGAAGTGACCAGCCCAAGAACTGAAGGTGATGGTGGAGACTTACATAGAGAGCTTAAAAACTATAAACATGAGAACGAGAAACTTAGGCTGGATATAGAAAAGCTCAAAACCCTATTCAAACTGGAAAAACTTCATATGCAGTCAACTAGGTTAAATTCACAGGTAAGTTTTCGGTGCAAGTATTAACGCTTTTGTTCATGAATTATAACATGAGTGTGTTTGTTGAGAATGAAATGTAAAATTATGAGTTTTGATTGTAATTAAAAGTTACTTAATAATTTTAATTTTTACAGAAAGAAGCTGATAAGTCTATGGGAAAAAAGGAATTGATAATTACACATATTGGAACAAAGTTGGAGGAGTTAATTGAAGAATGGGACAATCAGGTCAAGATTGATCCTTTGTTGGCAGAGTTCATATCCACTCAGACATGTAAAGTAAGTTTTTTATTGTATTTTTTTTTGTATTTTAAATTAAAATACTGTATAAGAAAGCAATCGGTGATCACGATGTCTTCCAATTGCTTTAGTAGAATGTAATTTTTTGGGTTTTGTCAAGTGAGGGTAATTGCTTCTGATCCCACTTCTGGTACTGTGGCCATAAACTTCTCCATCCCAATAAAAAAAAAGATTAACTACAGAAAGTTAAATGGATTCTTGAAGAAGTAGCTGTTATTGCCATTACTGTATATTGTACTAACTGTTTGGGGCTTACCAAGGTGTCTGCTTCAGGAGTAATCAAATCTGCTGATAATACTTTCTTTAGAGAGGATAGTTGGTGCTCCCCTTTGTTTCATTGAGAATAAAAACCGAGAGAAACCCCTTAGAGGATGTGTTAGTTATTTTGATATAGACTTGGATCATTTATTGTGAGCACTTAGGTTGTTACGCTTATTTCCCATGTTTGGATTATGACCCGCCCTACATGCGCCCCCGCTGAGTAGGACTCCCAAAGGATAGGCAGTTCTAACACCTTAATCCCTGGTCTTGCACCCCAGGAGAAAACTGTTAAAGTTGAATTATCCTTGTAATATATTGTTTGTATTGTTGTTATGATGAGTTGCTAGCCTTTTGTACTAGTACAGTAATAAAAAATTTTTTTTAATTGATTTTGCAGGTTTGTGACATTCTGCAAAAATTACCAGGCTCTTTAAGTGAATCCTCAGACAGTGAGGCATATGTAGATGCTGCCATAAGGCTTATTCAACAGGCAATCATTAAGGTAAGCAAAAGATATTTTTTTTGTACTTGATGATGAAATAATCTAAGAGTGTATCAGGTATGAAATTTCTATAGGACTTGCCTAACTCGGCAGTCTTCCTGAAATGTGAAAAAAGATCATTTAACTGGAAGAGCCTCAAGTAACTCCAATATTTAAGTTTTAAGGTTTCTCTATATCTATTTAGCTCTCCTTTGTTGAAATGGAAAGATGAAAACAATAATCAAGGCAAATACAAAATATAGTTCACGTTTTTTTTTTGGGTATTGTACTTAGCTTTCTGTTTCCTCAGTGAAAATATGAATCATTTATATAAACCTTAAGATGACATAAGGTAGTTAAGAACTGTATTCTCGACATGATAAATATTGGGCTTAATAGAGACTCTTCCATTCACTTAGTTTGTTTTGCATTTCAGGACTGGTCCATATTATTATCATATACTGTAGTTTAGGTCAGCCTTGTCTAGTTTTTGCTCAGTTCAAACAAAGCTGTGTATAGTGTTCCCTTCCCTGTCGTGAACATTTTTGATTCCAAGACAGTGGCTTAGGCTAAGGAATGTGTATGACTTGACATAGGTGAGAAAATATAACTGAAAAATTATTGAAAATGGTATTTCTTGATTTGGCCTGTGGCAAAAACACAGTTCTCCAATGCATCCTTGTATAACATGAAGTTAGTAAAGTGAATGGTGGAAGAAGTATAAGAAACAAAGGGTGAGAGAATGAAAGTTAGGAGTGATAAATACCAGTGAAAGGGGTCATTGACTGCCCTACTATACAGTATACTGTGCTGGTGATCTACTACACTAAGATATTCTGTGCTGCTGCTCTCCTTGTACTAACCACATTGTAAGTATTTGTGTACTGGTTCAAGTTGAGACAGCAGTTGGATCAAACCGTACTGATTAGAAAGTTGAGCTATTCCGAGTTATCAACTTGTGTGAGACCATTGAGTATAGGTTCGTAGTCTGACTCTCCTGCAAGAATTTTTGTACACTAAAAGGGGGGTGGGGAATGTTGGCCTAAACTTGAATATTGTGTCATATTTATGTATACACAGTACAGTACTCAGGAATTGAATAATAAAAACACTGGAAGATATTTATATTTATTGGTTATGATGTTACAAATGAGTTGACTAGAGTGAAACTAAGCTAATTAACTTAAAACAGAAATGCTCCAACCTTTTTGCTCTGGCAGGGATGCGACAACTGTTAAAGATACAATGTGTTCAGCCTCAAGTTATTAGTCGTGCTCTGGTAACTTTTGGTCCTTGGTAGATGCAGTTGCTTATCGAGTCAAATGGCCTGGTTGTATTTGATATATTTGGAGTAGATTTAGAGGTTTATTTAACATGTATTTAATTTAATTTTTCTTCTTAATAGAAACTAATTAGCTTTTATAAAATTCCAAAATGTAAGAATTATTGCATACAGTATATGACTTCAGCAGACAAGTTTTATATATATATATATATATATATATATATATATATATATATATATATATATATATATATATATATATATATATATATATATATATATATATATATATATATATATATATATATATATATATATATATATATATATATATATATATATATATATATATATATATATATATATATATATATATATATATATATATATATATATATATATATATATATATATATATATATATATATATGCAAGTAAATCACTGTATGTGCGTGTGATCTAGGTATATGCTGATAACCACAAGGGAAGAAGAAAACACGAAGTTCCCAAGCGCTTTCGTGTAATTCACATCTTCAGGGGTGAGTACAGACTAAAGAGGAGTACAAAACAAGGTGTATATATACAGAGGAGGGTGAAACCAGATCCACAATGGTCAGGTATTAGGTAATGACCCTACTAATCTTTAAATAGCACGGCAACGGTCGGTAGTCAGGTCAGAGGATAAGGTGAGCCAACCTTCTCACCTAGTTACAAATCTTCTTAATTACAAAATTACACAAAAGCGCTTGGGAACTTCGTGTTTTCTTCTTTCCTTGTGGTTATTGTGCATATATATATATATATATATATATATATATATATATATATATATATATATATATATATATATATATATATATATATATATATATATATATATATATATATATATATATATATATATAGTATATATAGTATATATATATATATATATATATATAAGTTGTTATATATATATATATATATATATATATATATATATATATATATATATATATATATATATATATATATATATATATATATATATATATAAAGTGACCCTCCGTTAATCTAACTCAATCCGTTCCAGAAGGTCGTTCGTTAACCGAAACCATTGTTTCAATGGGTTTTTGGGTAATTGGTTCCAGCTCACCGAAAATTTCCTAAATTCATCAAAAATGGTAGAAAAGTTCACTTACTTTGAGGTGTGTATGTAGAAGGCTCCTGGATGATGATGATGATGATGGGATTTAGAATGGGGGTGGAGGAGAAGGAAGAAGAGAAGACATTGGGGTGGAAGAGAAGTCACCCCATGGCGCCATTTCACCCATAAAATTTTAGCTCTCTTGGTGTAATTCAAGATTATTTTCTTTAAATCAACACTGCACTGCATTATATATTGTCAATATGTAAAATATATTTCAAAATGACCAATAATTTGCTTGGAAACACAGAAAAAAAGCATTTAGTTGAAGAGAGTCTCAAGCAAGATGTTACCTCCAGTGAAAACAGAGAGAGACTAACTCCTGTTTGCTGTGTTAAGAGGCTGGATGCCGCGCATTAAACTAGTCACTTTACCTTCAATTATGTTCAATAATTGTTAAAATGACTAAAAAATTGAATATTAAACTTTTAAAATTATTGAATAGTATAAACTTCTTGATATTTACTAAAATAGTAAGGAATTTAAGCCCTAGAACCGATTAATGTATTGGTGGACTGATACTAAAGCTGGTTGCCCGGTCAGTGCAAGCGAAAACATGTTGAGGTCGGTTCGTAAGAACTTCGTTAACCGAATTTTTTTTCGTTAACCGAATTGAAGATCCTTATGGAAGGCAGTTCGTTAATCGAAATTACGTTAACCGAGGTGTTCGTTAAACGAGGGGTCACTGTATATGTATATATACACACACACGAACGGTTCGAATAAAAAATTTTCGGTTAACGAATTAGCTCCTATAAGGATTTTCAGTTCACTTAACGAACAAAACTTCAATTAACGAAATCCTTACGACAAACACGTCTTGTTGTGTGCATCAGCTGATCGGCTAGTCCACCAATACAGTAATTGGTTCTGTGTTTACATTCGTTTCCAGTGAAGTAAATATCAAGAAAGTTGGTCTCTTGAATATTTCTGCATTTTTTATATTAAAATTATTGGTCATTATGAAATTTAGTTAACATATTGATAATATATACAGTACAAGGAAAAGTTTTTGTGCGCCCATCAGTTGATTGAATCACCCAACAATGCTTCTCAGTTTAACTTTGTTTACAGTGGAGTGAACATCCAGTTTGTTGGTCTCTTGAATATGTTTGCATTTTTATATTAAAATTATTGATCATTCTGAAATTTAGTTAACATATTGATAATATACAGTGCAGAAATTATTTTGAAACAAGAAGGCATTAGAACCAATGCACTCTGTAAAAAATGTGGCATGTCATCATCAACTGTGTCTACGATCAGCTGTTTGATATGTTAACAAAGCTGCAGGTAATACGACATACACACCTCAAAGTAAGTTAAAATATAGTATTCTATTGTTTTTTATTTATTATTGTACAGTATACTGTACAGTACAGTACAGTACTGTATTTAGTTTACATTTAATGCTTTGTTAATTCTATTACCGGTATACAGTATACTTTGTATGTACTTTTTCTGTGAGTTGGAACCAATTACCCAATATCCCATTGAAATAATAGATTCGGTTAACGAACGACTCTGTGGAACAAATTGTGTTTGTTAACCGAGTGACCACTGTATTCCTTGAACGGCTGTGAATTGTATTTTGTTAGACCATATAGTTTCTCATATTCTTTGAACTTCTATTACATGGTGCTCTCTGTTACACTAACCTGTTTTGATGTCTGAGTTGATGCTAACCTTGTGACCTTGTTGCTAAGAGTCTGGATAACTGATCATCTTAATATATAACCTGGAAAGTCAGTTCAGCGCATTGTATCTTCAGCAGATCTCAGTCATCCTCAGCTCTCATACACTTCATCAATCTTTTCATATCCTCAACACATATCCAGCACCTTAACTCTCTCAGTATTTCATTATCATTCCTTCAATGTACTGTACCTCCGACAGTCTGACACATCACAAACACTTCAGTACAGTACCTGTCTCATATATCATTAACAGTCCTCTTACACATTGGTAAATCTTCAGTACTTTTCCGTCATAATTGTCCTCTATAGCCCTGACATGTGACCAGCACTTCATAACTACAGGAGTTTTTACTTTCTTAAAGTTACCTGATACAGTATTTGTTTTTTCCTCAATAGTTCCTCTGATGCATTTCCAACTAGTCGGTACTGTATTTCTCAATCACCTCTCCACCATTTCAAATATATCAAGACTTCATGATATTTTTTTGAGGTTTCAGAAATTTTTCATCTTATTCCAGATGGTCTTTCTCCTTTGTTTTCTCTACAGTACACCAACATTCCTGTAATAATTCTTTAAAATTTTGACTACACTTTGTATCTCTTAGCACTTTAGTTGCTGTCCAGCATAGATTTTTTTAAGTACACTGGTATACATAGCACCACCTCTCTACTGTATTTCATATATAATTTTCAGTTCTTATCACTTTGACATCATCTTTGCAACAACATGACCACTACACCTTAATTATCTGTTTATGAATCCAATTATTTTAACACTGGTAATGGCCTCGACACAGAATTTTTATCGCATTTCCAACACTGCCCAACAAAAATACAAAAATACACCTGTACTCTTGCAACTCCTCAACAGCTCCTCCATTGTCTTGCAGCATATTTCCAAATACTGTAGTGTTCTTGTTCTTATTTAATAACCATTTAACACTCCGACCCATCAGCAGTTTTCAAGAAAGAGTTGACGTTTACTACTTCTGTATGATCATACTTTTATTGGCGACTGCTTGTTCCTGGCACTCGGTTCAGTAATAGGAATACAGTACTCATTTATAATTTAGAGGAGTCGTGACTTTTTCAAAACATGATAGATCAAATACCATACCAATTTATCAGGTAACATGAGTGCTATGTTTATGACAGGTCTCTTGACATACAGTCAGATGTCTTTTGAAGCCAGAATATTTACTCTAAAGGGGTTTTTCAGAACCATGATTTTAAAAATAAAACTATAAAATTTTCAGATCCATGAAATTTGGTGATTACCTCAAAACTCTGATGAAATTAATAGTGGATAGAATTTGATAGATCACTAGTCAACTTCAGGTGATATTATTAAATGCAGTTTGGTAGGTTGCCTCACATATTCTTTGTGTTTAACATACAATAAATACATTTACATTGGACTAATGATGAAAGCAGAGCCTAAACATTCCTATATATTATGGCCTACTTGAACAAGATATGACAAGCTTACATTAATGGCACATGATATGAAGTACAAGTGATGTGGTATCTTATATGATCAGTTATTATATATAGGCTTGAAGTCTATTTGTGCGCTAGTCAGTTTGCCGTGTGTGTGTGTTTGTGTGTGTGTGTGTCCTTTTATCAGTTTGTACATCTTGTGTAAACTGAAGCCACTACAGTATTGACGAGAATTTAGAGTACTAATGCATGACTGATCTCAGATATGGTGAAATGAGATAATGTTAAACATACAGTGTTAGTGCTGTACAAGAATAGGAATTATGTGTTAAACAGTTTTTTCTAAGTCTACACGAAACATTAGAGAATATATAAACAGGATCTGCTTGGTAAATAACGAGACAGTCTTACAGGGAAATTACTGGTTGAGTTTCTTTGGTATGAAAAATATAATTGGGTATTGTATTTGGCATACATGTACAGTATTAATACACTGATGTAGGTCGGTTGAATGTGTTCTTTGGGGTTGTTGATGTATGCTTGAATGTTGTCTTTTTTTTTTTTCAAACCTTACAAAAAAAGAACTTGAATTAGCCCATCAGACTTGACTTTACTTTTAAACAGGTATAAACAATGCACTTAACTTTATCATGCATAGAATGTCAACATAACTTTGTTTGTGACATGTGTGATATCGTATACTCACACCTAAAAGTATCCGTTAATGGGATGGTAGACAACTTTTTACATCAAGCTGTTTCAGGGAGTAATCAAACACGTCAGTTATCAGGAATGTCCTTTTACTGAATTAATAAATGAATCTACTTTTTTTTCAGTTACATAGACTTGAAAAATGCATCATACATATATAATTTATTATTAGTGTACTTATTTAGATAATAGTAAAATGATAATTCACGTTTAATATTTAAGCCATCGATATTTTATACTGTTTTTTCCTGATTTATATAGAATTAACATCCAGTGTATTGATTTTAACAGAAACAGTATCTGATGAAAAAATCTTTGCAGCATCTTTGAATATTTAAAAAAATCCTGTGGGGCCAATTATCTTTATAAAATTAAAATAATGTAAAAAAAATAAGAATCACCGATGAAGATGAAAATTTGTCCTCATCTTTGTAAGCTTTATGTAATTGGCTGTGAGAATGTGCAGCCTGTTTTTCAGACCAGTTCTTGATATCAATTTTAGACTTTTATTCTTTCTCTTTATGCCAAGTTCACTTAGTGTACAATGATCTACACATAAAAATTCTGTTCTTGGAGTAAGAAATGAAATACTGTAGGAGTTTTCTTATATTTTTTCTTGCCGAGAAAAATTAGTGATACGGTACTGTATGGTCTAAATATCTTTTATATATGGGACTGCAGACAATATGATTTTCTCTATATTGTCACTAGGCTTTATTGTAAATAAGCATTGTGCTGTTTAAATGGTTAAGCATTGACACTTGTTTTGTTTACGTAGAAGATATACTGGTTATTTATTATGCACTTGCCTGGTACAGTAATTAAGAACACACATTGATACAGTGCTGAATTCTAAATTTACCTGTATATGGAATGCTATCAGAGCTACAGTGGGTACATTATTACATGAAAGGGTGTTTAAAGACATTACATATAAAGCTGTTTTTCAAGCTGGTTACACACATTTTTTAAACAATTAATTCCTTACAGTGTTAAGTGAGTTTCTTGTAACAATTTTGTCTTTTTTAATATTTACATGAAATTTTGATTTGAGTTTTTATAAATTCTGAAAACTGGTTCTTTTTAGATTAGTTTTTCTTTAATTTACATTTATTTAGCTACCTAAGATTTAACTTTGTAGCTAATTGCCATCAAAAGAAACTTTAAGCGTATTTAGAGGGAAATAAGATCAACTCTACATAGGATGTTCCTCGCAGCCATATGTAAACATATACTGATGCAAAAGATGTATAATACTATATTGAAGTTTATTATGTTTGTATGTAGAGATAATTATAACTACAGTAGTAGTTTTGTGTGTGTGGGGGGGGGGGATGTGTAAGTGTTTGCCTGTGTGTTCTCATATCATTAGTATACAAGATTAAACATATGAATAATTGGAGTGATTCAGTGAAAGTACTGCATATGAAAAGTTTGTGTCCTTATAAGAATTGTAGGAGTACTGTATACAGAAGGTAATACTATAAACCAAAGTGGTAAAATCATAAAAGAAAATAGAGTAGCTACAAGTTTGGGGACTCTACAGTACTGTACATACAACACATCCTTAATATGCTGCATGGCACGGGTCTTTTTCATCCATAAATGTTTTTTCAGTGGATCCAAATATACAACTTGCATCATCCTTGAAACTTAATTCACAATAATCAGTCTTAAAAAGCTTACGGTACCATATATTTGATTGCTTCCTCTAGTTCTGTAATTTTTGTGAATTTAGAATATGAACTGAATGATGTACAGTATATACAGTACAGTACAAGATCTTACTTATACGGTACATTATTTGTCGTCACCATTTCACAAAGACACTGTAAGGTAGTATATGGGTATATTTTCCTCATTGAAATTCCCATTTTTACAAGCTTATTAGATGTAGAAAGTTTGCTAATATATAGTTGTTGTTTTAAAGCAGGAAATATATGCACAGCATCTTAGGAGTTATACAGTATTTTCCCTTTAATAGATTAATTGATGTGAAGTATATTTGGTAATTAGAATAATATTCCAAAAAGACAGTCAGATTCTTAAGGATTTACAAGCGTTAAATATTTATGAGGTGTAATGTGAGCGTTTAATGTTAACTATGTGGTTTTTTGTCCCTAATGCTCTTTATGTTGATCTTCACAGCTGTACAGTAGATTGAGAATTAGTTGACTTAATTCAATTTGTTCCATAAATTGTCTCTGATTGAGAATATATCCTACACAGTAGTACAGTACCTGTACTGTATATTGGTTTTGTTGACATTTCTCATATTAAAGAAAAAACTGATCATAAGGCCTTATAGCAGGACCCAAATTGACATACAGTACAGTATTTAGTGATTCTAATATATATATATATATACATATATATATATATATATATATATATATATACTGTATATCACATTTACAGATAAGCAGACATGTGTATATATTACAGTGGGACTTGGAATCATTTTAGGGAAATACATAAGATTAAATACATAATATCATATGTATACTGGAGTATAACATAACATAAACTATTGCTATACAGTATTTGTTTGTAGATGTGTGTTTATGTCAAGAAATAAATCCAAACAATACTTATGTTATGAGGGATATTGAGAACAGTTTCTTAGGTAAAAATACAGATAGTAATTTAGATGTCTCCATCACGAAGGCTGCAGTGTACCCGTTACAGGTATCGATATTAATAATTATTGATATAAGACCAATCCCATGACAATTTAATATTTAAAATTCTGACTTATTATAAGCTTTTAAATAATACTAATACATTATATTTTACAGTTATCAGATAATTCTATAAATACTTTAGTTTTTATGATTATTTTTTGTTTTTATATAAAAGAAAATTAGAAAGGGAATTGTTATTTTTTTTTCACAAAATGCATTGTTAATCTTACCTTCAAAGTCTTACCTTCAGAACGGTCAATGATATATTGAGTATTGAAACCATCTGAAGTATTCTTCCGAGTTGACGTTTCTTGCTTGAGTTGTTCACCAGTGGGAGAACCTATAGCATGGTTGTTCCAGTCTTTAGTCTGGTGTGAACTCATTCACCGTAGATGCTAAAGAGGTACATTTGGGTTAATATTTGGCATAATTACATATTGCTTCTTTGGGATGCTACGTTTGAGAACTAACTAAATTTTAATTTAGATGTTAAAGATTTATCAATGGCCAACAAGTTTGTGTCATTTGAGTCCTTTTGCTATGTCTGGTTATACATAACCATGGTGTAAGAGCAAAGAGGGGATTCCTATTTTGTTTTTAAGCATGTGAATCTGTGCAAGCTTTAGGTGTTATCAGACACCAGGTGGTCGGTATCGTTGGTGACATAAACGTTAGTCTCGGCATCGTGCGGTTCTTGGTGACGAGGCACCAGGCGCTGTTTACGACGTTCACACCACCAACAGCACACTCGGGACAACAGCAGCAGAGTTGATGATGACACCTGAAGAAAAAGTACCGTACCTTTGATCAATACTTTGGTTGCTTATTAAAAAGAAAAAATAAGGTTTTAAGAGTTGATACTTATTTTTAAGTAGCAAGTGCAGCTTTATATTTTAATTTGGACTGTTCTTATTACAGGAACTGACAAAGTTTAAGACAATCCAAACTTAGTTCAAATTTATAAAAGAAAATCTTCCATCATGTGGGTATCAGCTGAAAAAGGAGCATATACAATTTGTGGAAACTCAAAATGTGATACAATATACGTATTTACTATACATGTCTGCAGCTGTGGAAATACCTCATTATAGTATGCCCCTCATTAACTTCATCAAAGAGAGATGAATTATAGTACAGTACTTTTAAACATTTTTCTGTTCCTCCTGCATGATATATTTTTGATACAGTATACAGTACAGTACTGTAAAATATACAGAAAGGTTGACTTTGGGATATTTTTACTTCATTTACTGGCAATCTTCCTTTAAGTTTACCTGATCATCGGTGAAGACATAGAGAAGAGGATTTGTTACAGCAGCTGCAGCAAGTAGGAGTGAAGCCCAAGGAAGTGCAGCAGCCTCTTCATGATAATGGCTAGGGCTTGCTTGACATGTGCGGGATGCAGCGCAGGAGGATGCTACTACCACATGGGCTAACATGGGCACCAGTGAGCCCACACTTACACACCAGCCACCTACACGCACACTGCCACTGCTGTTATTGTGTATTCCTTGCCTGGAATTACACATTGATAAGGGTGATTGCCTGAACATGGAAATACTATAACATCAGTATGATGGGAATGACATTAGCATGGATTTGCTGTGCAGGAAATGCTCTTTTAACTGCATTTTTTATTTTGTTTCACTAATACATAGAAGCATCCCAACCAGAGTTCACTTACACATGATTTGCAATTGGGGCCTCTTCTGCATCAGGGCAGTTAGTTGGAGGTGCTGCTCCTCTACGACTGGCCATGGCCTTAAGTTGAGTAGCACGAGTTGAAGCCCACATGAGAAGAGCTGCTGCCACATGGCCACCCACTAAGAATGTGAGAAATGCTGTGAAGGAAAGTGGCCAGAGTGTTGACAGGTGACAGCGAGCATCGTGGACCTCCCAGGAGTTCCATCCAGCATAGGGCAGCACAGACACAACTATAGCCACAAACCATACAGCACTGACTCCCACACTCCATCCAACTACATTGCTACCAGCTGTCATAAATCTGAAATAGAAAATTTTTCTCCATTAATCTATTGAGCAGTTAGTACTGTCTGTTAAGAGATAAAAAGTAAAATGGCAGTAAGATACAGATAAAATAGGTTTGGCAGTACAGTACAGTACAGTACTGTACTGTACTGTGTACATGATTGTAATTTCAAATTGGAAATTGAAAAGAATAGTTGGAAGAATAAGAAAAAAGAAACCAGGAGTAACAAATGAGAAGCTGACTAACTGAAGGGTTAAAAGAATGAATTATGGTACTATAATTTACAAGAAATATACACTGTTTAAATGATACGTGAAAAAATCCCTTAATAGAATGCAGTAATAATTAGATCTGGGCAACTTCATGTTCAGTCAAGCTCACATTATATTTCTCCATAACGGTCCTGTTTTAAAATCTACAGGGTGTAAGTCTGTCATAATTTTCCCAAATTCCTCCCTTCAATGAGTTTACATTGAGTGGCTCCATTATTTTTGACATGTCACCTTCCCAACATCCCATCACATCCCTCACATCATCCTGTTCTATGTGGCCCCATTTTCTTGACACAGTTTACCTGCTTTAATACTGTACAGTAGTGATATACTAAAAGCTAAGATTATGTGCTGTTAGTTATGATATGGTACTGTACTGTACTCCACTCCTGTAAAGTGGACACAGTGAAGCACAACAAAGGCACACAGAACTCTAGTTAGGGTGCCATAACACCTTAATTAACTTCATACTACATTATCTACAGGAAGCACTGCAATTACAGTCCATACTCCACTTTAACAAATAATTGGTACCACAAAAACGGTCGTTAATGTGGTGAGAATAGTTTATATGCTAAATGGGTCAATTGGTACCAGCCCTCAGACACTTTCACCCCCTATAAACCCCACAAAAAATTACAACTGCTTATTCACACATTAATACTGCATGTAGAGTTAATGACTAACCATTAGACACTTATTGCACTGCTTAATGAGACTGTTTGCTGTCATCCGAGGCAGGAGAGTGGTGTTAGCGCTCCCTTGCCCTTACACTCTCACACTGCACTGCTTCCCCAGCACCACCACCAACTGATCCTTCAGTCTCAAAGCCAGTGAAGTCTAGTGGTAAATCATCTAACAGATCACTCACAGGTCACAGATAAGTGAGTAGGTTACACCACACCTGTTCACACGCTCTGATAAAAAAAACCACCCCACTCACTAACGTCATCAAGATGGCCGCCCAGAGTGACTATCAACTTGAGCTACTGATCATTATTGTGTTGAAATGTATCGTTAATGTGTTGCATTTCTTTGCTGTCGTTATTGTGATGAATCGTTAATGTGAAACTCGTTAAAGTGAAGTACTGTACTGTATATACAGTACGTACTGTATTTTTTAGCATTACAGTATATCAAAATTTATTAAATATCAGATAATATTCAGAAGTGACCCTCAACTGGTCATGTATGGGCTGGTTGTATGCCCAGCAGTGCTGACCAGCAAAATTCTTTCAGTAGGTCAGTTAATCACATCAGTTTTCCTCTTCTGTATTCTTAATAAGATAGAAGCAGTATTATCTTATTCAGAATACAGAGAGAAAAAATAATGTGATTGACTGAACTACTGAAACAGTTTTGCTGGTCAATGCTGCTAGGCAAACAACCAGCCCATAATACATACCACAGATATTACCAGTTGTGGGTCACATTATAGTTGCAGGTTTTACTTTCCTCTCAACAGTGCTGTATTTGTTTCTGTGAAGATTCACTTTTACCCATCAAGTATTTTCCTTTACTCTGGGATAGATCATAAAGTTTTCCTACATTAGTCTAGCAGAATGATTAATTAATTTGTACTAATTCACTGTAATTTTCTTTAGTGTATCTTTGATGTTGGGTAATTTTGCACTTTATAATGACAATGAACCCTTTTTAATAACACCTTGAACTTGTCTACGTATTTGACAACATTGTGGGGAAGGACATTGCCAATTAGAAGAAGAAAACACAACAGTAAAATGTATAATCTCCTTGAAAAATACACTAGACAAGATGGAACAGCCACAGGAAAGTCATGTCAGTCCTTAGGTACTGGTATTTGCACTAGCCCCTGAGTAAGAGACTAGTGATAAGATTGACCCCTAATTACAGCAGAATCAATATCAAACTTGGAAATTTTGTTCCAGTATCACACGTTCTTAAATGTTGAATAAAAAAAAATGTAATGGCAACAGATGAAGCTATAAAAAAATAACTGCATGCTGGCCTGGGTATTATGTGCACTGTACTAGGAGACAACTAGGTGAAAATAAACACGATATAGAGATACATATAGGAGAGTAATTTTTCTGGCCAATTTCATTCTTTAATGTTGCATAGATGTCAACAATGATTTTTTAAAGCTTACAGTAAGTTTTGTACTGTATTCAGCAATGTCGTCAATTCTATTTATTGTTCCTGTATCAAATAAAGTTTCATCTTTTCTAGTTCCCTTCGTTCTACTCTTTCTTTAATGTATCATCCACATGGCAGCTCTCATCTTTCATACATTATTTGCTTCTCACTGCAGTTGGTGACTTCCACATGACAGCCAGTTAGCCACTTATAATATTTAGCAAAAATGTCTAGTCTAGTGTAGTGTAGTGTCGTGTCGTGTAGTGTAGTGTTGAGGCTTCTTAAATGATATGCTTGAAGGAGCTTGATGTCTTCATTACCTCATCGGTGAATAAATATAAACAGGATGATTACATGTCATTTGTTTTTTGCTAAATTGGTTTGACATGTGGTTGTGTGTGGAGGTAAGTGGGTCAGAGAGGAGGCTACCAGGAGGTAAGCTTGGATCAATAGCCACCAGCTGAGACCCACACCCTCCACCACCCCCTATCCCTCCTCTCCCTACTACAACTCTCCACCTTGGTTTTTCTATTACTGTGCTGTACTGACTAAACCATAAACCTTGGCCTCATTATGAAGAATTAAAGTTGATTTTATTCATTATCATAAGTATTACATTAAAATGTTCATAATAATTTTTTTTAAAGCACTTCCCTGAATATCTAACGAATCATGCCCATATTTGTATACTGTACTCTACTCCACTGAATATAAATGTCACCTCATATTCATTTGAATTCCTATGCAAGATTTCAGGTGTGTTAAAGGATCTTTATTATTGGATGATTAAGGAAAATTCTTTTCATTGAACTGTGTTACACAGAACTAATTTATATCTTAATTGTCAAGAAAAACTCACAAAGAATGTTAAATTATGAGGAGTTGTGAAAAGGGGCCCAGTTTTATCTATACAAATTAATTAAGATACTGTACTCTGTACAGTATTTAAATTATCATCACCATTTAATGGCGATTAACTGATGTCATGGTGGCCTGGTTATCATCATGCAAGTTTGAAGCAAATTTTGTATCTGGAGGTTCTTCCTATCACCAACCCACCTTTACAGAATGGGAACTGTGCACTATATGTAGGACTTAGCTGATAAGGCAGTGGTGCTACTTTTTACTTAGTTGTTTTTGTTGTTGATGTTGTTTAGTTACCTGTGTACAGAAAGAGAATATGAGAGAGGGAGAGAGAATATGGGGGTAGTGGTGGTGGATGGTGCTGTGGGTGGGCTTGCTGGGATGCCTTCCTCCGCTCACTCCAACACTGGAAGGAGGAGGGACGGAAGGGCCAGAATCTACTACCGAGGGAGCAAGACGAGGAGGTCATCAGGGGGAGAAATAGGGTCATGTGTCAGGGATGGAGGAGAGCAGCTGAATTGGGTAAGGGATCAGAGCAGAATGGAGGGCCAGCATAGTGGTTAAGGATCATGTGGGAGAGGGGGCAGGTCACCCAGGGAAGGGAGACAAGTCACCTAGGAAGAAAGGACTCATGAAAAGGGTAATTTGTGGTGACAAGGACATTCATCTTTGAGAAGGTGTGGGTGAAGAGAGATTATTCTCCAAATTTCTATCTCTTGAGGATAAAACTTGAGAGGTGGGGAGCAAATGATCCACATTGGATGAAGTGTGATAGTAGAATGTGATACTGTTAGCTCCCAAAGTTTTACTACATAGAAAACTGATGGTGGTAAAGGCTGACAAACAAGTTAAGATCCAGCATAAATCTGTCTCAACCTAACCCAACCCAACCCAACCCAACCCAACCCAACCCAACCCAACCCAACCCAACCCAATTTGTAGCCAACCCAACCCAACCCAACCCAACCCAACCCAACCCAACCCAACCCAACCCAACCAGATACCCCTCCCACTGCTTACTGTTTGCAATATGTTTTTGACTTAGAAGGTGTCCTAATTACAGACATGACAAGCGGGTTAAAATCAGGTGTTGCCTAAGTGAAAGTGTAGCTTGGTTAATGTCAGAGTGGTTTTCATTTAACCCACTGAGTTTATTCACCTGAGGGGAACTAGTAGCAATCAGAGGGTTAAGGCACATTTTAAAGTCAAAGTGACCAACTTGAGGACTTACCTGCGTGGGTCGTTGACTTTCATGTACTGATGGAAGAGCAGGAGTGTAGAGGAGCCGAGGGAGGTGAGGGCAGTCAGCAGGATGACGGCTGAGTGGCCCAGGTAGCAGGTGGCATACCCCTCTTCACCCACCACTGACCCTGACACACACACACACTCCTTTACTTTGTCCTTTCTTACAGTACATCAATTTGTATTACTACTTTAAATCCTTCTATTAAACTGTTACCCATTGCTTTATACTAGACTACTGCAGACAGTATGTTAAGTTTCACATCACAACATTAAAATGTGTTAATAAACATTATGCTGTGTCTCATATTATATTACTCACATTATTTACTCACAACTTTATGTTACAGTTTAATATTAAAATTAGTTTTGTATATTGCAATAAATCATCACTGAAGACGGAGGGTTTGGCATTGGGAGGGAGAGAGGTAGTAAATGTTCAGGGTGAAGGAGGTACTGGAGCAAAACGTCTACTGTACCTGGTAGTGAGGGTAATGATGAGACATTTGCTTTGGGTACCAGTAGAGTGATACTGTATGTACATAGACTGCCAGGGTAAGGGAGGTGTCAGCTAGGATGTGATGCAGGGGATCCCTAGGGTTTGAAATGAATTAAACATAAGCAGATTAGCTAGGGTGAGTTAGGGGAAGATGAAACAGACATATAGGTTGAGAAATACATACAAGATAGCTAGGGTGAAGAGTACATACAAGATAACTAGGGTGTGAAGCATGAATATGACAGGCTAGCTAGGGTGAAGTAGTGGGGGATATAGGGTAGGTTGAAGTAGGCTGATGATAACTAGGGGGGTTAGGAGTTAGAAGGGAGACTTTAGGGTGTAACAGCAAACATTGTCTCTAAAAAAGCCAGGGTGAGACAGTTGATGACGAGTGCTTGGCGTGCATGAGCCTGGTGTGGTGTGTGAACCCCCTGGAGTATAGTGGACCAGGAGCTTGGGGGAAATTTTTACTCACTGTAGAACACACACACACACACACACACCAAGGTAGAGAGAGAGAGAGAGAGACAGCGAGAGGGTGGGTTCTTACCTCCCCTGGCGGAGATGACATGTATAGGGAAGGCGACGACGAAGGCGGCCACCAACCCACTGAGCGCCTGAGACAGCAGGAGGACGCTCTTCACCGACCTTATGACGGAGGGCCTCGCGAACACTGCCACCTGCACCACCACACATGGGGTTAATACAGTATGGTGGCAGGGTGAGGGTGTCATGGTAGTGATGGTGTGGTAGAGGGAGGGTGTGGAAAAGGTGAGGCTGGGGATGGGTGAGGTGAAGGGATGATATTGTAGAGTAAGGATGTACTCAGGTTGCTGACCTGACTTTCTGCCTCATTTACACACAATTGCAGGGTCTCAATTGTTTCACTTACTATTGACAACACAACATACATATATTGTTTCTCACTTTATTTTTTTGTATTTCTTTATGGTTCTTTATTATTATTATTATTATTATTATTATTATTATTATTATTATTATTATTATTATTATTATTATTATTATTATTATTATTATTATTATTATTATTATTATTATTATTATTAAATTTTCGCCCCCCAGGCCCTGATGTGGGTCAGTGACCTGTGCCCGGGTGGGCTAATCCCCGTAAAAAAAAAAAAAACTCACCAGTGTTAAGTCCTATACCTCATTACCAAGTCTTTTCTTAAATCACATCATCCATACAAGTCATGGAAAAGTATTTGTACATAAAGTCGGGAAACTTGAAGAAAAGAGACTGTCAACATTGAGAGTGTAAAGGTGATGACTTACCTGAACAATGTTGGTGAAGAAGCAGACAGTGGCGAGGGCGACACTCACCACCAGAAAGAGCTTCTGGTTGACGGACGGCTCGGAGCCAGCTGACGACGATGATGTCGACGATGATGAGGAGGCAGAAGATCCAGCAACTGCTGCTGCTGCCACCGCCGCCACTGCTGAAGGGGAACTCACATCTTCCGTCATGTTGCTACTGTTGGGGGCACTTCCTCTTTCTCTTTACTGTTGGTGTATCGTGTTCGGCCTCACTATCACTTCACTGGCAATTCACTATGCACTACACGTCACAGCACGGGGCCGTGACCATGGCTCCCTGTCTTCACGGCCAAGATTATCACCTGAATCGGCGTATCTGCTGGGCGTGTTCACTGCGGCTTCAAACTCAGTTTTAGATTTTATCATTAACTGTTAAACAATTAGTCGATGAACATTTTGGTGCCAGTGTGAGCCTCTGTAGGTGTAGTTAACACTAATACAGGAAAATGAGTAATTATGGAGTGTACTGTATGATATACACTAATTGTTAATAGCTGCCTTTTATTATACGTGTTGATTAATTTAACTCCCGCTGCAAACATGGTCATTCACCATCACTATTGTTCAGCCTTTAGGTGTGTGTGTGTGTGTGTGTGTGTGTGTGTGCGTGTGTGTGTGTGCGCGCGCGCGCACGTGCGCTCGTGTTGGTGAAGCATTTATGATTTGTGAATAAAGGAAAAGAGTAGGAATAGCGTGGTTAAAAATACAGTATATGCACTTTGTATATAAATAGTGGAGGTGAGAAGGTGGAAGTTGATGAGAAACATTTTCAATTTGTCGGGGATGATAAGGAAGGGAGGAAAGTTTGTGTAGGTGGTTGAGAAACATTTTCAATTTGTGGCGCAGGATAATCCTTGGAGGAAAAAAAAGGAAAATGGTGTAGGTGGATATTGTTGGGTTGTGGGAGCATCACTGCCTGTGTGCAGCCCAGACGTTGTCATGGTAACCACGGCTCGAGTTCTCCAACGTTCGTCCATTCACATTTTTACCAACGTGTGAGAATGTATCCATCTCGCTGCCTTACACCACAGCATAAATTTACGGGTGAGATGGCTTCAAAATTGCACCGTGACTATTGTAACTAGATGCATTTTTTTTATCTCTAGATGTGGGGGGGGGGGGGCAATTAGACCATGAGGACCAGGAGAGAGAGCGCTTATTTTTCATCGTCATGTATTAATGATGCCTATCTTCTGCTGACAAACACCGCAGCTGCTCACCGCTAAACTTTCCTCTAGTTATACCCACACGATTCCCCACCGCGATGTCTACTTTTTAATACAACTTGATTTTCAGTGTCACGTGTCTACTGGTGGATGGAAAAGCAAATCAAAAGACACGTGACCTTGGCATTATTTCTGGATATTTTACATTCCTGTCAGACTCTTTCATCGGCTAGAATGTAATAAATCTTCAGGGCGTGTGTGGAGGAGAGAGAGAGAGAGAGAATTTTCCAAGGTGTGTGTGTGTGGGGGGGGGGGAAGGAAGGAGTGAAGTAAAGTATGGTGGTGGGGCCAGTGTGAGTAAGGTGAGGTGAAGCTTGGCATGAGTAATGTGAGGATGGCGGGCAGGGAGGGGTCTACCATGTTCATGCAAAGGTGGGACTTGGAGAGGTAAGATATCGGTGAGATCCATACACGGTTGAATGACTGATTATGATGATGCTCAGACGCTGGTGAGCGGTGGGGGGGGGCCCACGTGAGGGAAGGGAGAGAAGTAGGGGTTCAGGTGGTGTGGTGGAGGGTACAGACGAGGGCGGTGCCAACACTAGAGGTAAAAAGCGAGGAAGAGGATTGGTCATTGAGCAATAGAGAGCGACGTCAGCCATCGTGTGTGTGTGTGTCTCTAAGGGGGGGGGGGGCACTCATAAAACACACACAAACTCAACCCAGTATTCCTTAAATGTTTATTTTAGCCATGTCTGTTTGTGGTTTACTCTCGCTGATTTTGGATAAAGATTTATCCTGTCACTTTTACTGTCAGCCCCCGTCCGTACCTCTCTCCCTCCCTCTGTCCTTTGTGTGGCGGTCCGTCCAGCTACCTCATGGACGCGGAAATTGGACGTAACCCAACTAGATCTGTGACGAGTTCCATGTTAAGAACGTTCCCTCTGTATATCATTAAGGAGTTGTGACCAGTTTTGTGTCCCTGCCTGGCTCATCCGACATTGTCACACTGATAATTCGAGCGTTAATGGGTTTTGATGAAAGTTGTTATTGGGATGTAACTCAGCAATATTCTCGGACCTGTTAGATAATCAGAATTTTCCCCTCACTGTTGTGGTGAGTTTGTGGTGTGTTATGAGTGGTGGTGGCAGGGGTGGGGGAGACACTGGACATGTTTGTTTAATATGATTTGTGTCTTACTTACGTCAGTTTGTTACAGTTTTCTAAAGTTTTCTCTTGATGGAGTTGTCGTTTAATTTTGTTTGTGGTGCGATATTTTCTTGTGTTTATTGTGGGTGACGTGATAGTTTTATTTTATGTGACATCCTGATACAATGTTACTGTTTATCTAAAATTATGTTAACTCTTACCATGATCTTGTTTACAGTCACCGTCTCCCTCTTCGTCTTACCCTTCGTTATCCCTTCTCTTTCCCCTCCTTAACCGTTCTCTTCCCCTCCTTATCCCCTTCCCTTCATCCATCCCCGCCCCTCCTCCAGCCTCCATCTGCGAGGTCCATCAATAAATGTGGATCAGCATAATATCCTTGGTGCCTCATCACCGTGAAGCGCCTCTCTCATGTTCCCGCCCACCCCACCGTTCCCTCACACCGCCCACCCGGCCACTCCTTCACACCGCCCACCATGCCACTCCCTCACACCGCCCACCATGCCACTCCCTCACACCGCCCACCATGCCACTCCCTCACACCGCCCACCCCGCCACTCCTTCACTCCGCCCACTCCGCCACTCCCGCACACGACCCAACCCACTCCACCCTCACTTCAACTCAACACACCACCACCACCAACGCTGACATTTATCTGGTATATCACAACCAGCACAGTGCGCTACTACCACAGTATACCACCACCACCACCACCACCACTTACTAAGACGACCACACCCCTGGTGTTCCTGCTGCGGCACCTCCCGAGGTGTGTGTGTGTGTATGGTGCACAGTATCTTAAAGGAAGAAAAACATGAGTGTGTGTGTGTGTGTGAATATCAAGTGAGAGGCGGCAACCTGACCTTGATACTCCTGCCTCTGCTGGATCACCCTCCCCATCATTCTTTTGTTTATATATTAATAAAGGGTGATACCTAAAGCCATTGTTTTAGTAATTATGGCTTTTGCGGCCAGACCTAAGGGATTCAGTGTCCAACTGTTAACCCTAAGTTGCTTTACCCTGGTCTTAAGGCTGAACTTCAAGACTTTTTCTGAATCAGGGCTGGACAGACACACCTTTCTTCCGCCCTTAAATTGACCCTGTGGGGGCTTTGTGGCCAACATGAGGATAGAGGATAAGAAACCTTGAGGATTGTGACGGATTATCTTGTACCACGGCCGAGGAGAGGTGGTAGTGGTGGTAGCTGAGATGGGTGGTGGTTGTGGTAGGAAAGGACAGGGTGGTGGTGTTGGTAGTAGTAGTAATAGTAGATATTTAATATTAAGGTAATTAAATGGTGGCGAAGGTGTGGCTATTGGGGGAGGCTGGAGGCCACGTTATAAAAAAAAAGTAATAGTAGTAGTAGTAGGTGAGACAGTGGAGGTGGTAGTGGGTGGGCCAGGCAAAGTGGGATGGCCGGGGTGAGTGAGGCAAGCCAAGGGGAGAAGGCGGCGGTGGAGGTAGGTTGAGCAGGTGGTAGTAGGGGTAGGTGAGACAGGCCAGGGGAGGGGGAGGAGGTGGTGTAAGGATGATAGGATTAGGCAAGAGGGGGAGAAGAAGAAGAAGGGGGGGATGAGGGATTGAATAAAGATAATGGAATGAGAGAGGATGGAGGGAAAGTGGGTGACGATTGCCAGGGTGAGTGAGGGATGACAACATATGAAGGATGGAGACGAGGATGATGAGATGCATTGAGGATGATGAGATGGGTGTAGGATGTAGTCAGAACGGTGCGGTGGGTGTAGGATGTAGTCAGAACGGTGGGATGGGTGTAGGATGTAGTCAGAACGGTGCGGTGGGTGTAGGATGTAGTCAGAACGGTGGGATGGGTGTAGGATGTAGTCAGAACGGTGCGGTGGGTGTAGGATGTAGTCAGAACGGTGGGATGGGTGTAGGATGTAGTCAGAACGGTGCGGTGGGTGTAGGATGTAGTCAGAACGGTGGGATGGGTGTGGTAGGGATGTAGTGGAACGTGTGGTGTAGGATGTAGTCAGAACGGTGGGATGGGTGTAGATGGAATAGAACGGTGGGATGGGTGTAGATGTAGTCAGAACGGTGGGATGGTGTAGGATGGAAGTCAGAACGGTGGGATGGGTGTAGGATGTAGTCAGAACGGTGGGATGGGTGTAGGATCAGATGATGTCAGGACGGTGGGTAGGATGGGGTGGGATGTGGGTGTAGGATGAGTCAGAACGGTGCGTGTGGGTGTAGGGTGGGATGGGTGTAGTGTAACAGAACGGGGGTGGTGTGTAGGGATGTAGTCAGAATGTGTGGGATGGATGTAGGATCAGAACGTGGGGGATGGGTGCAGGATGTAGTCAGATGATGAGATGGGTGTAGGATGCAGTCAGGACGGTGGGATGGGTGTAGGATGCAGTCAGGACGGTGGGATGGGTGTAGGATGCAGTCAGGACGGTGGGATGGGTGAGAGGAATGATGGTGGTGAAGGTGGGAGGCAGAAGATAAATGTTTTGAGAGAGAGAGAGAGAGCGAGCGAGCATCATTCGTCATGTGGCCTCACTGGAGTAATCTGCTTCACCACGCAGACTAAAATTGCTTTCCCTCCCTCCAGCCGACGTGATGCTGCCTCGCCACACCCGCCCCGAGCCCCATCACCACTCTTTAAATATTTACGTATAACTTTTTTATTTACGTATTTACAACATTTTAAGTACTAGTGTATTTGCAATTTGTTTACATTTTTTACAGCGTGTTTACTTATTGAAAGCTTCTTTTGTGTGTTTACATATTTACAACTTGTTTTGCTGACGATTTTTATTTACAGATTCCATGTATTTGCCGATATTGAAGTGATTAAGTTTATGAATTATTTACATATTTACAGCTCAAAACAAACAGAGAGAGAGAGAGAGAGAGAGAGAGAGAGAGAGAGAGAGAGAGAGAGAGAGATGCCATCCTCTCCTTTGTTATGAGGGCACTATAACACACACACACACACACACTAGGGGAAGGATTTGACAGTACTGATGGAGCGTCTATATGTGGTGGAGACTGAGACCATTTCCTCCTCCTTCCCCATACTTCCCCCTTCCCCCTCCTTTCCCCTCCCCACCCCCTCCCCATTCCCTAATGTCCAA